GACCGATGGCGGATCCAAATGTGAGTTCCTGAGCGCTCCCACACACTCCAACGCAACAACACATTTTCAATGAACTTCAAACGGTCAATCGTTTCTCACACCATTCGCAAATGGAGGATCCCACGCTATGGAGACAATGGTGTGCAGATCACCACCAAGCAGCTGCGATGGCTCGTCGACGACACCACTCGAAGCCCCGTCAGAGAACCCACGAAATCAGAACTGGGGTCAAACACGAATAGCACGCCTTCAAAACTGTCAATGACAAGTGGAAGAAGTGTGATCGTATCGGAAGCAGATCGACGGCCTTCCCCTCCTTCTTCCTTGTCGCGATCGCTGGCCGCTGCGAGAGCCTGCTCTGCGAATCTCGGACTGCGGTGAGCCACCAGCGACTTGGAAAGACCGCGACTGCCTTCGATTTCCTCCGTTTATCTTCAAAACAGTGAAGACGAGGATAAGAATGCCTTCGGCCTGTACCTCCGTTAGTCCTTGGTCCAACAAACAGTCGCATCCGAACGGCCTCATCGAATGCGGTCGCTGCGCAGGATGTGCAGTGGCCTCCACTAGCACCACGAAGACCGAGTATGGCACCTGGTTCGAATACTCGGGGTCGACTGAGCCCGCATCAACACGAGTAGTTACACGAATCGGGTAACAACACCAAACGGCCAAAACACAGTCGGAATCATTGTTCACCCTACCGCAATAATCTTTGATCGGGAAAGCGTTCAGACGCAATCCATCAAGATCCTTGACGAGAACGAGCTACTGGAAGAGGTCCATTCGTTGGTTCGCGATTCAACCGCCTGTCCTGGTCATGCAAGGTAACACTGTGAGGTTGACACCACGCCAGTCAAATGAACGTCAATGCTGCCCGCCAGGCATGGGAACGCAATAAGATGTATTGATAAGCATCCGACAATAGTCAGATCCTCTTGAAATGTGAGAGCTGAGCGTTGAATCTGCGCGTGACGAAATCGTGGGCAGGAATGGAGGCCCTCATTATCGATCACCAGACTCAGAAGCTGGATATTCTGGCTCATCCAAGGAACCATCGATCCCCGTGTACCGAAGGCATGTCCGCCACAGTGCGTGACAGGTGTCATAACAGACTCTGCAAAACGGCTCGGTCCGATTTCAAAGCCTAATCCATGCGAACAGACGGATCTCGACCTCGTCCCACCGACAGATCCCATGGATCTGACAGCAGTCGAGATCTGTGCAGCCGACTTCCAGATCCTTCTGGTTGAGTCTACCGTCTGTTAGTGTCGCTTCACGCCTCGGACGGGCGTCGGCGGATTGGCGTGGCTACCTTTGGGACACCATTCTCAGCCCCAATTGCTCGCCAGGATCATTTCTTACCACCCAGAACATGTCAGTGGTGAATCAACTACTTCAATCCCGTAGCTAATGACTGGCAGGGAGGAATGAATTGGAAGAACGGTACCAACACATGGAGCTAGCAACGTTCTGCGAGCTGTTCGCCTAGCTTCGCGTGACCGCGGTTACATCCGCACGCCATCAAGGCAGAGCGGAGTGCTTCCGGCTCACCAAGACAAGATGAAGAACAGCAGAGCCCGCTAACTTCCAAGAGAACGGGGATCGATATCGTGATGGCGAGGGGGACGCCCCTTTTACTCCCACCCCAAACCAACACCACAACCGCCGTAGATGCCGGATTCCATCGCCACCGGTCACACCTGTTAGGGCCGGAACTGCTTCAGCAGCCTGCAGTCTCACCGCAAGATATAGGACCAGGCGGGACGTCAGTGACAAGATCGAAATGACGCAGCTTGCACTCCAGTGGAGGTTCAACCAACCTACGGTCTTGAATAATGTATATTTCGCTCCACGCGTCGGGGGAAGTCTCGGGGCAAAATCTTTCGAACACCAACAATGAGCAATTAGCTGCCCTTGATTTGGAGCTGCTACTCCCCAGCATCTAAAAGCACTACTCAGCATCCAGTACCTGTGAGGTATTGTTCGTGAGAGAGTCCTCTCAGAAACAATATGGTGCTCCGAGACAGTGCCAAACGCCATGTCAATTGCCAATCAGCTTCAAGTTGATGCTCCTACTTGTCAATTGCGGCGAAGGCGGCCTTGGCTAGGACTACCAAAACCATTACGGTCTGGACGTCCGCCGCGACCGCCGCCAAAACCGTCTGAGTTCCGGCCACGCTTAGTGCTAGCTGCAATGCGTCGACTGATCGCCCTGGATGAGAGGCCAGCACCAATTTCGATGTCTGGCTCCTCGACAACCATTCCGGACTCAATGGGGCGACCTCCGGTGCCACCATACTCCGCCGTCAGCAGCCATTTGCGATCCGCATTGGTGAGTCGCTCGATTGGAATGACACTGATGCCAGTCTGATAGTCGCTGCAGTCACGCGGGCCGAAACCAACCTCCCATCGGGTCCGGAGTTGCATCTCGCATGAACGGAACTGGGCGCTCACCGCGTCCTCGCGGCTAATCATCTTAATGAAAGCATGACGCTTGTCGATATTGACAATACAGGTCTGAACGACGCCGAATTTGTTGAAGAGCGAACGGAGGCGGGCCTCGGAGGAGATGCCACTGACGAAGAGGGTGCGGCTCAGAACCTTGATGTTACCCTGGCGGATGGAATAGTCCCACGCGACGAGCTTGGGACCAGGCGAGGGGAGATTAAGGTCTTTCCGCAGCAGGGAATGAGACCGGCGTTTCCAGCCCGGCGGGCTACGTTTACGGTATTGGTTACCCCGACGACCACGAGCATCGCGAGGATCACCCCGGCGCCCAGGAGATTCACCGTAATACTCGTCGTACACCGGCCTGTCGCGGCGGCGAGGCGGCGAGGCGGGGTGATGTCGGTCCCAACCGGGAGAGTGGGAAGGACGGCCATACCCACCGGGAGGAGAGCCAGAGTGGTCACGATCCCTCCTGCGATCACGATCGACACGGTTCTGCGCGTCAGGGTGGCCCCTGCCACCAGAGCCTTGGCAGGGTACCGCGCCAAAACTAGGCAGCTGAGGGGGGTAAGCAGCACCCAGGGTATCGGTGATATTGACGGGTTGCAGGGCCGCAGCCCACTGGTCCTGCGAGATGCCCTGCTGCCGGGACATCGCGTTTCCATCCAACGCCGGAGCGGCGGCTGGCCACTGCGGAAGTATTGCTTCCAATAGGTTCGGAGTCTGGCTACGGCTCTGCAGCTGCGGCATGGCAGGGTTCTGGCCAAGGCCACTAAGAGCGGCAAATGGATTGGCTATGGCGCCAGCACCACCACCTGTGTATGGGTTAGCCGTCGAGGGTGGCAGTAGAGACGAATGGACAGACGAAGCGAGATGCAGAGCCGCGGCTGCGGGGGTCAGGATAGCGAGCGGGTTGGAGGGAGAAGCGGATGTCACCGTGCTCCGTTTAGCCATATCGGTCAGCGGTTTAAGTATACCGGTAGTATCTGTTGCCGCCGCGGGCGAGCCATTGGGACTTTGCAGCAGAGCTGGGGCTTCCAAAGGGTAGAAGCTGGGGGCCGGTGAGCCTTTTGGCATGGTGGCCTGAACATCTATCAAGCATGGTAGAAGAGATTGAATCAGAAGGCGAGAAGAGCAAAGATCCGAGGGTATCACTTACTACGTGTCGGAGTGTTCAGTTTCTCGCGAAATGAGGTGAGCATAGAGGGCGGGAAGGAGCAGCCGCACTCCCAGATGTCGACGAGCTTCTTGATCTTTTCCTACAGCGTCCAGAAAGGAAAGGCATACGTAAGTGATAAGATCCGCCAAAGCAATAAAAGCGCAAAAAACTGCCGACACCACGTCCAAGATTGAGCGGTCGCGGGAGAATACGACCATTGGACGCGATTCGCACCCAGAGGCCCAGCCCCAGCCTTAACATTCGCGCCAAGTGTATGCATACCTTTTGATCTTGCGGGGCATTGTTGATGACGTCGGTCATCAGCACGGGCAACAATTTGGTCACTCGATCGATGCCACCAGCGAAGGTCCCATCCGGCGCGGCGCTTCGGGGAGGCCGCCCAGCCTTGCGAGTAGCGTCTACCCAATGCCGGGTTATAGAGTCGACCACATAGAGAACGCCCAGCTTGTGGGTGGCGGGGGCCTTCTTGAAGTGAGTGTAGATTTTTTGGACGAGAACGGGTTCATCCTGAGGTGCAGGGTTAGCCTCTCATCAACTTCATCTCAGCGACCTTAACAGTCTCAACCATCTCAACAATCAAATATCTCAGGAGTAGGGAACGTAGCGTACTTGAACATTAGCGGTGCACAGTCTGGTGATACCGTGAACCTTGGAGCCTTCAACCCCGGGAGGCTTCAGAGCCAGCATGGACCGAAGGTAGCTATCCAGCTCCGCTACAGCCGACGACATGATGGGCTCGCGAGTCTTCGCGAGACGGCAATGTCTCAAACAGCGAGGATCCTGGGTATGTGTCTTCGCGTGGCGGTGTTATGTGACTCTTTTAAGGCGGTCTGCAGCGACCAGAAAACAGAAGACGGCGGCGGCGGTTCTACTTGCGAAGCGAGAGAAGAAAGAAAAAGTCAGTTGTCCAGGGAGAAGAAAATCTGTAAAGCCTTAGGAGTGTTTATTTGCGACCATGTTCCTTCGAGTACGAAATATCTTGTGGATCGTCGCAAACTACAGCACGAGTGCATTCACTGTCGCACCAGAGAACCTGCCGCCATCAGCTGGAATACAGCCCTTGCGAGGAGAGAAGATGAGACTGCCGAGGGGTTGCCGAAAAGAAAATGCTGGTCGCGTGAATTACGAGTCCAAGGAGTGTACGAGTGTAGAGGTACAGGGGATTTCGAAAACAGATTACCCCCCAGACACACACACTTTCTTTTCCAGGCAGGCTAATCCACCGGCTTCGGACACAAGGTTGGCCGAGCAACCTGATCCTCTGGATAGTCTCTTTTGTCACGGAACGAACTGTACAAATCCTCTTCGATAATAAATTAGGTCCACACGTGGATATATCATGCGGGCTCCCACAAGGATCTCCAATTTCCCCATGTTATTCATGCTTTACATCGCCCCTCTGTTCCATATGGGCAAACCAGAAAAGAGATTTGGTTACGCCGACGATGGTGCGATTCTGGTAATCTCCACATCCCTTGTAACCAACAGCAAGATACTGAGCACATCCTTGCAAGAAGCAATCACATGGGGGAACGCTGAAGGAATCATATTCGCGCCGGACAAATATGAGCTCATCCACTTCTCGCGACATCGAGCAGAGCAAGATCCAACCCAAACCCCCTCGGTCTCAGCTGGCTCAATCACAGTCTCCGAAGGGACAGAGCGCCCATATCTCCGCTGGCTAGGGATCCTTTTTGACAAGAAGCTCAGGTTCAACTGGCATGTCCAAGAGATGACATCTAGAGCAGCGACGATAGCGACTGCCCTCCGCTGTCTTGGAAATACAGTCCACGGGATGAAACCTCACCTCCTACAACAGGCTATATTGGCCTGTGTCCTCCGCAAAGCATACTTTGGCGCCGAAATTTGGTGGCCCGGCTGTGACCGGCCCAGGTCGCGTCCAGGCTCCCCTCCAGTCTCAAACCGAATGAACAAACACCTAAAGGACCTATCCACTGTGATTCTGACAGGCGCCAGAGCAGTCCTCCCAGTGTTCTGCACCACACCAACACCTGCTCTACATCGAGAATCTGGTTTCTACCCTCCAGAAATCGAGTTGGATCGGATCGCCCTTGCAGCGTCTACACGTCTCTCCCGACTAGATCCCGACCATCCTCTTCAGAAACGGGCTAAGGCGATTATACAGAAAGGTCGTCCAACCAGCCGTCTCGCACGCCGGGTTCTGACACTACCCCGCTCAGAACAGGTTAACCCACTGACCCACCCACCCTGGCTGGAGCACGAACCGAGGGAAGCAGCTCTAGCGCGGGTTGGGGCCACGGGAGGTCTTACAAAAGAGCAAGCTGCAGACAACTTTCGAACACACCTCAAATCTATCCCGGAAAGTAACATCGTCATCTATTCCGATGGATCCAAGCAAGTTAATGGACAAACGGGCGGGGGGTTCGTTGGTTTCATAGCTGGCTGCCAGGTCGTACGCGGCTCATTCCCCCTGGGTCGTAACAAGGAAGTTTTCGACGCAGAAGCAATAGCAGCTCTCTTAGGACTGAAGGCTGCTATAAAGCACCTAGGGCCCTATGCAGCATCTAACATATGGATATGTCTGGACAACCTAGAAGTTGCGATCCGTCTTCTATCCTCGACCACGGGCTCATCACAGGAAGTCTTCAAGGAGTTCCGTACAGTCGCTGCCACCTGGACATCCTGCCAAATACGTCCATTCACTGAGAATGGCCCAATCCGGATCCGCTGGGTCCCTGGACATGCAAACATTCCTGGCAACGAAGCAGCAGACCAGGCCGCTAAAGAGGGCGCGAACCAAACCCTGGCCCCTCCTCACCTATAGTCGTATGCAGCTCTGAAGCGACACACCAAGTCATCAGCAGCTGCCCTGGCTCAGACGCACTGGATGAAAGTCGCACCGCAGGCCTATCAAGGCCTCGGGATTACTACCTTCCCAACCCGTCCGGAAGAGCTCAAACTCCCTCGCCCTATATTAGGGCGGATCCTAGCTGCGCGCTCCAAGCATGGAGACTTTGCAGAATACCATGAACGGTTCAACCACCAAGATGCACACCTATTTTGTCGATGCGGCACGAGGAAGTCACCAATACACTTCTTCTTCTGCCGGATTGCAAAAAGAAAGGTCGCCCGACCCCCTGGACCTCCCGGACCCCCATCTGAGATCATCCCCTTCCTTCTAGGGACTCCAAAAGGCGCTATTAAACTAGCCGCGTGGTTCTCAGAGTCTCGTTTCTTTGAGGACATCTGCCCTCGACGCCCTCTTCTTAGCACCTGAGCTAAGCAATCCTAACAACTTTCTTTTAATATCTCTTTTGTTTTTCATTATGTCTTTTCTTTTCTATTTTTCTCTTCACTTTTTAAGTTCCATCGGAGTCGAACAGGTTAGATTCGGTCATGGGGAGTAGGCGGACCACTGCAGCTGGCAGCAACGTCAGACCTGTATACACTACTGGTCATCCATCTTACCACGGCAGCTATGGAAAAGCGCCAAGGAGTCACATTTTGTAACTAGTTTCTTGACACCCAGGGCTTACCCCCTGGCGGCCTTTATCCCACTAGGGAATTGGTAGGTAGTGTTTAATCACAACCTACGGCCGTAAGATAATGACACACACACACACACACACACACACACACACACCGCTTTCTTTCCCAGCGCCCCACTTACGGCGACGCTAATCCTCAAATGACTAGCCTCTCAACCTCCCTGCAAGAAGCCCTCGACTGGGGCACTACGGAAGGAATCACCTTCGCGCCTGAGAAATACGAACTGATCCATTTCTCGCGCCGTAAGGATGACCAAGATCCTAGCCGCACACCAAGCGTCGTAGCAGGCCCGATTACAGTCTCTGAGAATTGATTCTTGTGGGGGGCAACAGAGTTCATCTTGAGTGGAGCAAAGCGCGAGGACCTGGGACAGACTATCCCTCGACTCGCTCGAGCCCGAGACTACCAAAGGACGAAACGCCAAAACATCCACATCGGTGCTCTCTACGGCTGCAGAAACCACCCAGTCCCGCTCGCTATCGACACGGAGTATATACCCTGCACCCACCGAGTGGAATGCCGAGAAGTTCGCGTCGTCGCGGTTGGGTAAATATAAAACCGTACGGTAATTATTATACAGGATGATGATAACTCGATTGGGCGACTGGCCAAATGTGGGTCCAAGTGGATGTAGCATATCCGATCAATCTGCAACCCTAGAGTGAGGGTTGTAGGCGTTATCGCCAAGACATAGCCCAATATGGAGTAGATTAACCTTACTCCATACCAATACCACGCCATATCTCACTTCAGGAGGTTCGAGTTGGATGCAGAGAAATGGATACCATGATGTTTCGTAGAGGCTCATCTTCCTGCGGCTTATGTCTTGGGCTGCTATCTGTCTCTAGCCGGGGAACCTCTGATCATGGGTCTTGAAACTGCAAAGGTTATGGCCGAAATTGGCTATGCGCGATTCCACCGAGACAAGCATTTTTCGGAAGACAGCCATTCCCGCTTGCCCCTGTTAGAGAGGGAGAGGGCTGGCCTTTTATGTAGTCCCGTGTCACGTGGAAAGAGATGAAGAGCCGAGGTTTCAATGAGGATGTTCTGAACCGCGAACTTAAAAGAATTCTTGGACTTCGGGAGTAGGTCCCTCGACTACAGGTTAGTGGGGAACTAGTGGTTCTTCAGAAGGCTGACTGGACACGATTATTTGGCGGTTTGAAACTGCCACCCCACAAGTCATTGAGTTGCTTCGGCGTTTCTGACCTCAACGCTCGCAGTTAACTAACTAACTAGTTAGTCAATTAGAAGGCAGGTGAGTCATCAAATGCCGGGAAGATCGCTTCTCAAGTATAGGCGGCCATTGTTGAACACTTCTGTCCGCACGAGGTCCAGGTGGGTACGACTACCGAACTAGTTTTTAAAGACAGTGCCTCCTACTGACGGGTGAGAAGCCAGAGACTCGCGACTAGCCGAAAAATATGCGGAACTACAAATTCCCAACCAGAAAATTAGTATTATATCATTGCTGAAGATAGTAGTGAAGAGCAATTTCTCCAGGAAAATTGGAATACCATCATTGAGAAAAATTTGGACCTCTGGTGATCTTCTCTTGCTCAAGAAACGAGATTCATCAATAAGTCGTTAGGCCTTTGAATTCCTTCCCCCTTGTCCTAACCCGATATTTATGCAGTGATATTGTGACTGGGTCTCCGCTCATCGCTTCATGTACGCAGTTCTCCACTCCCGCGAAGAAGACTTGGTGGGACTAAATCCGTGGGACTTGTCACACAAGGCGGCGGCTAAGTGTAGGGTTTGCACTTGAACTTCGGAGAATTTTTCCGAAGCCACCACGGACCCGATCTATGGTTCGTCCCCAAGGACAGTAATTGTTCATTCCCGAGTAGCTATCTTGGATCCCCTCAACATCACTGGTCAAAAACGCCGGTCAGATTCTTCCCTAACAGGCTTAATTTCCGGCATCGAAAAAGGTGGTCTGTTCACTGCATCATCATCCGTTGCTAATATGTTTCGGATGATCCAGTGTGCTGGGAATACCATTGCCGAGAGGCTTCTCAGGAATACAGAGACGCCTTGGAGTCTCCGATGTGTCGAACGACTCGAACGGCTTTGGTTGTGTCAAGGCCATAACCTAATAGAGCGCATAGATCAGCGTTCTCCGGCTGCATATCATGCACACGATATGGGTCACTAAGCAGTGCCCCAGTGAAGGTTGACAAATTCTCGTGCAGGGCGGGGGTACACTCATTGGGGCCCTTGGAAATGGGAAATGGAATACTGTATAGAGGCGGTGGCAAGCTGGCAATAGATCCTCTTACTTCTACTAGTGATATTGCGGTGCTCAATATGGTGCTTTGGGCCTGCTTCGATTATTCACGCCTTCGACAGAGGTTCCCCTGTGTGCCTCGACTCAGCTCATCGCCATAGAGCGGGAGAAGTTGGACTTTCGCGGACACAGCGTACGAGTTCATATAGAATTTTGTATGTAATGTGATACATCTCTTTCCCTAGACATGCTTGTCAGCTGCAGAGTGCTAGTTACCTCCTTGGCAGCAGATGGGATATCCTCTATATATCGGCGTTTTTCTATGTATTAAAAAACCACTAATCTTTTAGTGTAAATTTTGGTACCCGGTGGATCCTGCAAAGATCTTGCTAGGCAGTGTAGGAAAGAATGGATCCCTCGCAAATGTTTTGGTGGGGTCAGACCGTCAGAGTAATTCTTACCGCAATTAGGTAGGCGGTAGAGGCAAGATGTGGGTGGGTGTGATGGGTGGGTCCTGCGTGTTGTTAAATATTAGGAATGCCCTATAGCTATGGAAATACCGTTGATTTACTAGGCGATTGGCGCAACGGAATCAAAGGGAAAAATACCAAACGATGAGGTGAAAAGAGTGTTGATTCTTGTTCTGTAAAACTGCTGGGGGTCGAGGGGGTTTAAATATGTCGAACTTACTATAGTTACCACTTGAACGGTCTTATTCATCAAGAGACCACATTTCTTATGTTTTTGTATGTAAAGTTGGGCCTGTGACTTGGGTAAGGAAACTGATCCGAGGCATCCATATTCATAGCGGATCTGCATAGGTTGCGCAAAAAATCAAGGTGCATCTGGATTCACAGCAGATTGGTATTCTTCTATAAGCTCTATAAGCACGTAAGCAAAGATCAGGCATGGCGCCCAGCTAGGGAGGAAACCTATCGTCAGCGAGTCGCCAATTGGCGAGACGAACGGCAAGTTCTCCTTGCCCCAGACCGCTGTATGAGCAGAAAGGTGGTAACAGTATTTCTCACAAAGGGGTTGTGGTTCTGCTTAATGGCGGGGACAAACAGTTGGCGATACCTTACATTTCGTTGTCCCTTCCTTGGATTTATATTTTTTTAATGGTCGTGTGGTTGAATTTGGAAATTAGTTAGGGGTTCATGAGGGAGAGACGAACGTGGGGGTTTATCATCATCGTAAGGGGTTAACCGGCCCTTACAAAAGATACTATTTTTTACGGACCCTCGCGGAGCGAGGGTCCGCCACCCATACGATACTGCCTACCCAAACGATATCGGATCTCCATACAATCAAACCACCTAGTTTCAATGCGATTTTAACAACCAAAGCAGTGCGATTTAAAAGATAATTCATATACCGAAATGTAGCCAGTTGATTGGCCAATACAGAAAGCCATACTACTTTTTAATGAAATAGCCCTTCTTCTTGCAAACCCTCTTCAACTCCGGCAAGACCTCCCGCTTGAAATACGGTCGCAACTTCATAAATGCCTTTAGATCATCACCACTCTGGATAATTCGCTTTATACGCTCAACCTGGCTAGAATGCACTATCCCGGTTAACTTGGAGGCCTTTCGTGACCGATTCTCGCGTGCGTAGCGTATCTCCCGTAGGTAATTCGAGTTCTTGATATTACCCTGCAGCTCATCAACAAGATAGACGAGCTTGGTTGTAGCGTTTGCCAATTTCTTGAGTAGGCGACGAGAGGGTGTTTGTTGTATACGAGAGATCTTATCCTCTAGCCGTTTCTCTAGCTTCTTCACACGGTCAGCGGTCTTTGGTGTACTAAGATCTGAGGAATCTTGGCTACCGGCCGCTATTGTTGACGGAGGGCTTGGTGTATTAAAGCCGAAATCGACCTCATCGACCTCATCAACTAAGTTTTCGAGGACTATCGTAGGCTCTGGCCAATCAATCGAAATCCTAGCTTGATTGTAGAAGGTTTGAAGGTCTTCTGCCGAATCTGCGCGATCGCACCAAGGAAATCGTCCTTGGTAATCTTCTCATAGCCACTGACTGTAGCATCGTACACCCACTCACTGTGCCAGTGCTTATAAGCACTAAAAACACCAACATCAAGCGGTTGAAGTATATGGCTTGAATGAGGAGGTAAGAAGAAGAGTATAATCTGATGATCCTCACAGTACTTGACGAATTCGTATGTGATGCGAGCCGAATTGGTCGCAGATTAACATACGATGTGTGCCCTTGACCGAATCCTTGGTAAGCTTATTGAATAGCTGAATTCACTGTAGGGCCAGCACGTTGTTAAGATAGCCAGTATCGGTCACAGCGATTCTCTCATCGCCTACTATCTCGAACCATCGTAGTAGAAGGACCTTAGCGCTTAGGATTACTACCGGTGCGATAGTAGACCCAGTAGCTGAGACTGCTTCAATAGCAGTTGCATACTCGCGATTAGTACTAAAACCGCCAAAGATTTGGCGCTTAGGTTCGCGGGTAATGATCCACTGGTCTTGACCAACGCCGATATTAAAACCGGTCTCATCGAAGTTCCAAATATCGTCCGCGGTAATTCCATATTGAGCAGTCGTCTCCTGGTAGGAATTGAACCACTCTCTTGCAATCTGCCTACCTAGACACTTCTTTCTCTCTATATCTATAGCTCGCTGGCGGCGAGAGAGATACTCAGGATGGCGTTGAAGGAAGCGATGTAGCCAATGGTCACCGATTGTAGGCGGTTCAGTTAGACCAGTATGGGTACTAGCCAGGATTGTATTGGCAGCGGCCGCGATTGCCAGTCGCTTAGGAGGAAAGCTAATCGAATCAAGGAAGTCGATATAGCTTCAAAGGGCAGATTCTTGCAATTCATCAAGCTTGCGCCCGTTAGGTTGCCGGTCAGAGAGCGATGGGCGGCCTTTATACCGCGCAAGAAGCCGCTGGTAGGGTAGGTTTTTAGCGCGTTCCCACGCTCTAATATTAGGGCTTTCAACATTCTCTAATTCAAGAATGGCCAATTGGATGCGAGATTCAATAGATGCATTTGATTCTTTGGATTTAGGCATGGTTGTGGCGAGAAATCGCGTGTTGAAAAGGGGTGTTTACTATGGGAAAACGCGATATCGTATGGGTGGGCAGTATCGTATGGGTGGCGGACCCTCGCGGAGCGAGGGTCCGTAAAAAATAGTATTTTTTGTAAGGGGCCGGTTATTGGTTTCCTTCGTCCCCCGCCTTTCTTTGTGCTTTGTATGTAAATTACGGGGTTCCGAGACAACACTTACAAGTCACTCTCGAGTATCCCATGGGTCCTCTAAGACACGGAAGAATTGGTCCCATCCACATATCAACTACGGACCAACTCTGCAGATGTGTATTTAACATACCCTCTGCCTGCCACCCATTTTATCTACAACCAATCAATTCAATCTGTCAATCCTACTGATTGGCTCCCCTTTCAAAAGAATCCCCGCTCATTGCATACCATGCCGTACTGTATTAGCTTGTTCTGACAGATCATTTCCAAAACATGTACATTGACGGGGACATTAATTTTCGCACCCCTAGCCAGACCGCCTAATGTTTAACCTACCGCCTATCACATATGGATAACTAGAAAACTTTCAGAGACCATTTCTAATAGAATTGAAGTAATTATTGGATTGGAGGTGTGTATACGCCCTACTAGGGTCTACTGGGGCTGCTTTCGCCGGTGTTTAGTAGATGTGACTTGATATCATACTGTTCTGACAGACGTTTTATAACAGGGAGAATATTATGTAATGAGGTGGGTGGTAACGTTATGGGGCCGGGGTGCGAAAATTAATGTCCCGTCACTGTACATTACCAACTGTAGCTAAAGCCCAGAACGGTTAGCTCACAAGCCCCACATCAACAATTACAGTCAGGTTACATTAATATTTGGACCCCGGGCCCCACCCTATTATTACATAATATTCTGCCTTACAAAAAGCTCCCCCAGAGAGTCCAAGAAATTGATTTCCATAACGATGGATAGAATATTAGATGAAATGAGAGGGCTAAGTGTATATAGGACTATCTGTTTACAGGTTATTTCGCAAATTGCGGCCTCGTAGCAATATGGCCTATTTTCTAGCCAAGTGGAAATAGTAGGCGGTAGGGAGTGTTCTAGGCGGTGTGAGCAGGGGGTCTAAATACTTTTGTAACCTGACTGTAGCATTGCGAAGGATCTCACTGCTCCTTCACCCATACCCCCAAATATTTCTATATTTTTGATTTTCGTTCCAGTGAAGGGCAGAGCAAATCATGCAGTACCTTTTCGAATAGCAATCCGCCATCTCCAGTAAATGGACACGAACGTGATCCGACAATATCGCCGTGCGGCTTTACAGGTTCAAAGACCAACATCTCGCCATGGTCGTCACGAAATCTTGAAATCATCGTGAGAGTACGGAGACCGGCCGACACACTGAAGTCGGTCACATTAGCTGAACAGTTTGATCCTGGCCCTCTTCGGTTGCGCAATGAGGCAAACGCCATCACCCAAGGCCGGCAAGGCTCTTATTCACCCTTTGCGTCGCTAAGACAAATTTGAATTCCCGCTGCATAAGGATCCAGAAAGACCAGAGGGAGAATGCACCTAGATATGTGGAACCTCCACAACCGATTGACTTGTAGGACAGGCCGAGAGGCCGGCGTAGCGGACCAAGGGCAGAAATGGCTCATCTCAAGTATAATGGTTGAGTTTAAGGCAAAGGCGACGGGGGAAATGATCGACTCCACAAACTGTCGCTGGAACTTCTAAGCTATCAAGATCTCGGAGAAGGCCAAGTCATCAATGGGTTCCGTTGAGAGACGTCTGCACGTCGCTATATCGGTAAGCGACATTGCCTTTCTATAGGCCGGGGGCTGACGTACATGGCCCCATTACACTTGGGTCATCTAATGACGATCGATTGAGCACAACATGTAGCCGTTACAGTAATTCAAAGTACACGCAAAGGATATGGTAATAGCTTCTTCAGTAAACTCAACTATGAAGGGGTGTCCTTTTGAACCCGGCTGTTAATAGAGTGATATATACGATAGAAGAGAAAAAGTGAATAGGGTGCGGAGGGTGCGGAAGGACCTTGTCTCATATAGTATTGCCGTTCCATATTCAAGCGCAAAAGATGGGCTCTGACTTAGGTCTCTTCCGAATGCGTTCCTACTTGGCCTCCTAATCCATGAAACCTGGGTTGGAGTATAAGGTCTATGTTGAGGTTTGTATGCCCGAGATGCACGGTCATGTTGTGAGAAAATACTCGGCAGCAGACTCCTCGATTTTTTCAATGGGTGGATGTAGGCCAAGCGACCTGAAGATAACGGTTGCGAAAGTAAGAATATATTTGCCGTTATCCTTGTCTATCCTTGCTTAATACGAATTCCAAGAGTTGGCAATTCCCGATTCGGGACTAAGCAGTAGGTGTGCTTTGCAGCTACTCTAGTCGTTCTAGGCATGTAAATAATACCATATTTGCTGACTAATTTCCTGGATCAATTACCTTAGCACACATCGCCAATGATAAGGGTAAACGGAAGGTTACACAGTATGTATGTGTTGGTAACCCCGCCCTAACGCACAGGGTGCTCTACTAGGAATGGGCTTAATCGTTTTATGTCCTAAGTTAATAAAATCTAGAGAAAAGTCGGTGTACGTATGGACAGGTGAGCGTTCAGGTGCATTAGCTTATAAGCTGTGATACGTGTATGCTGAGTCCAGTCAGGTGATGTCCAAATCTTATTATATATAGACGGTTCGGAGTAGGATCTCTGGATTTAGAACTCAGACTCAACGTTGGGTTCTTGAACTTACGATTAGCATCTTAGTATCTATACTATCTTGACCTGAAATTTTTGGATCTGACCAGAGGCAGATATGTCTCAAGTTCTTAAGGGATTTACGGCCGTGAATGACACCAGCCCTTCTGTGGATTCTCAGATGAAGGGAATGAAACGGTATATACCTGAAACTAGTTCCTATGTCCAATTATTTGACGTCATGGTTGACCGCTCCTCTAAATCTTTTCCAGACAATATTCTCCTGATAGAACAGAGGCAATTGCCATTGTTGGGATGAGCTGCCGTTTCCCTGGGGACTCAAACACCCCCGAGGAATTCTGGGAGTTATGTGCCCAAGGACGAGATGCTTGGTCGGAACACCCACCTAGCAGATTCAATGCGAGCTCCTTTTATCATCCGAATGTTGAAAGGAATGGTTCCGTATGGACATCCCGTCCCCCGTCGAACTAAATTCGTGGCTGCTTTTAACAGCCTTTTGCACAGATGGTCATGAGTGGCGGATATTACTTGAAGCAAGATATCTCTCATTTTGACGCTCAATTTTTCCAGATAAGTCCAACTGAAGCGAAGGTACTTTGGGATCATACACGCAGGAATTGTATGTAGCTGACTGTGCCAGGCCATGGACCCCCAACAGAGGATTCTGCTTGAGTGCGTTTACGAAGCTCTGGAGAGCGGTAAGTCGCGCGGCATCATGAATGCTTCTAGTCGCTGACGTTCATTTTTCAGCGGGTATTCGCATGGACAGTATCAGAGGGACCAACACCTCAGTCTACACATCAGCTTTTAATTTGGACTATGATCAACTGCTGAGAAGTGACCCAGAGAACCTTCCCGTGTATCAATCCACGGGAAACGCTCCCTCGATCCTGTCCAACAGAATCTCTCACTTCTTCGACTTGAGGGGCCCCAGCGTCACCATTGACACCGCTTGCTCGTCGAGCCTCGTAGCTATGCATACAGCATGTAACGATTTACGTTCCGGTGAATCTAAACAAGCAATTGTAGGAGCCGCAAACCTGATCATCAATCCGGATCGAGCAGTTGAAATGACTCGACAGGGGTATGTGTTTGCACAGGTCTTCGGGAGCAGGGTACAGTGCTGACCAGATTTCAGCTTCTTTTCACCTGACGGGCGATGTTATACCTTCGACGACCGTGCCGAAGGGTATGCCCGTGGCGAAGGGATTGCCTGCATTGTCTTGAAAACCCTAAATGATGCCCTGCGGGATGGCGATCCCATCAGAGCAGTGATTCGAGAAACTTTCACCAACCAAGATGGAAGAACCGCAGGCATAACATTACCCAACCGTGATGCGCAAGAATTACTGATTCGCTCTGCCTATATAAGAGCAGATTTAAGTCCTCTGGACACCAGTTACATCGAAGCGCACGGTACTGGGACAGCAGCGGGTGATCCAGTTGAGGCCGAAGCCATTGCAGCAGTGTTTGGTGAAGGAAGACCGAGTCATCAGCCACTCCGCCTTGCATCGGTTAAAACAAATATTGGGCATTTGGAGTCTACAAGTGGACTAGCGGGCGTGATCAAGTGTGTGAAGATGCTTGAAAATGGGGCCATCGCCCCGAGCCTCAATTTCAGACGAGCAAATCCACGCATCCCTTTGGAGGAATGGAAACTCATGGTATCTATGCTCCTTCAAACTTTTGTTCGACAGAGGCTGATTTGCAGAACAGGTACCTTTGAAACTGGAATCGTGGCCATCTGATGGTGTTCGACGTGTGTCGGTCAATAGTTTTGGGTTCGGGGGTACGAACGCACACCTTATCATGGAAGATGCAGGCCAATATCTTGCCCTACGTGGAATGAAATCATCTCATCGATCAGTATCCCCTCAGACAGGCAAAGACCCTACTGTGATGGGAAAAAGCGATGGTCAACGGCGGCTTTTCGTGGTCACTTCCAACGACAAGGAAACGTTGAAAATGTCCCTGCAGAATCTAAAACACTACGTTCAAATGCATACCCCTCACCAGGTGGAATGTTTCATGGAGGACCTTGCTTACACGTTGAATCAGCGCCGGTCTATGCTGCCATGGAAGACTGCAGTCTCAGCAGCGTCAGCAGCAGAACTCGTCGAGTCACTCCAAGCCCCGACTATAACGCGGTTATCCACAAAGGTTCCAAGAATTGGTTTAGTGTTTACTGGTCAAGGAGCCCAATGGCACGGAATGGCACAAGAGCTGATCCACGCGTTTCCGGTGTTTGAGTCGACTTTGGTCGAGGCTAATTGCTATTTGCAAAAAATGGGAGCAACATGGTCGATCTTCGGTAGGGGAAATGTTTCACTGAAAAAATGTCATGCCACTGAGGTTCTGACAAAGAATAGACGAGCTGGACCGCGACGCAAGCACAACCAACATCAACATCGCCGCCATCTGCCAGCCGCTGTGTACTGCCATCCAGATAGGCCTAGTAAACCTCCTGCAGTCATGGGGTGTTCAAGCCTCTGCAGTTGTCGGGCATTCAAGTGGGGAGGCTGCTGCGGCTTATGCCGCAGGCGCCCTAACAATGGATGCGGCCCTGTCAATTTCTTATTTCAGAGGATTGCTCTCTACGAACATCTCCAGCAAAGCTCCTCATCTTCCTGGTGCCATGATTGCTGTCGGTGTATCCAAGGAGGAGGCTGAGACTTATATCTCGACTGTTTCTTCAGGATACGTCACCGTTGCTTGCATAAACAGTCCCTCCAACGTGACGTTGTCTGGTGATGCTTCGGCCATCGAGGAGCTCCTCAGACAGCTTCAATCCAAAGAAGTCTTTGCTCGCAAGCTCAAATCGGACACCGCGTATCATTCGAATCATATGCAAGCCATTGCAGACGACTATCTCATGGCATTGCGGGATCTACGAACGAACCCGCTGATCAGAGTTCCATTTTGGAGTTCGGTTACTGGCCAGCTTGTTGAAGCCATAGACCTAGATGCCAAATACTGGGTCAGGCATATGCTTTCCCCTGTAAGATTTGTCGAATCTGTGCGAAATTTGTGCCTTCGCTCCCAACAAGCACACCATCAAGGCTTAGAAAGGCGAGACAGCGCCATCGACTTTCTCATTGAGATTGGCCCACACTCTGCTCTAGCAAGCTCCGTGAAACAGATCCTGGCAACTCCGGAATTGAAAGATGCAAACATTGAGTACACATCTACCTTGCGCCGAAACAGGGATAATGTGGCCGCCATACTTGACTCTGCATCTGCAATATTTACCGCGGGGTATCCCCTCAAGATGAACGCCATCAACCTTCCCAGGTCCCAAAGTTTGCCGCGTGTTCTAGTGGACTTACCCCCCTATGCGTGGAAGCATACCGTTAGCCATTGGTACGAGAGTCGCCTCAGCACGAACCATCGGTACAGAAAACATCCCCGACATGACCTCCTGGGCGCCCCTGTCAATGATTTCAATGAGTTAGAGCCGAGGTGGAGAAACATTCTTCGTGTATCGGATATCCCTTGGGTGCGGGATCATGTGGTGCAATCCAGTATTGTCTACCCGGCTGCTGGATACATCTCAATGGCCATCGAAGCAGTTGCACAATGCATCTCGGATCAAGACACTACCGCACTTGGTTTTAGGCTACGAAACCTTGATATCAGCAAGGCGCTTGTGATTCCCGATGACTCTGACGGCATTGAAACAAATTTTGTTCTTCGTCCATTTAATGGAAGTAGTAGCGGCTCTTCAACTACTTGGCAAGAATTTTGCCTCTACTCACATAGCAAAGAGGAAGGGTGGTCCGAGCATTGTCGTGGTCTGATTGCTATGGAGGGGAAAGAATCGAAATCAGGGATTGACACCAGAGAGAAAAGCCAGGTGCTGGAGACTAACCGGCAGAAATTTGCAGATGGGGCAACTGCTTGCCACGAAGTCATTGACATCCAAGGAGTGTATCGCCTCCTTGAAACTCTTCAGCTTAAATTTGGTGGGACTTTCAAAAACTTGGTCGACGCATATGGCGGACCTTGCCAAGCATTATGTACCGTCGCAATTCCCGATACGAAAGCTGTCATGCCACAAGGTTTTGAATATCCCCATGTCGTCCACCCGGCCACAATGGACGCCATTCTCCAGACCTTCATCATCTCACTAATGAGCACTGGGACACCTGAATCACCTATGTTGCCAAAGTCTATCAAGGAAATTTTCGTCGCCGCAGACATCAACAAGACCGCAGGCCATCAGTTTTCAGTCCATGCGTCTACCCAGTTCAAGGGTCCTCACGAAACTGAAACGGTCATCACGGTGGTTGACGATTCTAACCGTGACAAGTCCACTCTCGTCGAGGTTAAGAAATTGAAATGTGTCTCACTCTCAGGCAGAGACTTAAAACAGAATGTGGAGCGGAGAAAGCTCTGCTATAACATGTCTTGGGAACCTGATGTCGACATGCTCACTCCTGAAATGTCCAGAAAGCTCTTCTCCGCAACATCGGGCGCTGTTGACCCCATCACAATTTCCATTTTGGATCACATTTCCCTCCAATACATTGCGGATGCGCTCAAGGTGCTGAAAGAGTCAGACTATGACAATATGCAGCCGCACCATCAACGATACTATAAGTGGATGCAACTGCAATCCAACCTTGCCTCAGCTGGCAAGCTGGAGACTCTCAATTTACTGGAAGCAGCCCGTGACTCTGTTAATGTTGACAAACTCCGCAATGAGCTTCAAGGAAGCCCCGACGGCCGGTTGCTTGATAAGGTGGGAAGCAATCTGGTTCGCATTTTGACAAATCAAGCCCAGCCTCTAGACCTGATGATGGAAAATGACCTGCTTCATGAATTGTACAGCAACGGCATCGGTGTCGACCGCTCCTCGGCACAACTGGCTTCGTACGTCGACAAGATCAGTCACAAATTACCGAATATGAACATCTTGGAGATTGGCGCCGGTACCGGCGGGTCAACGTTGCCGATGTTGCTGGCATTAGGTGGACATGACAACCGTGACGCTCGCTTTAGTCACTATGCATTCACGGATATCTCCTCCGGTTTCTTCGAGAAAGCACGGGCTAAATTCAACGCCTGGTCAGGTCTCATGAGCTTCAAGAAGCTTAATATCGAGTGTGATCCCGAAGAGCAAGGATTCCAGAAACAGGAGTTCGATCTGATCCTTGCAGCCAATGTTGTGCATGCTACTCGGAGCCTGGATAACACAATGCAGAATATCCGAAGCCTTTTAAAACCAAACGGGAAACTGATTATGGTCGAGATAACGCATCCGGCCGTTCGTGTTTCCTTGATCTTCGGGACTCTACCTGGATGGTGGTTAGGTGAGACTTCTGATGCTGGTATGTGTATGGTCTTTAACCCATTTTGCAGCTACCGAGGAAAGCCGTGAGATGGCTCCAACTCTGGCGGAATCCCAGTGGGAGGCAGTCCTGAAGAAGAACGGCTTCAGTGGGCTGGACGCATGCTTGTGGGACCAGCCAAAAAGGAAGGACCATCTAGCCAGTCTTATCGTATCTACTGCGCTGTCTGCTGTGGAAGATAAGTACCCCGAGGTAACATTGATCCACGACGGATCGCTGGAGAGTACATTCCTAGATCTTTTGCAAGGGTCCTTGGCTAAGGTTGTTGGAGTGCCACCAACATTGAACTCACTGGAAAACGCTCAGGTGGATGGTAAGGCCTGCATTTTTCTCATCGAGCTCAACCGTCCAATTCTCTCTTGTCTCAGTTCTGCCCAGTTCAATGCCATCAAAAGATCCATCACAACGGCCCAGGCTGTTCTGTGGGTTTCTCGTGGAGGTAGAACTCCCTCGTCAGAAATGCCCGAAGCCAGTTTGGTCTCTGGTCTATTCTGTGCACTAAGGTGCGAGTTTAAATTGTCTAAGTTGGTGACGCTTGACCTTGACCCTCAAACTCCCCATGATGAAACAACAGATATAGAGTCGATCATAGGTGTCTTCCGATCCGCTTTCAGTCTCGAAAGTGACAAAACAGAATGCGATAATGAATTTTGTGTGAGGGATAAACTCATATCCATTCCCCGCGTTCTCGAAAATCATCAGATGAACGACTACATCTCAGCGAGAGCTGCGCCGAAACGATCTGCGCAGCAGGCTTTCAGTCAGACCTCTCGATTTTTGCATCTGGAGATAGAGATACCAGGCCTCCTGGACTCGTTCATATTCGTGGACAATCCAGCCTTTGCTCTTCCACTGGGAGATGACGAGGTGGAGATAGAGATTAAAGCCTGTGGTCTGAACTTCCACGACGTCCTGACTGCCATGGGTCACATTGAAAGTGGGCCGCTGGGGTATGAGTGCGGTGGGATTGTCCGAAGTATTGGAAATCATGTGAAGTCCGTCGGTGTAGGCGAACGCGTCTTTGCTTGGGTAATCGGGGCATTCGGCAACTATGTCCGCACCAACAAGAAATTGGTCCAAAGAATACCGCGGGAGATGACCTACGAGGAGGCTGCCTCAGTACCTGCCGTATATTCCACGGCCTACATATCGTTATGTGAAACAGCACGCCTCCGCAAAGGGGAGACTGTGCTCATCCATGCCGCTGCAGGTGGGGTTGGCCAAGCGGCGATTGCCTTGGCTCAGTGGATTGGAGCTGAGGTATTTGCCACGGTGAGCACAGTGGAGAAGAGGCAGTTCATCATGGAGCGGTATCACATTGCCGAAGATCACATCTTCTCTAGCAGAGACACCACATTCGCCTCAGGCGTCATGAGATTGACCGAAAATAAAGGAGTTAACGTTATTCTGAACTCGCTATCCGGGGATGGACTGAGAGAGTCGTGGAATTGCATTTCCATGTTTGGTCGTTTCGTTGAAATCGGCAAGCGAGACCTCTTTTCCAACAGTCTCCTGGAGATGGAGCCATTTCTGCGCCATGTCAGTTTTTCTGCCATTGACCTCGACACCATTCTCTACCACAAGAGCGACTACGCTGCCGAGATCTTGGCAAAAATTATGGAGTTACTTGAAAAGAAGGTCATCGAACCAGTTCAACCCATTACGGTCTTTTCAATGTCCGAGGTTGAGGCTGCTTTCCGATTGATGCAGGGAGGGAAGCATATAGGGAAGATCGTCATTGCCCCACAACCGGGGGATCAGGTCAAAGTAACCAGACCCCATTCTTCACCACAGTGGGCATTACATTAACATGATCTATCTGCAGGCATCCGTGAGAGTGTTGACCAACTCTGTGTTCCGGGACGATGTTTCCTATCTGCTAGTCGGTGGCCTAGGTGGTCTTGGGAAGGCCATTGCTCAGTGGATGGTCTGGAATGGGGCGAAGAACATCGTTTTCCTATCTCGCAACGGGTCAAACTCGCACGGCTCCCAGGAATTTGTCAAGGATCTCGAGAAAGATGGTGCTACCGTCACGAGTCACACTGGCAATGTCTGTGATGAAAAACTGGTAACTGAAATCCTGGAAGAGTGCGCAGTAAAGAAACGTCCCATACGCGGAATTATACAATGTGCAATGGTTTTGAAGGCAAGTTGACCTACTATACTGAAGTATCGTGTATTGATATTTCGAAATTAGGACATCTCATTCGAGAAGATGACTCTCGACGATTATGAATCCGTCCTCCTCCCCAAGGTCGGTGGATCATGGAACCTTCACCGATGCCTCCTGAGGACCGATTTGGACTTCTTCGTGATTCTAGGCTCGGCTGTTGGCGTGGTAGGAAATCCAGGACAGAGTAATTACGCCGCAGCGTCAGCCTTCCAAGACGCTTTATCCTGTCACCGAGTCTCCATGGGCCTCCCGTCGGTAACCATCGACCTGGGTGTCGTTCAAGGGGCGGGATATGTATTTGAAAATGACCAGACGAAAGCCAAGTTGAAGCGGCAGCTCTACGACGAAATTGACATCGAGGAACTTCGTGCGATCTTACAGTTTGTTGTGACCCAGTCTTCTGAGAATCAGTCTTCTCAGGTCATTACTGGTTTACATATCTCTGAGGACCTCGTCCTCGACTCTGAAGAATTTGGCAAAGATCGTCGGAAGCCGCTATGGACACAGGATCCCAAGTTCTCTCATTTACGTTCCGTGTCAGTGATGAGGATTCGAGATAATAATGATCTGGCCAAAGTGCTCCTTTACCGTCTCCAAAAGGCCCAAACCCTAGAGGAAGGGTCGTTAATTCTACAAGAAGCGGTTATTGACAAATTATCTCGACTATTGATGATACCCAAGGATAACATCAGTCCAAATCATACTACTGCCGCCCTGGGTGTCGACTCACTCATCGGCGTTGAGCTGCGCAATTGGGTTTTGCATGAGATCAAAGCTGATATACCGCTCTTTGAGATTCTTGGAAAGGGCTCTATTGCCACCTTGTCCCATCGAATCGCGACCAAATCCGAGCTTCTTGGTCCAGCAGTTCGCATAACGAGCGACCGGAAAAGTCGTTCAGCGGATCCTCTGAGTGACGGAAGACGAGAAGTTACGGAGAATGCGATTCCTCGGGATAACCAAAACGGGACTAAAGGCTTGAAGGAACCGCACCGAGTACGAAAAATGCGTGCGTTGTTTGAGCAGTACTCCCGTGGTCTACAGCCTGCAAGGCATCCGCCGGTGGAAGATGAGAACTGGACTGTGATGCTCATCGGATCCACTGGTTCAGCGGGTTCATATCTGCTGGAGCGTCTGCTCCAGCATCCCAATGTCATCAAAATTATCTGCATCAACCGGTCGATCAACAGCAGGGAACGACAGATTGAGGCGAATGCTTTGCGTGGCCTTCCCACCAATTTCACCCTCGATCGAGTGGAGTTTGTTCAAGCCAAACTGGGTGCTCATGACCTAGGCCTCGCTCCAGAAACCTACAGGTCGTTGCTATCTTCGGTAACGCATGTGGTCCACGCTGCATGGAAACTCGATTTCATTTCCCCCGTCGAGGCATTTGAGCATGATCATCTTTGCGGTGTGCGAAACGTTATCCAATTCAGTATCTCATCGTCCAAGACGCCACGTATCTATTTTCTGTCCAGCCTCTCATCTGTTATTGACTGGCAAAGGCACCATCCAGGATTCATCCCGGAAGAGATCATAGATGATCACAATGCAGCAGTTCCCTTGGGCTACGCTGAATCGAAGCTGGTTGCCGAGCAATTGTTGAGTGTTGCAAGCAAGCGTTGCGGGGTCTTGACGTATGTGATTCGGGCCGGACAACTTACTGGCCCAGTGCATAGGAAAGGCATGTGGAATAGAACCGAATGGTTTCCCAGCATAATTGCCAGCGGGCGGTATTTAGGCCTCTTGCCTGAGACAATGAAGGGAGCTGATACTATCGACTGGGTCCCTGTGGATATCTTTGCGCAAATCGTCATGGAGCTGATGGACGGCGCCGAGATCACGTCTCCTCCTCTCCCGACAGTCTACAACGTCGTAAACCCGCGGTCCGCCCAATGGAGTGTCCTTCTCCCCGCTATCATCGCTTATTTAAACCGGAAAGGGGTTTCTGTTCAAACTGTGCCTTTCGACACTTGGATCAATGCGTTAAAGAAATCCACAACCAGTGGGACGCAGGGCAGTGCTAGTCAGAACCCGGCAAGTTACTTCTTGGAACTTTTCCGGGTCCTTGGGGAAAGGAAGGAAGCCGTAACTCCCGAAATGCGGCGGGCCCTAGCTGCAAGCAACAGCTTAGCTTCGATGGAACCGGTTCAGGAGGAGTGGGTGATGAAGTGGATGCAAGAGTGGGAAATGCACTAGGCTGGTCCGCGGGTAAACGTGCTGGCAAGCTGAGCAGCTCTTATCTCAGTGTTTTCCTATTTGGAAGCTCCGCTGTCCCTTCTACAGTTTTGGCCGTAACGGCATAATGATACAATGCCACCTACCTTCGCAAAATAATTGCGCAGTCGTTTGAAGGTATCTTCCTGAGAAACTCGCCCTGACGCCCAGAGCCCGAGAAATCGGCTCATTAGTAGACTTTAATTTTTGAACATAGAAAAGACCACGATTATCTTCTAAAGAAAATCATGGTCTTTTGCGGGTTGGGCAATACCTGGGCGCTAAGACGGCGCGTAGTTAGTGCTCCTCCACCACTGGCGGTGAGTCGACCAAATAAATCACCCCTAGCGCCACTCGCACCTTGTCCTTGTCCGAGTTACATGCAACACCCGATTTGCTTTTCCTTCGTAGTGCACAGCGTCTAAATTCCATATTGATTGGAAGATTGTACGGCACTACATAGACAGCCCCCTGATTCACTCTAGTGGCATAATAGATTTTCTTGGAGTTCAGAGGAATGTGGGTTGAATTATTCTTTTTCGTAACAAAGAAGCGACTGTGTATAGAAGTGAAAGTACTAACTAATGTCCAATCAACTGTCTTCTTCGTCTAATTAGTGCAGAATTTAATTCTAATGCTTCCCCATTGTTCCTGATGCGCTCTTGTCCTGTATCCCAACATATTTCAATTACTGCTGAGTATACAACGGCCTCCTTTCTTTGAAGGACAACTATGGTCAACTGTTAAACAAAGCATGATTTGTTTAATGTTGAAAGGTCAGTCGGGGGTTGAAGCTAGTTATGAATTGAGGATTTCACGCTTGACATAGGGATCTCTCGACTTCATTCCGATCCGGCTGGATTCCTGATCTGCTGCAGCCTCGAATCACTACACCAAATTGATGCTGTGCGAATATGTATGCGATTTCTGTCTTCGTATTGTGGGCTTCCACTTGCGTCTGTCCCACGAACTTAGGGGGCTACTACACCTGATTCCTGACTTCTACCAACATTTTCCTCGTTAGTCTCACTGACAGCGATGTCAGCAGTGTACGAGGGGAACAAAAATCAACAAAAATAGCTCATGATGGTCTGATAAGGACCACTTCCCAGACAGATCAACCCTCGTATCCGACATCCGTGACCTGCGACCAGTCATTGCGAGGCGATATTCCCTGATCCCATAGTCTCCTTGGTACTTCGGTCAATGCACTTGGAGGTATCGTGGCAGATCGCACATGGAAAAGACTGTCGGGATAGCGAAGAATCCTACTGGCAAGAAACACGAGGAACCTTCGACCAAGGTTCAGCCAACAACTTGTGAGCAGGAGCAAACAACTCCCACCTTTCCCTCCAGTGGAGCCGGACGAAGCGACAGATCGGGTCACTCTTATAAGCACCGAGTCAGATGCCGGGGGAATTGCAAGGAGCTGTGTCGGCAGGGGCCGTGCAGGTATGGATGGAAGTACGCTCTCGCATAGATATGGTGTGGCTTGAAAGTGTCACTAAACTAAACACCGCATGAATCAACAAGCCTTGCCAGTATAACAACATTGATCACCTCATCAGCGCGCCTTGGGGAGTTGCGAACCGCGTTTGCAGTACACACTACTCCTCTACCATAAGCAACGGCCTACCCTTATCCTTCGTGATTCGCAAATCAAAGTGAGATCTCGAAGAGCAGACGTGGAATGCGACCGAGAAAGATGAGAGATCGGAGGACAAAAGGCCTTGTTCATCGCGGTGCGTCAGCTGCAAGGTCAACGGCGGCGCTATAGGCCACTTTTCTGGATGAGAACCATTGCTGTGTGCGAGGGGGTGTTCCGGGGTGTTCAATGAGGCTGAGATTAGGGCCGCTCAAAATTGTAGGTGGACAGAAGCGCGTCGCGTCGTGTTGCGTCATCCGCGTGCTATCAAAGGCAGTGGCGGTGCCAGGAATCCCCTCTGCCAAGGCTGATTGATGCCCGGGATGCGATCCGTCACGGTTGTTGATTGCGCTAGTTGGTTGGTTGGTTGGTTGACGTCATTTACCCCGACCCCTCGCAGCAAAAAGTTGCTTTACCCAACTAGGCCAAAATACGAATCCGTACCTAGCCTAGCGGGCTATGGTTTATAATCCAACTTTAAAAGCGATATGCAGGATACAACTACTTTCTAAATACATGCTGATTGATCCCTGAGATTGTTCCAAACTTCCTGGACGGTGAACTTTGAGCCTCACTTGGTAAAGCCTGTCGTGGCCTTGTTGCCATTTGCGGTATTAGGCTGCCCTCATGGGGCGGCTATAATGAGTTCCCAGATAAGGCGGCCAACAGTTGTCCTCGGCTGGCTGCATTTCCACTAGAAATCGCGAGAATGCTGGCAGTGCTGAATTTAAGAACCTGGACAATGATTGGGCGGCGGATGCGGTTCTTGGGCGTTTCATTTTGCTTTTGTCAAGCTTGAATGGCGACGGTTTATTAAGGAAATGGCGGTGAAGATATTCGATTGTAAGTATGGGGTTGGGAGGCGTAGGGTTGAGGTTTAGTCGTCGGCTGCGGTGAAGATGTGATAGGTTGCTGGAGAACAGAGGCGTAGGTATGTGGTTGACATTGGGGGAGAGAGGTGGTTGTCGGGGTTGGTCGGATGGGTCGTGGAGGACAGGTGGCTGGTAGCGATGCTAGCGGTTCTGATTCGAGCCTGGCGGGTAGTAACTCGGCAGGAGTCTCAAGGTCGAGTTCCGCTTGGATCTCTGGTGTGGGAGCTGTTGGTGCCGGGTAAGGTTCGGGTCGCGAATTAGAATCGGGAGCGGTGATATGGGTAGATGGGGTTGCGGAAGAGGGCGTGCCGGCGTGATTAGATGGAGACGGTAGAAATGGTCTAAGGTCATGGCAAATAACTTGCCATAAGCAGTCTTCTTTGTGTATTTTCGATAAATCGCCAGTGGGGTTTTCCTGGATGGCCTTCAGCGGGACCACGGTCTCACAGGTAAAGCAACATGCGGTGTCGCCCACTCCAGCGGACTTGGTGGTAGAGACCAATTTGGGCAATTTGATGGGGCGTGACACCAGTATGGAGCTGGCGTTGAAATGAGATAGCTCTGGCTGCGAGGGTTGAATAGGTGGTTGAGATGCGTAAGAGGGGCTTCACGATGCGTTGTGGGGTGGTTCGGTTAGACGACAAGGTGGATTCGGTGGTGGGGTGAGAAGCTGCGAACGGGCTGGGGATGATTTTGAAAGGTTTCTGGTTCCCACCAGGGCCTGGTGGATGAGTCTCCATCACCCTCCGTCCTTTTCGGCTCCTTGTATACCTCCTTGTATCCAGTAATCGCCGATTGCGCTAGTTATGGCTTATTTTGCTTGGGGTTGAGCTGTGATGTCGATCATGTTAGGATACTGCCGTCTCCTTCCGGTTGCGCCCCGCCTTAGTCAGCTATAAATAGGAGTAATCCCCCAATAGGAACTGTGTGCTTCCCGACTCTCACATAAACAACCCTGGCGCCACACCCCTGTCCGAGTTACATGCAAGACCCCGATTTGCTTTTCATTCGTAGGTGCAAAGCGTCTCTAAATTTCATCTTTATTTGAAGATTGTATGGCGCTACACGGACAGTGAGCTCTCATATGACTCCTGATTCACTCTAGTGAGCACACTGTTGTAAGTTGCAAAAAGGAAGCTTAATACTTCTTCTTGAAGGAAAACATGAGGGTATATATACAACGCGAAGTCCAAGTTGATTGGAAATCAACTTGGTTCTTCTCATACATAGAGCAGGAATTATTTCCGATGTTGCGGCTTCATTCCTGAGCAGCCACAGCCCAAATCACAACACACACAATTTTTCTTGTAATTCAGAGGAAATTTGATTTATTATTCATTTTTGATGAGATGCAAGTGACTATACATAGAAGTTAAAGTCCAAATTTATTTTCAATCAATTTTCTTCTTTGTGTAGATAGTGCAGCAATTATTTCGATGTTGCGGCATTGTTCCTGATGCGCTCTTGTCTTGTATGTAGAGAAATTGGAGCCTCAGTCAAATGTCTCAAGTGAACTAGCCACGCTCAAACTATATGAAGTCTGATGGGCCGTATTTCCTCTGAAGATTCTGGAAAAATAATTTAAAGCGAAGTAAACTATGTGCGTAAACATCGAATACTCTCAAGAACCATAGCTGCGGGTGTGGCAGATGCCATGGCACAGCATTCTGGTATGCTGACCATTATTTTTGGCCGAGAGCCTGACCAAATCGAGCTAAAGCTTCACTTATATCCCAGGGATGAATGCAGCACTCGAGAACTGCCAGCTTATTTGGTTCTCTCAGAACACGATCCACTGCCAATAGTAAATCGTCGTGGGTCTTGATGCGCATCACAAATAGAGCTGGATTGTTTTGATCTCTTCTTTCCACCTCTGTCAGATAGTTGTTCCCGTTTCCAGGGCTGTGGGATATATTGCACAAGGTCTCCGCAAAGAGAGCATAGTTCCAATTGCTGACGTAATTATATGGACCGTCGTGGATTGCACTCTGATAGATTCGGATAATTAGTTGTTGATCCAAAGCTGGCCTCGACTCTTACCTCAATTCTGTATCCCATGTTATTGAAGATGAAAATCACGGAGTTCATTTTCAATCGAATCATCGTGCTCAACTCCTGGGCTGTCATTTGGAAGCTCCCATCCCCAATCATTAAGACTGAACGCCCTTCTGGCCGGGCAAGTTGAGAACCCATTGCTGCTGGTAAACTCCATCCGATAGAACCATACAACAGCTGCATTTGATAGTCTACCCGGGGCGGGAGTTTGATCATCTGCGCATTGAACCAGCTGTCACCAGTTTCCGCTATCAGGGTATCATTAGGTTGTAATAAGGACTGGATTGCCTTCAAAATTCCTGCTCTCGTTAGGGGCTGGCTAATAGAGCTCTCCATACTTGTCCCGTTCGAGGGGGTTGCCTCATGGCTGGCGGAATTGTGGCTCTCCATGCAGTAGCCAGTGAGATTGGAATGGACAATACGCTCCGATAGATCAGCCATTGTGGCAGGACCGATCAAATTACCCTTCGGTACCCGAAGATGATCAGGGCTTAGATCTAACATCGGGGGGTGGGCCCCTTTACCAGGTTGTAATCGGACGAACGTGTCCCGATCCCAACCCACAAGTCAGAATTCATCACCACATCAATGCATGCTGGGTCCGAAATTGACCCCCAGAAAGTACCCTGAAACTGGGGATGTTCTTCAGGGACTAGGGACTTGGCGTCGGGCTGGCAGAACACAGGACATCCTAACTTCTCGATAAAAGAAAGCAGAGTATCCCGGGTTAGGCCGTGTCGCGCAAGTGGTCCAACGAGTATTACCGGGCTTTGTGCTTCCCTCCAGTACCTAGTAAAGAGATCTAATGCGTCTTGGACAAGACTAGGTAGAGATCCTCGTGGTCGCGAGAGGATGAGCGGTCTGGGAACGTCGCATGAGTACTCGGCAAGATTAGCCGGGAGCTCGATATAAACCGGAAGTGAGTTCTCAAGACAACGGAGAAGTGCCTGATCCAGGACAGATGCCGGATTTGCTTTGAGATCCAGACGGACGGAAGCTGTAGTCACATGCTCAAACATTCGGATTGCCTGGTCTCGATCTTTCAGCCCAGTCGTATGATGAATCAAACAATCTTGTCCAAATGTGTCGGTTGGAGGAGCCCCGGAGACAACAATGACCCGCAGTCGTTCGGAATATGCACCGGCAATTGCGTTGAGCAGCGACAGCCCTCCTACCATAAAGGTGACAAATACAACTGCAGCCCGAGCGGGAGATGATCGTGAGTACCCATCGGCAGCATAGCCGGCATTCAATTCATTGCAGCAGCCCACCATCCGGAGGTTGGGGTTTTTCAGAATTTGGTCGATGAGAGTCAGGTTAAAGTCCCCTTAGGAGTCTAGTTAGCATGGTTCTCAGAGTTAGAACCTCTCGCAGGCCGAGCCTTACCGGGAACGACAAAATAATCCCTGATCCCAATCTCTTCCAGCCGCGATGCCAGCAATGTCCCAATGTTATATTCGTTGGGCCGAAATTTTGGGGCTTTTCCTATTAGACCATCCACCATTGTCTGGGAAGTAGGGATTTTCAGCACAGTCCGTCCTTGCATCTTGCCCTGCTCCATTTTCTCAAAGACTGCGGGAAGCTCTTCAAGGGAAACTATTTGATACTGAATAGGGAAGCGTTTCTTCGCATAGAATACTAGTGCCTCTTCGGTCTCAGCAGGGCTTCCGACGTACGACCCCTTCACTATTTTTTGCTTCAAGACCGTCGAAAACAGATCAGCCGTAATGACGGCATTCTTAGGCAGACCGACAACGACGACCGTTCCTTTTGGCCGGACGTACTAGGTACAAGATTAGTTCAAAGACAAGACAGTATGTCAATCTCATGGAGCTTGCCTGAATAGCCTGACCAATTGGCCACTCTACTGATGCGACCACAATGGCAGCATGAGGTCCTCCCCCGGTAAGTTCCTGAATTTCAGGAATCAGATTCTCTTGGGAGGCGATATAGTCCACGAAGTAGTCAACTCCAATCTCTTCCACCAGCATAGCTTGCTTGCTGGACCCTGTCGAAAGCGCCAGTACACGATATCCAAGTGCTTTGGCATACTGACAAGCGAGGGTACCGAGGCCCCCACCGGCTCCGGCAATAGCTGTGGTCCTTGATTAGACGCAACAATGAATGTGCTATGAGATTGGTAGAATTACCAACAACCTGTCCTGGTTTGAGATGACTTTCTTTCAGTGCTTTGTATACCGTCACTCCAGCACAAAGAATCTGATCGTGACTGACGTCAGCAACATCAAAGTTAACTGGGCCATATCAAGTGGATTCTGACTGACAGGGGCAGCTTCGTCCAAAGAAACCTCGTCCGGTATGCGAACAGCATTCGTTGCTTTGCACACACAATACTGCTGAAATGTACCATTAACAGTATAACCGGAATTTTTGGCATTAGGACAGAGTTGCTGGTCACCATCGTTGCAGAACTCGCAACTTCCACAAGTTTCATTAATCCACTGTGGATCAACCATCTTATGTCAGCATCGAGAAATTTCGTGACTGGAAATTTGAAGAAATGAGGATTACCTGTACCCCAACTCGATCTCCAACTGATACTCGACTGACGTTGTCCCCTCGGGCAACTACCACCCCGGCTCCTTCATGGCCACCTGCCCGTAGTGAGAATATTTATCAAGTGATTCAAGAGTATAGAAGATGACTTACCAACCAAATTTTTCTTGGTCTCAATGGGCCAATCTCCTGTTCTAAGTTAACCGAAGATATTCTCCACGTCTATCCCTGAGTCAAACCTTTCCATGCGTGCAAATCAGTATGACACACTCCTGAATAGTGGATTTGAACTAATATCTCGTCAAAGGAAATTGATGGCACTCGAATTTGAGTGTACATCAAAGCTATGGTATTTAGCACAATTCTTGAAACCAAAATAAGATTGAGGATACATCGCAGTATTTACCTGAAGCTTTCTTTTCAAACACCTGTGCCCACTGCGTCGTCGGGATCTCCAGTACCCCGTGATTCCCGTTCATTTTTTTTGAATTCATTGTTGTCATCTTTGCGCTTTAGATTAATTAGAAGCCGTAAGATGGCATAGCCGGTAGGATATGAGCTGTATCGAAAGCCAAACGATAACTCTCTGGAGAGCCAATGAAGATCTCAAATAATAATGGCCTTCAGAGCTGCTTTGAAGAGTTTTAGAGAGTCTGATGCGATAACAAGTCCATTCCGTACTGGCATGCTCCTGCTATTTATCCTCTCCTGGGCTTCTAGCTGATTCTTTGCCACTTTCCAAAAATATGTTGGGTTTACCAAGTATCATGTAAGTTAGTGTGCCGATTAGGTGCCCTTTCGGTTAGGTCGGAAACTGACCTGCCTATCGTTCGGACAGGGGCTATCCGGAACTACTAGATTGAGTTGAACGTGCATGACAACAATCATGGTTACACCGAGTAAGTGTCGTGTAGCACACTTGAAGTGACCCAGTCCTCTTTAGCAACTTCATCTTTTTCTGGGCCTTCTAGCTGATTCGTTGCCACTTTCCAAACCCATGTTGGGCTTACCAAGTCTCAAGCACGTTGGCGTGCCGAGAGGCCAAAATGCCGCAATGGAATGCGATAAACACGAAACCTGATGGCTTCCTGTCTTTTAATTGGTAGGTGGCGTCTCGGCCTCGTGACCGTGCTGAAATCTCTGCAAGAAGATGTGCTTACGATACGTTTTGCTCAAAGGCAATGAGATAAATCCTTACAAGATTTGACATATAAATATCTCCATTTATCTGATACGACTTTCCTTTCAACCAGATGACACCATGTCAATCCTGCTGAGATCACCGCGTTTTATGCTTTTCCAGAAATTTCCTGCTATCAAAGCGATCCCAACTCGTTTTTCCACTTTTGCAAACGCTACTGGAAAATTACCAGTCACAACAAGCCAGAGTGAAAGATCCACAGATCCTTGTTCAAAATCAGTCAAATGGAAAGAAGTCAACAACGGCCAGTATATTAGGTCATTTGATCCTTTTGAACAGATCTTTTCGTTCTTTTGTCATGATCCGGCCAGACCAGAGTCTCGGAGCCTCGACATCGTGGCCAGCGTTGGAATGGAAACCATCCATAACGATGCAAATAACATTCTGGAGACGATCAAAAAAGCATGGATCAGACTGCGTTATCTCCATCCTTCTCTTGCCACAGAAGTTGGCCAAAAGGAATTCCGGTATATGGCTCTCAAAAGTAAAGAGGATATTGAAAATTGGCTGGAGAAGACTTTCATCGTTAAAGAGTGTGACTCGCATGCGGAAGTACAAGGCTGTCAAGACCTCAGTATCGCACCTGCTGCCCAGTCGCCTGTACTCTACTACTTCCCTGGCAAGAAAAGATTAATTCTGCGCATGGATCACATGCATGGGGATGGACAAGCGGTTGTGAACATGCTACAAGATCTCTTTACTGAGATCCAGCGCTTGAACTTGGGTGGAGGAATTGTGAACGAACCTTGGGGTGCGGAAGTGCACAACCTTGCTTCTAGTGCATTCGACGCTGCGGGAATAACCACCTTGGAAGATTCCTGGTCCTCGAATCTTGTCTCGTCTTTGCCCCAGCCACGAGCAGAGGGAGAGGCGTTCGAAATACCTTCCTTTAATAACACGCACCCACCTGGAGCAGGCAAGACACAATCTCTCGACTTTTCCGAAAACGAAACATCTGAGCTTCTGGATCAAGCCCAAAAACAGAATTTGGGGATCACTGCTTTTGTGCATGCAGCACTTCTCCATGCCGGAAAGAGAATTAGCCCCAATTCTGAAAGCATGGTCCATTCAACCGTTCTTATTTTCAGTTTTCGAGAAAGATGTACCGACTCGCCTCCCAATGCCAATGCAAGGGCTGCTGCTCTGCGGATTGGCTTTTGGCCTATACAGGTGTCGATGTCGGATGATTTTCAACGTACAGCCTTGCATATTAAACATGAATACAAGTCCCTTGCTCATCGAAAGTCTGCTGCCCTTATCACGATGGTACCATATTTACAGAAATGCGCGTCAGCACTGTCTCAAGAATACTTCAAGGCAATACTACCCAGCTTCATTGGGAATCTCTCGAAAGTCTTCCCGAAAAGCTACGGATCTTTCAAAGTCCGGGACTTCTGGATGGCTGCGGTCCCAACCGACGAACGAATTTATCTTGGAATCCAGACCTTTGGTAATAAATTGTCTATCAGGGCCTGTTACAACCAAACATATCATACAGATGAGCAGATAGCCAACTACCTTCTGCAAATTAGACAAGAGATGTATGCCGGTCTGACAACTGATGTTGAAAAGCTCAATTTCCTGTCGATGTTAACCTTGCAAGGCTAGACTTGAGTCTGACTGGCTCGATCACATGCCAGCTAAGGTGAACGATCACACGTGTGTGAAGTATATTGATTGGGAAAAGGCAATTCCACTGATCCGCTTTGTATTGGTTTTGGCAAGGTGCTTTGTTGAGCTTAAGATGAATTTGTCTATCAAGAACTTATAGCACATGCATTAATTTTGGTTGAGCGTAAATTATTCTGTCCTTGCGAGACCTTTGAAGCCTGACTATATCCCCAAACCAGATTCAACAAAGACTGAGACTATCGACTATCGGCATGATTCTTGCTATGCTTCTCAGAATAAACCCTTAATCATCTGCTTTCAGTTGTTTACGAATGCTCTCTCATTTCCACTTGCTAGTCTTTTGCCCACGTCTTGTGCAATGCATACTATTAATTGGCCTTATAGCATGGATTAGCACACCAGTCTGATAAATCGCCCCTCCCTCTTGCGTTATGGCTCACATGCGCCATTTAAAACCCGATATTACACGCATGAAGCAGGGCATTCTGCAGGAAAAGTCTCGCAGGAGGCACAATTGGCGTGCAATCCCAAAGATGGTGTGTAGCTACCGCCGAATTGAAAAACCAGATTCGATACACACGGTAACTGAATTGAAGTCTTTTTGCGAATAACATCCTTCCACTATGCATTATTCACTAGAAATATGCGGAAATTTTATATTAGACCCCTATTATTTCATACTGTTGGTATCACCAGCTAGGTACTGTGTACACAGTTAAGTGGACAGTGTTATGCCGTAAAGCAAAAAGTCAATTGATTCAAAAATGTAGATAGATGTGTGTTCTCCATCTCCAATGCCCCTGAACCTCAGACGGCGGGAGCCGCTGCTTAGCACGATTACGTACAACCTGTCTTTGCTTATTCTGACGGGAGGATATATCCCGACACATACAAGCAGAAATAATACTAGGGCCGCCCCTCGTGAATATCGCAGAAAGAAATGTAGCGTAGATTATTGTATGAAAATTCAACATGAAAAAATGCTCCCTCAGTATAATTTTCTGACTTGCCAATACTAGGTAGACACCCACATTTTATATCTTGGGGATGATTCTATTGCTATTCTCAGAGCATTACATATATTCTACATTACGCCAATGTGCGCGTTTTACATGCCGTTATCATATATCGTCACTATCTTCCAAAATGGGTAATGGCGAGAAGTATAATTCTCGTTATTTTCTATAACCGTCCTAATCTGGGACAAGGATTAAATTCCGCAAGTTAAACATGCCGCATGAAGGGTTGCTATAACTTTAGAGATGGTGTGGCGATCTTTCCCCTCTTTTTCTCTGCATACGGTCTCCAAATTCAAGCACATGATTGATTATCAGTCGACGAGTATCGGTCCACGCCCCTTGAAATTAAGATTTATCGTATGGGAGAGGACTTGTTTCAAGATAACGTATGTTTTTCTTAATAAATGTGGGTGGTGGTATACACCTCCATTATGGTTGTATGAGTCACAATCTGCAACTAACCCTTGCAGTTGGGACTAGTATCCTTTGGATTGGCTGCTTTGATGAGGAGGGCCCCAAGTCATCACGGATATTAGGTATGCATGGCTCTGTCTACGCAGAAGAACTATCCAAGAGGCCGATTTGGTAATAGCTCTAGGTGCACAGTTTGACGATCGAGTGACAGGAGGCCCTGATCGCTTCGCTCCCGTCGCGCGAGCAGCTGGCGAAGAAAAACGCGGTGGCACTGTTCATTTTGAAATTCACCGTCAACATATCAATAAAATGCCCAGCACGATGCGGTCATCCAAGGCGATATCGCCACCCGACTCACCGACCTCCATCCCCATGTCAGGGAAGTGAAGGATCGAGCAGATGGATGGGCTAGATTGCCAATTGGAGAAAGACATCCCCGATCAAGCTAGCGACTTCGCCGCGTGCAACGCGAATCTCCCCCGAGTTCGTCATATTACAGCTGAGTGAGCTCACTAAGAAATCACGCAGCCCGATCATCGTGACCACTGGTGTTGGATCGCACCAGATGTGCGACTCAGATCTTCCCATGGACTGGCGATCGTTCGTTGGTCACTTCCGGGGTCCCCGCAAAGCGATTGGCGCCAAAGTGGCGCAGCCTCATGCGATGGGTATTGATAATAATGGAGACGCATTCCTTAGTATGTCCTTGCATGAGATGTCTGTTGCCGCGGACCTTGGTATTAAAATCAAAATCTCGGTCCTCAATAATGAAGAGCAAGGCGTGGTTAGGCAATGGCAGGCGCTGGACTACGACAACCGATATTCTCAGTCACCAACGAAATCCAGATTCCGTTGAAGGTGGCTGATGGAATGGGCATTGACGCTCAGCGACAGGATGCTGTGTCGGATATCGCAGATAAATCCAAGTGGTTGATTAGTGGAAGCCCATGTAAGGGGAGCTACGGGCAGGAGATATGTTTCACCAATTTTGACTAGTCGACGTTGTTACTTGAATGAGCATCGTGATTGGCTAGTTGTCATGAACAGAAACAAACTGCTTGGAAATTCGTAAATCGAACTTAATTTATTTACTTACATATGATACGGAAGAAACAGACGGTAAATGACATCACGGCTCGGGCCACCGAGCTAATGCAATTCAATGCGATGCAGTGCAAAGAGAAACATCCATTACACGGGAGTGATCCCTTGAGAATTATTTTGCAGCCCAGTCAGATAATGCATGATCATTACTGGCAAGCGGAGCTTTTTCGCTTTCCACTGAACTCGGCAATTCGGGGGTGTACAGCAAGTTATGTCCATATCAGGCCCGCTGCATGTATACAATCTGCTGCATGCGGTTGAAATAGATCATTGACTACCAAGTCGATCAGGTGAATCTGCGTATCAATTTAATTGGGCGCTTGGCCCTCCCTTAATCTCTCTCGCCCGAACCGCCAGGCAGGCCCATCATTTTTAGGCTCTTGCGCGTGCTCATCGCCCAACGTAACCATCATTTAATTGTAAGCGTTCACTCATTTCCGCCTCTCATGCAATATATCATATCCAAAATCTCAAGTCAAATTATAATATGCACCAGGAACTACCTATCTCCAACTGCCTCCTTTAATTTGGGGTATCTTCAACAAAGCGCTGAATATAATTAGAATTCCAAATAAATAGAAGTCTTGGACTATTTGAACTTCTCTAGAGAATAGGCTCAAGACAGACACATGACCACCCCTGATGATGTATCTAGTATCTAGCTGTCACGTTTGACAAGTACTCAAATGACACATCTTGCAAGACTGAAGATAATAGCCCTTAGCGTTAGTGTCCAAGCCCCACCAACGCCACTTCCACACATAATGAGGTTGGTGGGACGTGGTAATATTTACAGGAATTCTAGAGACTTTCTTCTAATGATAAGATGGTTCTCATGATTTGTGCTTCTCTATGAATAATCCAGTCCTTATTCCTCAGAAGTGTGTGTCACTATCGGCCGTACCGAAAATATCACTTATGATCCTGATCTCGTTTCGATACACTGTTCGCTCATCAGGCAGCCCATCCTGCAGTCTTCTTAATCATTAAGTAGCACAAGGCTACCGGTAACGCCCTCCTGGAGATCGTGCGTTCGAATCATCCGGGCGTCGTTATCTTCTGAACGATATTCAAAATTTTTGTTTGATCAACTACCTCCCGTGTCGTGTCATTGTAATGACCTAAATATGTCAGCAAAAACAAAGGCTGCCCAAGGAGAGAGGCCTGCGTCGCGGATGCATCTCGTGTCTCTAGACCCTTTCTTCGTAACCCTCTTTCACGATCCCCTTTGCCGTCCGTCGCTGACAGAGCGCGCCACCACAAAAGGATAGTTTCTACCTCGTGCTCTTCGCCATCCGCCGTTCGTCCTGAGTTGATTCAACAGCCGTTGAAGGATGTGTTTAGAGTTTGCGGCCAATCTCACCAAGCGCCCCACTCTGAACGTGGCTTGCAAGGATCTAGACGGGCCGCCCCCTTGGATCCGTATCCTGGTAATTACTCTCACATTGAAGTTGTTTACGGTGAATCACCTTCAACAGAGCGTTGAACAACGAGGATTGTGTTTAAAAAATCCATACCGAGATGGGAACTCTCCAGGTCGTTACATGGGCGGCCTGGACGGCCACACAGGGACTTGCGGTCGAGTTGGGGTTCGACGCTTCCCCCTCTTCGCCAATGTTACGAGTCTGTACTAAGTCTTCCGTCCTCACACAATGGGGCGCTGGGACAGCAGAAAGCTAAATACAATGAAGCGACTTTGAAAATGAGAATTGTCCAGTGGCAGATGCGTCAAGAGGATGTTGCCCCTGACGCGGATATGGCTTTGTAGCAGCCATTTACGAAGAAAGGACTTAGTAAACATTGAAAATCACAGCAGCTGACCATCACGACTCAACAGTGAGACCCATTTAGTATTTGGAAAATTTCTCCAATTATACGATCCATGGTACACAAGGCGATCTGATCTGCAAAGAGTGACCCGCAGAGTAGTACTGCTGCAGTTCCAAAAGATTTGGGTCACGTACGTTTCCCAATAGTATTGACGGAACAATAGCAGCAGTGGACCCCGGAGGAAGGAATATAACGTAATTCCCGGTCACCCTGGCCACCTAACCCCATTAGAAAATTTCAAAATTGATTATCTCAACTAACACCCATTAATTTAACTAGATAATACGATTTTCACATGAAGTAATCCTATGGCCAATTCGGCCACATCCACTGCAGGTAGGCGGAGCCCTCCTGACCGGTTGAATCGGCTGATTAGGCAGATCGACCTCCTCATGCGATACTACCTCATGAGCTTCTACTGGCTGAATTAGCTGCTGAGCTAGCTGTAGACCCTCTTCGATTGATAGGCCCCCTTCGTGTGTAATCCGTCTATTCGATCGAGTGCGCTTTTGGCGTTTCTTTTCATTCGCTGCGCGTAGATCAGCGTTCTCCTTCACTAATAAAGCAGTGTTGTGTAATGCTTTATAGTGGCCCTTAAGAATCTGATCAACCAGTTGGTTCAACGGGCTTGGAGGGCTTTTTGACCGCTGATCTATTAGATCTTTCATCATTTTAGCCTGCTTTTCTAGCTGCTTCACTGTTCGAGGCGTTTTTGGTGTGAATTGGCTAGATCTGCTGCTTGGTCGGCTTGATGGTGGTGACGGCGTTCGGAGAGAAATGTTCAGCTTAGAAAGCACTCCATCAGCATCAACTGGTACGATACCAGTAGCTGCAAAGCTGCTTTGAATAATATTCGGTTGAAAAGCTTCTAGCCGTGCGCGAGGATAGTCTGCTAGGAAATCAAGCTTATCGATATGATTATAGCCCGTTCGGGTTAAATCGCTCACGAAGCGACTGTACGCACGCTTAAGCACAGCAAAGCACCCAACATCAAGCGGTTGTAGTAGATGCGATGAATGTGAAGGCATACAGAGTGGTATAATATCGTTTTCAGCGCATATTCGATCGAATTGAGGTGTAAGGTGGCTACCATGCCCGTCGAGGATCAATAGACGAAATCGCCCTCGTACGCGCGAAGTAGTGCATGGAATAAAGATCTTTTGTAGCCAGCGAAGGCCGATATCATCGGTAGTCCAGCCATTATTCGATACTTCGATTCGCCAATCCCTCGGGAGATTTGATTCAAACCAACCAGCAATATAAACCTGGCCTTTGAATATAATGCAGGGCGGCAGCGAATAGCCGTCAGCGCATATCGTTTCGATCGCAGTGACCCATTCGCGATTACCCGGCTATAGAATTGATCGCCGACCATAGTATTCTGCTCGTGTAACCACCTTTTGCGATGAAATAAGCCCCATTGCAAAGCCAGTCTCATCGAAGTTGTAGATATCCTCCGGTTGGATACCGTTCTCATCAATCACGCGTTGCACCGTCAAAAACCACTCTTTTATAACCTTTGGATCCTCGTTGAGAGAAGCGTGTTCGAATCTCTTCGCGCCGATTTATAAAGGTTGATGGCCAATTCTTCCCAACTGTAGGCGGGGGGTAGCTACCACGCGCAGCGAGTAGAATATTAGCCATTTCAGCTACAGTAGCTGGCCTAGGCGCTGCTCCACGCAAATCCATAGAGATAATCCAATCAACAAGCGAATCCTCTTCCAATTGGGTCAGTTTATGGTTAGGGTTTCGTCTCTCTGCGATAGAGACTACACCACATGCACGCGTTTGTAGGGTACTGCGTGGAATTTCGTATAGCTTCGCTGCTGCGCGAAGAGATTTGATGCGGCCATTTTTAATATCATCAAGGGCTAATAATATTTTGCCCTCCTGATTGGTCGATTTCTGGAAGGATTCAGATCGAATTGGTGGCATGGTAGTTGGTTGAAGTTGGTAGGTTAGTGGATTGACGCGTTTTCTGATGGGGTGGCCAGAGTGACCGGGAATTACGTTATGGCTAGGCCTCGCCAAAACCCGCCCGCGAAAACCCTACCCGTGGGTTGGGTTGGGTCTTAGTCAGCATACCTGTTGAGTTATAAGTGACGCTTCAATGTTTGCATGGTTGTACCGCTCCGCACGAATCGAATCGAATCGAACTTTTGCCTGATTCGATTCGATTCGAATTATTATTGAACAGATCGATTCGTACGAATTCGAATTCACGGCCGATTCGAATTCGATTCGAAGTTCGCGAACTTTTGGGACCAAAGCCTCATTGGGAAGGCGGTAAATGAGGACTGGCAGTGTCTGCAGTTCCACGCCATGCCATCAATCGACGCCACATGAAGTGTAATAAATGGCTGTTATTGAGTTAACTAGTTAAATAATCAACAGATACAGAAATAGATAAGCTAGGGTTTGTTTATTACATAAAAATTAAACAATTTGACCTCGAATGAAGAGAGTTATAGGGCAGTATCAATAGACGCGAGTGTTTGGCAATAACCTCCATGCAAATAATATATAATTTTTAGTTCTAATTTAGTTAATAAGACCATAACCTTATTTCTTGTCTGTTTTGCTTCAAATTAAATTATCCTATAGATCGCATTGAGATACACGTAACCTATTAATATAGAGGGAAGATATCTATAGTTGCACATTTTATTCAATGTAGAGCAAATGGACAGTCTAATCGGGCTAGCGGAGATTCCACTAGGACGCGTGGAGACGCGTATATGCTTTTATCCAGAACAACATCCGAATCGTGGTCAAACGCTACTGAAAACTATCACTTCTGGGTGCTCTAAAGTAAGCGATCAATCAAGACACAATCTTGATATACTAATATTATGTAAAGATGACTTCTCCACTTCCTATGATATTCGGCTGTCCTAATACTAGGAAGAATAAACGCGATTATGCGGCGCTTAATAAATATAGCCTCCTCGCAGAGGATATATCACTCCTACCCCCTCGAAGGAAGAGAGCGGCCTAACGCGCCCCCAAGTCACCGACTCCTCCGATTTCAACTTCTCCTACGGCTCCTAGCAATGTTTCCAGGAGTTTATCGAACCTTAATACGGAGATATGCCCTTCGCAATCAATATCTCAGGTCGAATGCGAGGTTGAGAGGGTTGAAATTAAGCAGAATGATAAGACTAAGTCGAAGGAGCGGAGCTGGGTATAGAAATACTACAGTACAACACCTGAACCTGGCACTTAGAGATTAGGAAATAAGGAGCGGCTCGAACTTAAACACCTATACATTGTATCGCTATCTACCTGTCGATTCTTTCGATTTGTATCTAAACTACGATCTTCAACTACAGCGTTGAAACAGTATCTGCAGCAAGCACACAAGCTCTTTTAGGACGGTTATTCAGAAGGCTAAGGACCACTAAGCTTATAGATTTCTAAGGAAAAGAAGCTCCCCTTCGAAGAGGCACTCCTAAATTGGATTATATCGACCTGCCAGCCGTTTATATATGTCGAACACCCTTTATTTAAGGCTATATTAAGGTCCGTAGGCTTTCAGGACTCCTTACCGAGTGCGGATACAGTGTCCCGCTGATTAGGTCTTCGGCTTAATGCTCTTGATAGTGAGCTTCGAATTTTGATGTCTTTAGCTTCGTTAATCGCGCTATCTCTTGATGGTTGGATAAGTCAGAACTCGTTACTAATACTAGCAATTAATGCCTACTGGATGTCCCCTGATTTTCAGCAATATCGAGCCTGTATTAAGTTCGTTGAAATCGAAGGCAACCACTCTGGAGAGAAGCTTGCTGATATCGTCGCGACGGTTCTCGACAGGTTTTATATATCTGATAAAGTGATGACAATTACAGCCGACAACGCATCTAATAATAACACCCTATACCGGTGCCTCTACCAAAAGCTGTCTTAGCGGTATGATAAGTACCTGGCTGAGACTATTATCCGAGAAGGGATAATGAAGTTTACCCAGAACTCCCAAATCCGCTGCTTTACTTATATCTTGAATTTGGTCATGAAATCTATACTGAGGTCTCTACGCGCGAGTTCGTATAAGGAAGCCTGTGGTCTTCTTGATGATGTTGCTAAGGGAAGCTGGAAGACTATTAATGCTCCTACTTCGCCTATTGCAAAGCTTCGACTACTTGTCCTTTAGATTGCGCGATCTCCCCAGCGAATACAGAAGTGGGATAATCGGCCTGGCTGTACAAAAGCTATTAATTACGATGTTGACACTCGATAGAACTCTACCTTTATTATAATTGAGAGAGCCGAAGAGTGTCGCCGGCAGCTCGAAGATACAGTCAACGACGAGCTAGATATTGAAGCCTTGCGTCTTATATATAACGACTAGAGACAACTCTTAGATATCAAAAAAATCCTGACTCCCTTCAACGAATATACTGAGTACGTCTCTCGAGACAGTCCTTTAATTTATATAGCGGCGCGTATATTTGAAGAGCTCCGTTCTATACTCCTCGCTATTAAGGAACGACGAGGCGAGTGGCAGAAAACCTCGGCAGCAATAACCATTTCTGTTTCCGACGGAATCTCACTCCTAGAGAGGTACCACGACTGTATTAAAGACAACGACATATACTATATCGCAAGCATTCTGGATCCTCGAATCAAGACCAAGTAGCTCAAAACGCTACTAGATAGAGACAAGATTATCGACCGAATCAGGGCGTTCCTGAAGAAAGCATATCACACCCCGGAACAGCCTGCATCGACTGCTCCAAGCACTAATTACAAGAGCTTCGAATATCGATTTTTGGAGGCCTTTCAGCCAACGCAGTGTAACGTCGCTGAGTCAGATATCGACCAGTATTTCGATACTCCTACAATCAGCACTGGTTTCGAAACAAGCCAGAGCCAGACTGAATTTATACGGGACTGGTGGAAGGCTAACAGGCTTGAATTTACTTGTATGGCCAAGGCAGCACAAGATTACCTTGCTATACCAGCAGCAGAGGTAGATATAGAGAGATTATTCAATGGCGGGAGAGATGTACTGGGAATTCGACGTTTCTCTATGAAAGGCAAGACTCTTGGGACCTTAATAAGGCTGAAAGATGCTGCACGTTGGAAGTCTGAATAGTTACGCAGTTATGGTTTCTTTTAGAATACATGCGGTTGATATTATGCATTTGCTAAAGTCTTTTTGTCGGGGCCGGACACCTCAAAAACTCCTCTCCAAGGCGTGCTTCTGCTAAGAAAGCTAGAAATTAGTTCGCGAACCTGTTCGAAATTCGCGAATTTTGACGAATCGAATCGCGTACAGATTCGAAGTTCGAAAACCAAGGTTCGAATTCGATTCGATTCGTCGAAATTCGCGAATTTCGAACAGTTCGAAAATTCGTGCGGAGCGGTAATAGGGGCTACCCAGCAATGATTCAGCAGCTAATGCCCTAGGAATCAGATAGAAATGGGTAACAGTTGAAATACTGGCAACTTGAAAACTCATCCATTAGTTATGGCTGGCAGAATTACCTACAACACAGAGACCATCATCTTGTCTTCACCTGCAGAATCTCCAGTTCAAAAACCCTAAACATTAATAGACACACCTTATTCCAAACCCTCCGAAAAGGCTCCAACTTTGTCGAAGCCCGAGAATACATAAGACAGCTGCTGCAGGACGATTATGGGCCATAACAAGCTCCCAGTGTCTTTATTTATCTTGACCGACGCGGACGGCAAGTGCATTGCATGTATTTGCTACATTGGATTAGAATTGGCAATATTGGAGGATTTCGTTCGTAGGGGGCTTCTGGCTGTGATGCGGAATAAAGGCTTAAGGTTTTGTTGCTGTCCCGGGCACCTTCACAAGGATGAGGAGGAAGGCTCTCGGGGAGTCACAGCCCTTCTCCAAATATGAGTTGCGGTGAACGGCAACACTTGATGACTGCGGACGTCTTGTAGGAAGTCTGCATTTAGCATGAATTAAGCTCACGCTCCAGCACGTATCCAGCAAGGAGTTTGTGTCTGCAAGTAGGACATAGCAGCTGGACAATTCGATGGCGAAAACCCCTCGATACTATTATGGTTCGGTCATGTTAAATACCCTTCAACTTTCCAGGCAAGACAAAAGGTGTTACTCCAACTCCACTATTCTAAATTAAAAAGTGCAATGTAAGTCACTAGAATGAAGTCAAGGTTACACTAGGCAGTCAAAGGCCAGTTATTGTTTTCGGTCACAAGGATGCCAGGATACCAGAAAGAACACGGAAGGTTCTCCAATACCACCCACCCCTTGGGTGTCCGAAATCTGGCACAGACACCCTGACGGACACGAATTCCTGTCCATTTGCCCACCCTAAGAAGGTAGGCTAGGAGACGGCCAACTACATGGTAGGATTATAAATACATCAACCCCCCATGATGAGGTCGTAATAGGATCACCAAGTACATTAATTTCATTGACGATTGAGCCTTGCTTACATATGTAGTGAAGACCTGTCTCCATCCAAAACATACTTACTTTTCTTCCGCAACCTCGGACCAAGATGGAAAAGAACCCAGGGAACCGGCACTAAAGCCAATGATATGAAGGCCGCAATTGATACTGACCAGTGGATTCCAACTCTTTGTATCATTTGATCGGAAAATAAGGGTACGACACCCGCAAACGAATAGCGTATCATGCTGTCGGCCGCCAGGACAGATGCGCCAAATTCAGTTCCATATATGGCGTTTTTGTAAAGAGGCCACCCAAGCTATATACCGTTTTAAATCAAAAATAGCTCAGGGAGTTAAGATGTACAAAGGGCTACGTTACCATGACGAGAAGAAATGCTGCTCCGAAAACAAGTGCAGCTAACTGAGGGACAATCCAATGGATTGACTGGCGTACCGTCCAAGCAAACCTAGGTTCTCACCCGCGAATTAGTGACGGTATCTTTTGAGGGAATATAGTTAGGACGAGACAAACCAGAAAAGTGACAATGGCAGTAAAATCCCCCCCAACATTGTATGGTAGAGATGTTCCTCCGGCTTCATGGTAAGCCTCCGGGTTCTTGCTAACATTTCCGCTTTTTTGTGGAGCCTTTTATTGATGAAAATCATGATGACCAGACCAAGAGCGCTTCCGATAAGCAGAGACAGGAACGACAATGCGACTTGATGAGGTGTAAAGGAGTAGATCGATTCAAAAATGAAGGGGTATGCGACGTAAAAGAAGAAGACAATGCTGAGACTAATAGCGGAGATGAAGGAAGTTGGAACAATGACCGGTTCCACGATCATCATATGTAATGGACGTCCCAGAGCAATCTTTAAGTTGTCCTTCAGAGAACCGCGCGGAGGCGGTGGTTTCCCCAATCTTCTGCACTTTTGGCGTAACAGCTCTGGACCGAAGGTCTCTGGGTTCAGCCACACGACACATGAAACCCCCAGAAGAATTATTGACAACCAGAATGTCCATCGCCAATTCCCGGAAACCTCAATGATGGGCTGGCCCATCACTGGTCCGATTTCACTGCCCCAGGCTATCGAGCATGCGAAGAGGCCCATCAATCGAGTTCCGATCTGCTCGGATGGTGTGTCCCACAAATCGTTCAACGTTCCTGCTACGACAGGTATCATCGGTCCTCCTGTAATCCCTGCCAGCAGCCTAGCCACTGCGAGTGTACGGAAGTTCGAAGCCGAGCCACCCACAGCATTGAAAGCCATAGCTCCCAACAGGGAAAGAACATAAACTGGACGACGACCATACACCTCGGATGTTGATGATGAAATTATGGGGCCCAATGCTAACCCGAGTGTATAGAGGGTAATGGGGAGCATGCCCAAGGTCGAGCCCACTTGGAACTCGGCGTTCACTAGGGGAACGGCAGCAACGTAGATGGAATTGCCTGAGGTTCTGTATTTCCATTAGTCTTTTAGGGATTGTGTAGGTCGCGGTATACTAGAACACAAGACGAACAAGCTGAACACTCCGAGAAGGGGCCCGACAGAAATCCAGATCCGTTTCCAGGTTGGCCATTTCCTGGGGTCTTCCTCGCTGGTGAGTTGCAGTTCTTCTTCGGGTGGATCGATGAATGTCATTTTTTCTAGGAATTGAAAAGGGTATTCAACAATGCCGAATTCTAATAGTTTGTAAGAGGATAAAAGCTTGAGAAATTGACCGGCGGAATCATGCCTATTCTTTCAAAGTTGTGGCTATCAGAAGTTCTTAAATTACCATTTTTGGGAGATCAATCATGTACTACAGCCCCTTTTATCTAGACTTAGATTCAACAGCATTGGTTTAAGATGAATATAGGCATGCTTGTCTCAGTCTCTAGACTCCTGACTAGCGTGGCCTACTAGGGTCCACCTACCACCTAGAGGCAGTTCAACTATGAAGCTGACAGGTCATTGGTGACGCCCTTGGGTTGCTCACTCCTGGTTAGTGCTCCATGCATGCATGATGATACTCAATATGACCTTTGTATAGGTCTCCCTTGCATGGGTCAGCATGACAAATTACCAAGGAGGCACACATACCCACTATTGTAAATTACTAGCGCGAATGAAGATTGTCGGCCCACATCTCCATGCTCTCTAGGGACCGGCCCAGAGATAAGCAGGAATGGTAAAAGTGCTGAGCGCTGAAGGAAACAGAATGTATTCGTACCCGATGATCTGCAAATGGTGAATGCATTCATACCCGATGATCTGCAAATGGTGAGCATAATATGTTGGTTACAACTTACTGCACGGATGTGGATCATTGTGAAGATCATATCTGAAAGTCTGGTACAAAGCCCCTAGCTATGTACTGCCTAGCTATATACCATACTACTTGAAGGCGGGATGTTTCTCCGATATGATATAAATACTAGACTCTGCTCAGTACCAACACCACCAATATCTTCCCTCATAAATGCAAAATCACATTGACTCAGAAGATTAGTCGTATCAATTCTGTTATTCCCACAATATGGAAGCCGATAAGAACCTCCAATCTACCCTTCCTCTTTTGACCACTCCATTATTCCAGCCTCAATATTCACTGACGCGTGAAGAGAGTTTGAAGTGTTCTTATGAACGGGCCAGGGCCATCAGTAAACATTACAGTATGTGGACCACCTTTCAAACCTTTCCCCCATAGAGAATATCATTAATTCTATTTAATTATCCATATATGACAGAACTGACCGTGGACGATATTCACTCCCTGACACCAAAATTCTGGGATATGAACAGAGATGGAATTGTGACTCGAGATGCTGGAACATACATACTGCTCGCTACGCAGTATAACCTGGCTGCTGGTACCATTGCCCAATTCTCGCATGAACGCACAGATCTACAGGAATTACTACAGAAAATTATGGACTTCGAGGTTTCGTATGTGCATGTTGTCGTCATTCGAAACCTCGAAGAAAATCGGGTATAGCTGACGTGTTACAGAGCACTCTTCATGATTACAGAGCTTAATCATGGTGTTGATGTAAAATATCTCGAAACTACCGCTACTCTGCAACCGGATGGTAGTTTTATCTTGCATACTCCGAATATGGGTGCTGCAAAGTAAGATATCGGAATCCGTTCCTCCTTTCAATCTAAACTCGAAATTGAAACTGCATCACTGACAAGGAAACAGATTTATGCCTCCTAGCAGGCAAGTAGCTGGAATTCCACGCATTGTAGTGGTCATGGCCAGACTCATGGTGGATGGAGACGATCGAGGGATTCGGCCGTTTATTGTTGCACTTAGCAATGGCAAAGAGATATGCAAAGGTGTGACATCGGTGTAAGTGGGAACGAACTTCATGTCCTTAATCCCTAATGTGAGGTGTAAGCTAATACAGGAGATATGTACACCCATATACATAGTCTCCTACCAGAACTAGGGACTCGAACTCTCGATCACTGTCTCACCTCCTTCAATCAAGTGCGTCTTCTTCCCAACGCACTGCTCGGAGACATCAGTAAACCAGAAGACTTCCAAGCTCATTTTCTTTCTGCCATTCGGCGTATTTCCATCGGTACAATCTCACTCTGCTTGTCTATTATTCCATATCTCAAAAACTTGGTTTATATCGTGGGAAAGTACAATTTGCGTCGCACAGTTACTGGACCGGGTAAAATTCCCATTCCAATCATAAACTTCCGCAGCCAGCAGATTCCAATCTTGCATGCAATCGCCCAAATCCGAGTTATGGAAGCCTTCGCCGACTATGCCATTACTTGCTTTATGAATAGTACCAGTACTCAGGGTCGGCAGAGACTTGCTACAATTCTTAAGGCATCGTTCATTCACAACATGGAGCAGTGCAGTGCTTCGTTACCGCAGAGGTGTGGTGCGCAGGGAATGTTCAAACACAATCAGATTTGTGAGTACAATGTAAGTAATTCCATGCCCCTTGGTGGTCTTATCAACACGGAGAGAGTACTTAATGAAAATACTAGAATCTCCTCCATATACTCGCTATTGCCGAAGGAGACAATGCCGCTCTTTGTACTCGTGAGTGTTGCCCATTAATTAATACTCTTCAGCCAAGATGAAATAATTTAGTACTAACCAAAGGTAGGGTTTGCAATCGACCTCTTCCTTGGTCGCTATAATCCCCCAGAATCCACCAACCCCAACTCCCTCCTCGCTCAACACGAGGCTGGTTTGGCTACAGAATGCATGAAGGTCGTCGAGAGCCAGCCTCTAGAGAAAATCAAGCATGATTTCAATCGAAATCTTAATCCTCACTGCAAACCCATTGTTGAAGCTATTGGCCACCGGATGGCCTACGATGCTGCTATTGCGGCGGGCGTAAATCAAGACTTGGTCGCCTTATATGAAGTTGGCGTTGTTAAGGAAGATCTCAGTTGGTATGTGGAATTCGCAGGGCTGAAACGAGGGAGGGTATTGGAGATGGAGCATCAGGCATTGGACGCTGTTTTACCCCGTCTGAACGAATTGCTGGATGAGTTGGATATCGGGGCGTACTGCACCGCTCCGATCGTTTCGCAGACGGAGTGGGGGAAGTTTATGTGTGAGTTGAAGGGGGATACAGGGAATGCGAAGTATGAACTCTTTAATCACACCAAGGGCATGAAGAAGGATGTTTTGGAAAAGGGGAAAGTGTCAATGAAGTGGAGGTGGTTGAATTGGCTGATTTGATGTTTGTTTTCTTGAAAGGAATTTAGCATCCTATAAGGACTGAAGAGATTGCTTGAAATTTTGGACTCTTGAACTATCAACCCATATGGACCTATTCTACCTATTTACTTTTCGTATAAGCCCTCATCAATTTGCTTTCGTATTAATTGTAACCTGAGTTTTAGGTTTGAATGCCATTCATTCAATTTGATGCTTTTACTCTAGAATGAACGATACCGTGTCACAGCTGGTTAGCCGGATTCTCCAAAACTCCACTTACGTTTAGCTAGTATCTCGCTTCATTCGTTATTTCAATTTTTTACTGTATCTAGACAGATTCTCCGATTCCACAACCGCTTATTTAGGAACATAAAAGGGCCGCATTCTCTAGATGGGATAGGAGAAGAATAATACCATCTTTTACTATGATTTGACAGACGCTCCTAGTTCAAGTGGGGATATACAGGGGGTCTCGTTGCGGGTTTCTGGCTAGTGGATGGCTAGAGCGACAATTACTGACGGAGACGGATGCCCAGACAAACATCTGCATCGCACATCTTGCTATATTCGCATGCCTTTGTCGTCAGAGTTGATTTACGACGACACTGTTTCTGGCGCTTTCCTTTCTTGCTCGGAACAAGCCGGCTCGCTCGCGTGTGGTGCAGCAGCCATTTCTAAGTAGCCACTTCCACGAATAAAAAGATGGCTCAAGCGTCACTTTTAGACAAGCGAAGGAGAGAGGAAATAAAAGAAGGGTGCTAACTAGCTGAGTAGTCTCCGTTTTGCTGCGCATTAGCAGTTTTATATACTTGCACCAGGTCACGGTTTCGCTAACCATGCTCAAAGGTGAGAGTAGAACACTGCTACGTTGGAAAACCCCATCCTTTAGGATCAAAAACTGAATGCAGATAATTCTATGAAGACTATGTTTAATCACCAGCCCACATTTTGCAAGCTCCGTTTTACAACATCTAGATTATTGAAAATAAAGTGCGGTTTCATCGCCCGCCGTTCTCTTCCGTTGACCTTCGCGTTGAAGCCACAGATAAAACGGTCGTTTATGTCACTTGGGTCAAAACGAGCAATGCAACCGAGGGCGGGAAAAAAGACTGTGGTCAACTGTTGAGCATCAACTGTCGCAGAAGACCTTTGTTTTCAACCGCTACGCGCTGGGTCTCAAATTGGGCTGCAAGCAACTCGTCAATATGATGGTTGAATAAGCAAGGCCTCTGGCACCCCCAGAATATCAAGACCCCTTAGCACGCCATTCAGTCACCGTTAAGTGTTCGCAGGGCGTCTTGCCACCACAAGTTGCGGTAGTCGTATCTCGACAGTCACCCAATTCACCAAGCAATGAACACGATGGGCCAATGGAATCCCTCCTCAGTGGAGGGGGGACTGAACCACTGAATCCACCTCTGCAACGGGTTGTGCCTTCCAAGCAACAATATTGGTAGACCCTCACAGAACATCCATCTTTAGCTCTACATGATTGGATGAAGAGGCACTAGAGACAGTCCCACCCATCTTAGAAGGCCTGGTATTGCTCTCGCCCTCGGTGACCAGAGAGCCTAGTACCTACCTCTGGGAGCTTCTACGTATCTTCTTGGGAGCATAGACGCGTCCAGAGCTCTGCTAATTCGTTCTGGGTATCAAAGTCAGTCAGTTGAAATGCTCATTCCCAGTAGTAGCCGAGTAGGTGGGAATGCCTATAAAATTAAGGGAACTTTGGTTGGTTCCTGGAGCCACCAGCTTATGCTTATAAGCGAGACGTGTAACTTGCTGGCGTTTATGGTGCATCACCATTGTGTAGGGCTATGTGGAAGGGCCAGACAGCTACTGAAGACAGGAAGGGTGGACGTCTACTCGAAGAGTGGGAACGGCCTTCAACTGTTGCAAGAACGAATCATTGTTAAAGAAATTAGAGCCTCTGGAGTGGTTACTGTAGTCACTTATGTCTTGCAGGGGCGATGAGGTGCGCAAAAAAGTCATCGCATTGATAAATAAATCTGTTTTAGAAACATTCCCAGCCACTCGGACAACAGTAAGACTATCGTTTTATGGGTCTGTTCTTTTACCTTCATGAATGCTATAGATGGGAAGGCTAACATTACTAAAAGGGGGTTCTCAATACGACGAGCATATATCAAAGAGAACCTATCTCCAGTTAAAGAAGTTAGAAACTAGACACTATCACGGAAAATATTATAAGGATCTAAGGTTGATTATTCTCAAGCAAAGACAAAAGATAGAGTTCTTCAATTTGACAGAAAACCTGCAAGCCTCCCAATTAATCGGTATCAATGTCCAGTCCTGTATCTTCTTTGGCATAGTAATTCCGTTCTGTGCTGAGGCGATGAACCTCATCTGCATGCCTGCGAACATGCATCTCATGTAGTAGATCTTCGTCACACATGTGACACCTTCGATCCTGCAAGTGCTTCTCTCGAAAGTGTCGTAGAGTCAACTTATATTCGCTATATTTCTGCGTCTCGCCCTGTCGGGTCCATTTCGATGCGTCCACTGAGGTGATCGTCTGGTTCTGGCTTCCAGTCCCTGCTCAAGCAATTGGCAATCATATTTCGCATTTCTTGCTGCGACGCTCCCGATCGGATCATGTTCACAAGATGCTGGAGTTCGGAGGAGCTGCTAACTCGAATCATCTCTAATAATTCGGCCAAGAATGTGCGGTAGTATTGTAGTCTCTCCTGGGCCTCTTTCTGGGTGGTTTTGCGGCGTTTATCAGAGTACTGATGGATAATACACTCACGGCCGTGCCTCTGGCATTCTGAGCATGGCTGTCCATTCCTGCACTGATAGGAGAGGTGAGAAGAGAACAGGAAACAGACTTTGAGACTAGCCCCAACGAGAAAGAGTATGAGCAAAAATGTACCCTTGTCCGATGTCTTCGGCACTCTTTGCAGGCAGTCGAAGCTCTTTCTATCCTCCCCTCCACTTTTCCTGATTCTGGCCCTGGCGTAGGTCTGCCTAGCGATACTGGCGAAGGCGCAATGGCTCGGAACAAGCCGGAAATGCCTTGTTGGTTCATTGGGAACAACTAAGGAAACGGCAGCTTGGGGAGAAATAGATAGGTGCAATTGAAACCGGGGAAAGTATCGAAGAGAATCCGACAAAGCTCAAGGAAATTCTGGCCTGGGAAAATTCTTCACAGTATCGGTCCAGCTGAGATGGTCCCGACCACACTGAGCCTTCGTTCTGGGAACGAGTTTGTGAAAAGCCGCACCTTTTGGGTACCTCACGTATTTAAGGTTTCAGGGGAGTGCGACGAAAACTCCGTCCTCGCGTTACTTAAATATGGTGAAGGGTCGACGACCGGTCTAGTTTGCGAGGCGAAGAGTATTGATTTTCATGAGCACTACGTGAAAACAGCGCGCTAGAGGGAGATTGGCCCAGCTTGACCAATTGGTCGGCGATCATATCTCCTTATCTTAATACGGTGCAGACGGCAAAAAGGTATTCTGCCAACGGACAGAAATGTCGTCCGCGAGGTCGATCTCCGATCCGCATAACTGAGTTGCATGAACCCTTCGATTTCTCACTTTCGAATCCCCCCACTTGTAATGAGGCGTGGGGTGCCCTACGAGCGTATTTTTGCTTTTTTTGTCTTGCGAAAAGCGAACAATCTGCGTTTTCATTGGATTGTTTCTCGGCAATTTCTCGGACCCGACCTATGGACCGGACCGCAGCTTCGCCTTGCCTTGGGATCGGCATTCCCCAATCTTTCTTTGAGGGCAGTCTGCCTCCTGCGTGCATGACGACATGACTTAAGTTACCATGAACCATGTAACATTCTTCCTTTCGGCCGAAACTTTTCTCTGAGTCGTATTTAACGATCTGGACCCATTCAGATTCAGACAATCATCTTGTCCCTCGATGTCACTTCGCACGGCATAGTCCAAAAGGGTGGCGGGACGATGGGCTCGAATAAAAAAAGGATACTCTCTCTTGCCTTCCAGCCGTCAAAGCATTTCCTTTTTGATGACCTCCATACCAGACTTTCAAGCAAGCGAATTTTTGGATAGTGTGGGATATCAAACACTAACAATAGCAAGTTGCCTTCGGAAGAACCGTCTTGACCGGAGGCAAACTCAAGAAGTTTTGTTTCAGTATAGCAACCCTGCTTTCTTGGACGGTCGGCTTATTGACGCTGCACGCTGTGACCGTCGCTTAATTGATCATGTAATATGTTTACTCCAAGCCCACGTTAAGCTAATCTCGTGGCTTGCTGTACAGAACTATACCATTGCTGCTGCCGCTGTTAAATGGTATAGTTGTAAGAAGCTACGGCTGAGGAACCGCCTTCCATTTACTCATCCGTCGCGGCATTTATCACAACTTCAAAGCGCCGTCGATAATATAATGGGTAAAAAAGCAGTTGTCCGTGCTGACATCGTCCGTTGTCAGGTAAGGTTCCCTGTGTAATTGGTTGAATCGTTCCGTTATGATGATTGCCGCTGGTTTGCTGGTTTCAGCATCCTACAACTCTTACGTGCTCTCCACAGCATATCGTACACCAGTTTACTATGGGCAATAAGAAAAAAACTCTGGGAATATTGATTCAACCCTTTCACCTATATGTTCAGAACGATTTTATTGCCCACCCCAGTTGTAAAATGAGCTGGCGTCCCATAATGGTGACCACAGTTTTACGAGGGCGGTTAACGTGCCAATTTTGTCTTAATAACGTGAAGCAACACAAGACCACAGTTTCTTTTTGTGAGAAAAAATCATGTCCTTCTTTCCGTATCGAAGGTTCAAATATTCAGCCTTTCGCAATCGGATTTTAGGACTTGTGTTCATTGCACTTCTCCTTTCAACCAGCCTTCAAAAGCACTGCTCTCAGCCCTTATCTGACAAGTGCTGTTCCATTCAGAAACCTCAAAGAGCAAGACATCAACTTTCAATGGCTGTTTTGGAAGGAGCTCGATCCAATAATCCCTCTAAAAGAAAATTAATTTGTCAAAAACAGTACCGTCGCAAGACAAACTTGATGAAAAAAGCGTCTGAATTTCCTAACTTCTGGGTGGTCAACCTTCTTATTGCCAGCAGGTGATTCAGAGATGTACATATATGGCCTCAGACATTTTTCACACCACCTTACCCGTTTGGAGTGTACAAGTTAAACACTGGAATATTTCGTCAGGTAATTGCTCACCAGCTGGAGGCTCGGCAAGTTCTTGTACAGAGAACTAAGCAACCTCTAACCTGTAGACGCATAAAATACGATCGTCAGTCGATTGCATCAGTCGAGTTGCACTATTTTCCGCGTCTTGATTTTAACTGCCCAGAAGAATCCTCTTCCTCCCAAACACGCGGCTCGTTCGTAAATGCGATGGCTGGTTGATTTTGCCGTGTTTCCGTCGAATTCTTGCACGAGATATGCGGGGCAGATCCGCATTTTCATCAGTCATCTCGGTGACGAAGTCTCGGTGTCGTCAGACATGTGAAAAACTTTTCCTCTTGGGTCTGTCTGGACCACGTTAGGGTTCTTCCGGCTTCAATTGCGCATATTTATTCCTCCTCCTCGCCTCCCCGATCCCACAACAAGCTGTTGATTCCTCGGCTTAAAAATGGACGGACGAGGCCTTGTGAACTCCTTTCGCGCGATTTCGCCAAGGCCGGCACTACCAGGTAGACGTACGCCAGTCCCAGAGTCAGCGAAAGAGAAGGGTAGGATAAAAAAGGCATCGTGTCGACGACTTCGAAGGTAAACATTGTTTGCCCTCTCATCCCACCCCCCTCCGACATATGTTGACTACAGCGACTGTTTGGACCGTATCTAACGCTCCTTCTCACCAGTGCTATGACGGGGATCCATGTTGGGAATGCAGAAAGCATGGCCGCACTTGTTATTTTGATTAATTATCAGACAAACGGCGCAAAATATCCGCAAAGAAGGCCCGTGAGGACTTAAGGTACTACCAGGAATTCGTGAGGAAATTGCTGGAGGCGATTCAAGTATGCGAAGATGCCATGTTCAACATATCCTCAATATAATTAAGTCGGGTCGTCAATCGAAGAAGTCCGAGATACAGTTTCCCATCTTTTATACCAGAACACGCTCACTTTGTCGGTCCCCAAAGATGAGAGGGAGAGAAATCTATGATCGAAGTGGATACCCTGCAACTCAAAAGCAATGGCCTGTGCCCATATCAAAGAGCCATAGGTCACGACATGTGGCGTACAAACCTACTCATGCAGAAGACAGCAAGTTCTTTATGTGAGGGCAACAGTGTCGGATTTTGACTACAAAACTGTCAAACCTTGTAAAGCAACCGAAGATCTGAAGGCATTTCGGTCAAATCAAGATAATTTGCTACCTATAACTTCGTTTTGACAAGAGCAGCTTCGTCAAACTCAAAGTTCTGTCATCACGGTCGCAGGCTTTTGCGCCCAAACCCTTCGTCTATGGCATCAGTCAGAAAGAAGGTCATCATCCATATCGAACACGTAATGGAGTGACCAGCTAGGGACTTACACCCTGTGCCAAACATGGTGGTAGGGGCTCTGGAGCTCCTTCCGTAGCTGAGCTACATACACATAGACTTCCTCCTTGCTCCACGGCTGCGGCTCACCAAACCTTGTGAGGAGCCACATAAACCATCCCTCCATACCGGCTACCCAGTGTTGGAAATTGACTGCGCCAGCCTCCTTTAACTGTTTGTCTTTGGGCCATGGCCCAATCGGCCACTTGTAAATCTTCTCATGCACATTGACAAACCCAGCTTTCCGGATGCTGCTAGAAATGGTATCGGCGATATCACACGGCCGGTCTGCGTGTGCTCCGCACCAAATAATGTTTGGACCTAAGTGGGACAAAGTACTACCGGGTGAGAGACTGCCGTCATCAGACTGGACAACGAAGCTCATTTCCACTTGTTCGATCCACCCACCAGACCTCAGGTTGCTAAATAAGTCAGTATTTCAGCAGAAGACAAAGGCACATATCGCTCCACTATCAAGACACTCACTCATAACACCGCTTATAGACCAGATCCCACTCTTGACGGCTAAATGATCCAGACATATGACGCATATGAATCAGATCGAACTTCTTACGCCATGTCCATTCCTGCAGCACATCGTCAACCTCCAGAATACAGTTCGGCGGTACCCAGGCGGCAGGAGGTGGGAAAAGGTCGACACCTCGAACAACGGCTATGCTGTGTCAGCGGCAAGGTTACGAAACAAAGAAGGGTACTTACCGCTCGGGAACATGTCAGCAACATTTCTTAGTCTGGTCAGCGAAATAATTTGGGCCTAACAGGAGGAATTTAGATTGCGCTGACATGGCCCAAGTACCATTACCGGTTCCAATATCCAGGATATGCTATGTATACTTGGTCAGAGGCCATACATCGTCAATAGACACGTATAGTATAGTACCATCGAACAACTGCGGATTGGCGAGAGAAAGAGCGGATTCGCCTTATCTGAGTGCATAGCAAGGGCAACTTGGTGCCTAGAAGTAGTTATCAGCGAAGAGTGTGCGTGGTTCAGACCACGTGCCCAGACATACCCAGCTTCGTAACTTTCAAATTGTTGATCATCAGATGGGATACTGCGTCAATTAGGTTAGGGTTCTCATCAATCATATACAATTCTTTGACTTGCAAGTACTCCTCTACCCGTAGTGTTTGGTACCTCAACACTGATGTCAGCTTCAAAAGCCTAATTCAGGTTTATGTGCATCTTACCTCCTGCCATTTTCCATTAACCCCCTATAAATCGAAGACCTAATCGAATCTGTCTGTCTAGGCGATGTTTAATGTCAGATCATTTCAACAGGGGCTCATGCTGTCAAGTAACATACGACTCCCAATCTTCAGAGCCATAACCATATGTGCTATCGTCGAGGGTCAGATCCGGATCCTGATAATAGCACGTCAGAAGAGAGACGAGGGGACTCGATGAGTTTGATATATCCCACATACAAGAGTGACACTCTGGTTGTCCATGTTCAAAGGCACGCTTCAAGTGGAAAGCCTCTAGGGGGCTTAGATTTGTTAAGATATAAGCAGACAGAAACTTTGCGAAGTCGATCTAGAAAAGTAATACAGAATGATCTTTTATGGATTTTGCATTCCTAGCTTGTGGGGATGGCAGAGGTAGGAGTCCTCGCCATTACGATCGGCTAATAACAAACCGATGGTGATGAAAGCGGGGCTCTACTGGCTGACGAGTCACTTGTGGGTCCGAGTAAATATGAGCTATCCACCGATTTGCCCAGCCCGGAATGCTATTTGGAAGCATGACTACGGCGGCCTATTGTTAGTTAGTTAGCCGGTACTCGGACAGAACGCTTTGTCAGCATTTTTAGACCGGCAGAATTTCAATTTCAGCCTGAGGGTACGGAGGTTAATAAGGATCACGAGTGCAAAAACCCCAAACGGTGGCTTTTGACGGGCAGAATTCCCTCTTGGTCGTCATGCTTATACCAGTCTAGCCTTATCAGACCTAGTGTAGTATGAAGTAACGTCTTTTTCTGCCCCATTCAGCTTTGGTCTTCGCAATGCTCACGAACAGGCCTACCGTCCTTTTGATTGGCCAACTTGTCTTCTTGCCCTTCAGCTCATAAATGAACCATCGAACAAGCTGAATCCTTCTAAATACCATTCTTTTCGCAAAAGAAGCTCCTGTCTCCTCTTTCCGACTACGTCAAGACATGCAGATTGAAGTGGATTGAGTCTCAAAATCGCACCAAATACCACCAACCTTCCCCAGTCCTTCCACGCCGTCATATTGTCTTCTGCTAATTACCCCCTGTTTGCCCTCCAGGTCTCCGAGACAGGTCCTGACGCAGAGCACCGTAACAAGCTATGGACAGACTCCGGAGGGTTACTTAACTAATCCTCACAATCTTCGGTCAACACACACTCCTGTGGATAATAAGTTTATCTACCGAGTTACCTCCGTCGATCCCACTTTTTTCCTGGACACTGATTGGCTATCCGAAAATCCCAAGAGCGTAGTGGCACTGCCGATCGGCTTCTATTTTGGGTAGTGGGCTGAGATGCTGCATCGTGGCGCGGGAAACTAGCCTTCCTGAGCCTGTCCAAGCTCGTTATCCCACGCACTAACGAGTTTCGTCGTAAGGCGGAGCACTGGATACTCATCCAATTGGTCATGGAGGAAGGCACGGCGGCGGAGTTCAAGGTATTGGTTGACTGACTTCCCCCGGTGCAAGTCCTCGGGATTGAAGCCATTTCCAGGTTCAGAAAGCTCAGCTCCAATCTGCTGGAGTTGCTGTTGGCACTTAGGACGTCAGGGGGTAAATACTCATCTTTATCCCAGTCCCGGACATCCTCTCGTAGCTCCCGAAGTAGCATAATTTAAAACACTATTATTCCAGGCAAAAGGAAGAGCGTACAGTACGTAGATCTTGAGCCCGTCAGTGCATTATTTCGATACTATTCCGTACAATACCTTGAAACGCGGCGGAATAGAGGACATGCGCGGGTAGAATATATGTCTCCAGGATTTCTCAAAGTAAACTTTCTATGCCGCACCAGTTGGTCAGAAGTGCCATTTAGGTTGTACAAGTTCCATATATTATCCGAAAGAGCTATGTTTTGGGAGATATCATGATATGAAGTTGCTATGCATGCATTTATTATTTCAAACGCCCGTGGGTTACGTGTGTCCCCCACTTTTCTTTCCCATTTGTATGTAATTACGGGGTTCCGAGACAACACTTACATACAAGTCACTCTCGAGTATCCCATGGGTCCTCTAAGACACGGAGGAATTGGTCCCATCCACATATCAACTATGGACCAACTCTGCAGATGTGTATTTAACATACCCTCTGCCTGCCACTCATCTTATCTACAATCAATCAATTCAATCTGTCAATCCTACTGATTGGCTCCCCTTCCAAAAGAATCCCACTCATTGCATACCATGCCGTACCGTATTAGCTTGTTCTGACAGGAAGATACTCATCTGCATCCCAGCCAGTTACATCCTGTTGAAGTGCTTGCATAAGCGTAGGATCTGCTAGTATTTTGAGGTTCTGCCTAGATGTATGCTGGTAAAGAACAATTGGCTTGCCAGTAACTGCCCATAGGTGCTTTAGCTGCTTGCGAATCTTATGCCGATTCCATGTCTTGACGTATGAAGCAGCGGATGAGCATATAGTAGGCATAAATACTGCGAGAAGAGCAACCTGACAAGAAATGCTTATAATCGAAAAGAAATTTCTCCTCTCGAAGAGTTGCGAAGTAGTTCTAACAAGAGAGTAGAAAGCCATACTAAAGGATGATCAGTGTGACTCGGGGGAGTAAGCCATGCATGTAGGAGGAAAAGCGGCTATGGTGGAACCGGCGGGCAGGGCGGCAGGCGAAGCGGTGAACTGACTAGTTAGAAAAAAGCGTTCTGACCGAGTTAACCCTATAGTCCGCCGTATTTTTTCTTTCTTCTGCTCGCTTCGCAAGTAGAACCGCCGCCGCCGTCTCGTCTTCTGTTTTTGGTCTCTGCAGACCGCCTTAAGAGAGTCACATAACACCGCCCCGCGAAGAACACATACCCAGGATCGTCGCTGTTTGAAACGTTACAGTCTCGCAGAGACTCGCGCCAGCCCCTCATGTCGTCGGCTGTAGCGGAGCTGGATAGCTACCTTCGGTCCATGCTGGCTCTGAAGCCTCCCGGGATTACAGGCTCCAAGGTTCATGTTGTGATGTGAGGCTGTTGCTGCTCAGGAATGAAGCCGCAACATCGGAAATAATTCCTGCTCTATGTATAGGAAGAACCAAGTTGATTGGAAATCAACTTGGACTTCATGTTGTATATATAGCCTCATGTATTCCCTCAAGAAGAAGAATCAAGCTTCCTTTTGTTTTACAACAGGTTATGAGCCCGAGTGCAATCACTCGGGTGCCGTCTCTACTCACACCGAGACCCATTTATCTCTATTGATTCGTGATTATATATTACCCCACTTTCTCAAACATCATGTCGGCTCTTGCCCACGACTCTCCTGACCGAGCCGTCATGGCCATTGAGCCTTTGACAGGCAGCGACAACTTCGCGACCTGGAAACGTCTCATGACCTCCTATCTGAAAGCCAGGCAGGTCTGGGACGTTGTGTCGGGCGACCTTCAGCGTCCTGATTGCCAATTCAAATATGCCAAACCAATCACGGCGGACATTAGTCCGCTCGTGGAACCCCACCTCAATGGGGCGGTGAGGCAGCGAGCCATCGAAGCCCGCCTTGAAGTGGAGGTCCAAGCTTTCGAGCGTCATAAGGAATGGTCGCGGCGCGAAGCCGATGCCTACCACATCATCTTACGGTAGCTGTCTCCCAACGTTAGCATCCACGTCGCGGGGCTGGAGACGTCCCGCGACCTGTGGAATGAACTCGAAGAACGGTACCGGCGCATGGAACTCGCCACTTTTTGCGAACTGTTCGCCCAGCTTCGCGAAACGACTGGCGACCGTTGTGCCAGCGCGCGCGAGTTTGTCGACCGCGTGCGACTGCTGGTTCATCGATTGAATGCCATCGCCCCAGGGTCGATTGGCGATCGAGCACACATAGCGCTCTTGTTGACGCAGATCGGACCGGAGTACATCTTGATCGTGGATGCTATCTAGAATGATAAGGATCTGGTCAATCCGACCACGGTCGGAAACCGTCTGGCGAATGCCGAACAGACGGTACGGGGAAAAGACTCTCCCACGCTACCACCACAGAGACCGGGACTATCGATCAATACGGTTCAAACCAACACACAGAAGTGCTCCTATTGCAAGAAGCGAGGCCATGTGCCCGCGAAGTGTTAGAAGAAACACCCTGAATTGCGTCCGCAGAAGGACTATACCGATAAGGCAGAACAGAGTGCTTCTGGCTCACCAAGATCATCAAGCCAGGTGGAAGAACGGCAGAGCCCGCCGACTTCCAAGAGACCGAGGATCAATATCGTGAGGGCGGGGGTAACGACCCTTTATACCCACGCACCGCAACCCCGGTGGATCCTAGACTCGGCCGCCACTAGCCACATCTGCTGGGACCGAAGCTGCTTTAGTAGCCTGCGGCCCCACCGTGAGATACTAGACACAGCGGGCGATCTAGTAGAAGCCGAAGGGATTGGTACAGTGAAGCTCACGCTCCGGGGGAAGTTCAACCACCCCCTAGTGTTGAAGAATGTATATTTCGCGCCGCGCATCGGGATGAACCTAATTAGCGTGCCGAAATTACTACGAGACCGCTACTCGGTAGTAGCGTACCCGCAGAACGTCTTTGTGCAACGCCGAGGACGGACCGTAAGAACTGCCTACTATGCGGAGGAGGATCTGTTGATCTTGCGGTGCCATATAAGCTAAAGATCCCGAGAACGAGTCCAACTAGCGAGGGCGCCGGCGGACCGTGTCTATACAGATTCCCTAGAACTGCAGGCGGTGGACATAGACGTCGACGACCCTCTAGAGTCAAGTAGTGCGCAAGGCGCAGCGACTACCTCTGAACTCAGTAGTGAAGCTCGGATACTCGAAGAAGATGCGAGCAAAGGAGTGGACCAGGCCACCGAAGCGCTATAACACGCTCGGATAGGACATCTGAATCGGGGAGACTTAAGGGTAGTCCTCCGTCAGACCGGCACTCCGTACCGACCGCTAACTCAGGCAGAACTATTAGCAACGCCGCAGTGTCCGGCGTATATATCGGGTAAGCAGCATCAGAAGAGGAACTCCCGTGCAAGACGGCCACGTCTGCACTCGACGAGAATATTTAAAATAGTCTATTCGGATATTATAGAGATACCGATTAGGAAAGATAGCTCCAGGTACGTCATCACATTTACTAACGATTTTTCTCGTGGCTCGTAGGCCTACGCTATAAGATAGAAACATAAAGCGCTGTCTAAGTTCCGACAATTCGAGGCTTAGGTGCAGCGACAGTTCGACGCCCGGATTAAAAGATTCCTTACTGACAACGGAAGAGAATACTTACCTATCGGAACATACCTCGAGTCCTAGGGAGTTAAGTTTAATACCTTGCCGCCGTATTGCAAGGGGCAGAACGGACTAGCTGAGCGCACGAATCGCACTATCCGGGAGCGGATCAACACGCTCCTGTCCGATACGAAGCTTCCTCCTTCCTGGTAGCCCGAGCTCTTAGAGACAGTAGTTTATCTAAAGCTGCGCGCGCCAGCGTCAATTCTGCAGAAGAAAACACCGTTTGAAGTACTATACAGGAAGCCGCCTACGCTGTCGCACTTACGACGGATCGGCTCCCGTATATAGGTACTAATTCCAAAAGAGCATTGCGCTAAACTCGGACCAAGATCGTCTAAATACCGACTACTCGGTTACTGCGAACCTAATCAGTACAGGCTTTACGAAGTACACTCTAGAAAGACAGTCTTTTCCTATGATATCGAGTTCGATGAACGGACCCCTGTAGCGCCGCTTATCGAGGGGGAAACAGGTAACGACCTCCCGGATAACGCTCCTCTATCACCTGTCTTTGCTGAACTAATACTGCCTGTATCTGACGCACCGCCTACACCGCCTCTGTCTCCTCTGTCTCCTGATGATTTAGAGAACGTGCCCTGTGAGCCGGTTGATAATACACCTTCTGAACCAGTTGATATTCCTTCACCGGTCAATCCAATCCCTCGCGAAATATAAGCTATACCCGACCTTAGCTATTCCTTGTATAGCCGAAGACGAAGACCTTCCAAACGTCTCTTAGAGTCGTTAGGCAAGGTATATACAACAGGGACATTGAATATAACCGCCGCAAAAGACGTTGATCCCTTGACCTTCTACGAAGCCGTATCGGGACCCAATCAGCTGGAATAGTGGGCTGCGATCCAGAAAGAATACGCTTCTCTTCTCGAGCATAGTATATGGGAGAAGGTTCCACGAAATGAAGTTCCCCCCGGGGATCGGATCATTAGCTGCAAGTAGGTATTCAAGACGAAGGCTAATAGAATTCGGAAAGCGCGACTAGTAATCAAAGGCTACCGACAGAAATATAGCATCGACTATCACGAAACCTTCGCGGCCGTATCCCGAATAGATTCAGTCCGCAGTATCGTTGCGAGTGCTATACTACGTGGATAGAAACTCCACTAATTCGATGCCGTTACTGCCTTCCTCTACGGTAATATCGACTCGTTAATCTATATAGAGCTGCCAGAGGGCTTTAAGGAAGACGGGTACGTTTGCCGCCTTCGACGCTCCTTGTACAGATTAAAGCAGGCACCACGGATTTGGTACTAATACGTCTACCGTGTCCTAGTGGCTCACGGCTTTACCATAGCCCAGTCCGACAATTGTGTTTTCTATAAGCCTAACTGTATCGTCTGCGTGTACGTCGATAACTTTCTAGTCGCAGCAGCGGACAACGCCGAGATCCAGCAACTTCGAGTAGCCCTGGAATCGGAGTTCAAGCTGAACAATCTAGGAACCCCGCGTTCATTCCTAGGAATTCAGTTTAACTTCCACGCGGACGGATCTATTTCGATTCACCAACATCAATATATCTAAAAGGTACTTTCCGACTTTTGCATAGAGACCTGTCAACCGAAGTCTACACCGATAGCTCCAAAAGTTCTCCTGAATAACGTTTCCGACAGGAGCGACCTAGATAAAGATACGAAGGCTCGGTTCGGGACCGCAATCGGGTTACTGATGTATCTTATAGTCGGTACGCGCCCTGACATCGCGTTTACGCTTAGGACCTTGAGTCGCTTCACATCCCGACCGCAGTCGCATCATCAGGCCGCACTGCAGAGACTGTTACGCTATATTAAGGCTACGCAATTCTATCGCATCACATACCGCAGCGGGCAGTTGATCGGATACACCGATGCCGACTTTAGTGGCTCGGTCGTCACTGATAGTGCATACTCCACGTCCGGCTATATATTCAAACTTGCAGGAGCGCCAGTTTCCTGGTCATCCAAAAGACAGGGGGAAGTAGCGACGTCCACGACTCACGCCGAGTACATTAGCCAATACAATGCTATTCTTCACCTGCAATAGCTCCGCACATTCCTGGCGGAAACCCATCTGTTTCGATCACCGGTGACCAACATCATGGCCGACAATCAATCTGCTATTGCTCTCTCCCGCAATCCTGAGTTTCACAAACGGACGAAGCATTTCAACGTGAAGTTCCATTACCAGCGAGCCGTTCTGAATTCAGGAGAAATTAATCTCGAATACATTCCAACCGAAGAACAGGCAGCTGATGGACTCACGAAACCTCTAGGACCCTCTCCATTCGCCAAGTTTTGCAACCTGTTAGGAATTGACATTGAAGAACACATAAAGGAAAGGGTGTAACCGCGATGGCGCTCTTTCCACTATTTCTCCTCTTCGAGGTTTTGAATGGTTTTACCAAGGCCTGACCGATGTGCATGTATTCAGTATCGCCTCGCTAGCAAGGTGATCCTGAGGGGGAATGTTGTGATGGGAGGCTGTTGCTGCTCAGGAATGAAGCCGCAACATCGGAAATAATTCCTGCTCTATGTATAGGAAGAACCAAGTTGATTGGAAATCAACTTGGACTTCATGTTGTATATATAGCCTCATGTATTCCCTCAAGAAGAAGAATCAAGCTTCCTTTTGTTTTACAACATACCCATTATCGGTTTTCGTCGATCGGTCGCGCCGCACCGAGCCCTTCACCAATTGCGTTACATGCAGACCGCCGATGAATCGAGTCCTCCCACCAGGCCGCACCGGTATGCAATCCTGTTCACGGTGTGGTGATCTGCTCCCTCTCTCCCAGTTTATCGACTTAGCACGCCGACGCCAGCCGTTTAAATTATGCCCGGGTTGCCGACCCGCTGTAATGGTGCCGGTAGGATTCCGCTCCCAGTACCGCCCCGGCATTATACAGAGACATGATCTTGGCCGTATGGAATACACCTGCCGTTTTTGCAAGGCTCTTTACTGGCTTGCCGAGCGGGACATTCACTCATCCCAGGCTAATCCTTTATTGTCTCGCTGCTGCAAACAGGGGGCTGTTCAATTAACCCCAATCCAGCCGCCGCCGCCTTACCTGCGCTGGCTCTTAACAAGTGATGATACTCGCGCAAAAGAATTCCGAGACCGGATCCGCCAATATAACTCGGCTTTCGCGTTTACCTCTATCTCCTATACTCCGGATCAACGCGTCGAAGGGGCATACAAACCCTTTTTAGTGGCCGGCGAGCTATTTCATATACATGGGCCACTAGAGCCCCGGGAGGGTGTATCTCCCGCGTCTGCCCAGCTATGGCTATTAGAGGACCAATAGGCCACCATCCTGATCCGTTGCGCAATGAAGCCAGCGCGAGGCCACAGCGGTCAGGTGCCGGTAATGCGAATGGAAATCGTAGTGCGCTTTCCGCCGCTATCATAGCGAGGCTCACTGACGAGCTAAACCGCTATAACCCGTTCATCGGGATCTACCGGACTGCCCGGGAGCAGCTAATCGAGGCCGCCCGAAGCCGGACCCCTATAGATGTGATACTATCCCCCGATCTGCGTATCATCCTCCAAGGAAAATTTGATCCACGCACGCATAACTTGCCTACACGGACCGAGGTAGCAGCGTTTATCCCAGACGCGCCACCAGACTTCGGTCAGCGAACGTACCGGGATATGGTTTTGACTTTACGGGCCCCAGATACGGGTCGTGCTGCCCTTCGTAGGGTGGATCCCAGCCATGCGGCGTATCTACCTCTGCATTATGTGTTACTTTTTCCTCACGGGGATACCGGGTGGTCCTGGGGCCTCCGTTTGACATTCCGTGATCGGGATAATGCCGCCCAGGATGAAGTAGACGACCTTGGACCTGACGATGGGGAAATGGATCTACCGGCTGTCTTACATGACATGGTAGATATAGATACCGACCCGGACCATGACCCAGCGACGTCTTCCTTGAACTGTATAACAGCCCGTCAATATCATGCTTTCCGCGTATTTACTCGGTCTGATGACTTCAATCCAATCCACCGTGCCTGTCGGCTAGGTCACCAGTATTGGGTCGACACGTATGCTACAATTGAGCACTCCCGACTGCGTTGGTTTAGTGGTCATCAAGACGATATCCGAGCGGATACTTATCAAGGCCTTGCAGATCACCTAGCGGAGGCAGGTATTGATACTGCCACTGAGGGCACGGAGGCTATGATAACTGCACCGGTCGGTCAGCGTGTGATATTACCCTCATCGCACATAGGCAGCCCGCGTTTCATGAAGAAGATCTGTCAAGATGCAATTGCTTTGATCCGTAAGTTGGGGCCGCCTACGTTGTTTATTACTATGACGGCCAATCCAAGTTGGGATGAGATTACACGGGAGCTATTCCCTGGCCAAACTGCCATGGATCGCCCGGATTTGGTCAGCCGTGTCTTTGATCTTAAGAAAAAAGACCTTCTCCTGCAACTCTGTAGGAAAGGTATCTTTGGCCCTTCCACTGGCCGGTTTTGGACAATTGAGTATCAAAAGCGCTCCCTCCCTCACTGCCATTTACTGCTCTTCCTGGGAAATAGCGACCAGTTCCACAACCCTTCAATGATAGATGAGGTGGTCTGTGCTGAGCTACCCGATCCAGTGGTGGATCCGGAACTCAGCAAGATTGTCCGTGACTAAATGGTCCGCATGTGTGGTGAGGGCTTACAGGCCCCCTGTACCTCGAGTGACACTGCTACGGGTGAACGAACCTGTCGTAAGCGCTTCCCTAAGCCATTCACCTCTGAGACGATCCCGAATGAGCATGGATACCCCCAGTATCGCCGGCGTGACCTTCCTGATATGGCATTTACCAAGCATGTGAAGGGCCGTGAGGTCACTGTGGATAATAGCCGGGTGGTGCCATATAACCCGTACCTCACGGTCCGCTATAACTGCCACATCAACGTTGAGCTCTGTCGCGGTGTCGAGGTTGTTAAGTATATCACTAAATACGCCTATAAAGGCCCAGATCGGGCTACAGTCCAGCTTACTCTTACAGACGAGATTACGGAATATCTCGAGGGCCGGTACATCGGACCGTCGGAGGCGATCTGGCGCCTGCTGGGATACCGAGTCCATGAGGAATTCCCGCCCGTGCTGGCGCTCCCGGTCCTTCTCCCAAGTCAGCAGCCAGTCCGCTTTCCGACCGGTGCTAACGTTGATGATATTCGACATCGGATGGATAACGCGCTGAGTCTATTGATGGCTTACTTCGACTACAATACTGTTGCCCGCCAGCAGGGCCGCCCGACGTATCTATATCAGGATATGCTACGGCACTGCATCTGGGACCGGTGCCAGAGGGTCTGGCGGCCACGGAAAAATGGGACTGTTATTGGTAGGATGTACCATGTGAGTCCCCGTGACGGCGAGCGCTTCTATCTACGGCTGCTATCAACGGTCCGGCATGATGCTGTAAGCTTTGAGGATCTAAGGACCGTACGCCCTGGATCAACAGAGCGGACATTCCGTGATGCCTGTAAGAAGCTTGGACTGCTAGAGGATGACAACCACTGGCGGGCCACATTCACGGAGGCTATGACTTTCGCATCTGGCAAATCTCTACGGAATGAGTTTTGTGTTGCTGTCGTGCATGGTGATGTTACGGACCCACCGGCACTCTGGGATGAGTTCCAAGTGCACCTATGCGACGACCTGCACCGTCAGTTGGAGTGCCTCACGGAAGCTGGCAGAGAGCTACCTGCCACTTCTACCAGAGAACAGTATCTAGACTTTGGCCTGTTTCTGATCGGCCGACTGCTGGCCAGGCAGAGTAAGACATTGGCGGATTATTATATGCCATCCCCGGAAGCTCATTGGTCGGCCTTCCAGCCGTCATCCCGAGAGGGTTTGCATAATATGCCATTAGATCGCCTAACCACCGCGGCCGCGAAGTTACGTGATCAACTCAACAATGATCAACAGGCCATCTTTTCCGCCGTGGTATCCACTGTGCTTGACGGTCGGCCTTCTGCGTGGTATCTACAAGGCCCTGCCGGCACTGGCAAAACATTCCTCTACCGTACGATCTACGCTGAGCTGCGGCGCTTGGGCTTCGATGTGGCCTGTATTGCTTCGTCCGGCATTGCCGCGACCCTACTGCCGGATGGCAGCACAGCCTATAGTTATTTTGGTATCCCGCTCGAGTTACATGAGGACTCGACCTCGACTTTACGGCTAAGATCTGCGAAATTCCGCCGCCTACGGACAACGGCTCTGATCATCTGGGATGAGGTCCCGATGCAGGACCGGTATGCAGTAGAATTGGTGAATCGTCTCCTACAAGACGCCCGTAATGACGACCGTCTATTTGGTGGTCTTCCAGTCCTGATAGGTGGTGATTTTGCACAGACCCTGCCGATAGTAGTCCCATCTAGCCGAACCAGGACGGTAGCTGCGTGCTTACAACGGTCTTCAATTTGGCCACAGTTAACAGTTCTACAGCTACATCGAAATATGCGTCTCCCGCTAATAGGCGTCAATGCAGACTACGGGCAATATCTATTCACAATGTCCTATCGAGAAGAGTTACGAGGCACTATCACCCTGCCCCAGTATATCCCCCGATCCGATACAGTGGAGGAGCTCTGTGATGCTGTATACCCCACCACAGCACTATCGACAACCACTGGGGACCTGGAGTTCTTTGCTGAACGATCCATTATCACCATCCGTAATGACGCCGTGGCGGTGTTCAACGACCAGCTGATTAGTCGCATGCCTGGCGAGTCGAGGATTTATTGGTCCGCAGACCGTGCCCAGGATCGCTCTGGGAGGGATCAACCAGCACTTACAGAGCAACCTCTAGAATATCTACATTCTATCAATATGCCAGGCCTGCCACCGTCCATGCTAGCGTTGAAGGTCGGTGCCCCGATTATGCTGATCCGGAATCTACGACAAGAAGACGGCCTCTGCAATGGCACCCGTCTCATCATCACCGGTCTATACCGATGGAACATTACCGCCCGGATCATCGCTGGCGACCACAAAAGGGTGGAGCACACAATCCCCCGTATCCCCTTAGAAACAACCGAGGGCCAGCTATCCTTCACTCTCCGCCGGGTGCAGTTCCCAATCCGTCTCTGTTTTGCCATGACGATTAATAAGAGTCAGGGACAGTCATTGAAACAGGTGGGTGTGGACCTTCGTGTACCAGCCTTCTCCCATGGGCAGCTGTACGTCGCGCTCTCAAGGGTGACAGATGTAGCCAAACTATCAGTCCTACACGAGGAAGGCCTAGATACAACAGAAAATGTCGTATTTCCAGAGGTCTTACAACGCTTCGATTCTACGGCTTGATTACTATACGCCAGCGATCACTGATCGAAGGTACAAAATACAGAAGGCAAGAGCAAAGGTAGAGAGAGAAAGCGAGAGGGAGATAGTGATGAGCGCAAAGGAGGAGGAAGGTGAACAAGAAGTGATGACGAATGACACGTCTACAAATCCTTGCGACCGAAACACCAGGGTCTTGGCGACCTAACACAAGGTTCGGCAACCTACGGCGGTGCGTAGCGGCCATTCTCCAGTGCATAATTATTAAGCAAGACTGGTGCTAAATCATGTATATGATTGACCGCCTCTGGGTCCGCCCTTCTACTGATACCTTACCTTTTAGGCAAAATCACGTGAAAATCCCTGAATCTTAGTCATGTGATCATTCTCTCTCCTTAATACTTGGCCTCCTCTACCTCCGTTTAGGATTATTTCTTCCCTTTTCCACCCCCTTCCCCCTCCTAAGCTAGCCTTAATTCTGCCTCATAACTAAGCCCTTATGAGTTAGATAGATTATTGTAAACGTGAATTTGATAAGCCCTTATGAGAGATTATGTGGCTACTTCGAAAGTACATAGTTTAATTGTGGAGAAACGTGACTTGGTCGTAAATTCTGCCAGTAAATCTTGCTTAATAATTATGCACTGGAGAATGGCCGCTACGCACCGCCGTAGGCAACCAAACATATTGTTTCCATTAGCATCACTACGACTAATCATTATAATTCCATAAATCCACTTATTACACAATGTAACTCTGCCATTTGCTTCATAGTCAGAGATGGCCCCTAAGAGCTACCAGTATGCGTCACTTGCTTTTCAACCCTTGCAACCTGCGATACTTAAGACATCTCATGGTCGTACAACCGCATCCAAGGAGATGCCTTTTTAGCTATGAAAGAAAGAACCCCTTCCGTTCTCACCATGTTACAACATCTTGGATAGTCGTCCCCTTTTCTTTTATCACCAATACTAAGAAACAAGCCTTCAATCGCCTCCCTACTTTAGTTCAACCCAAATCGCCTATATGCCATTAAATAAAAGCTTTCCTGCAATTTTACAGGTTCGAGACTTCATTGAACAAGTCGAACCAGATCCAACACGACCCGGAAAGGGACTTGCTTTACAACTGCGCATTTCTCTCAATATTCCCGAAAAAGACGCTCAATCAGACGATGTAGAGCAACAAGATATACTAACTTTAGTCCGTTTCTTCTCCGACCCAGGACGATCGGACATATACCACGAAAACACCTTTGTTTACGCCTAGGGTTCCTTCCTCACAGCCACGACACAAGACCAAGGATTCCACATTCTACTCCACGCCCACACTGTTGATCGGTACGTACCGCTTAGGAGTCTCCACAACACTTGCTGAACTTCTCTAGACATCCTGGAGATCATGAAGACTCTGATTCATACTTTATGCACTGTCCTGAGGCTGCACAACCGACCGTCACCTTCCTAGGCGTCATTGATAAATACGCAGGGGAGCTCAACAACGGTTCAACACTACTGCACTATTCTCTACAAGTAACAGTCTACAATAGTTCTACTCGATACCAGCACACTTTCCCAATCGCTGCATACCTCAGAAATGGTCCACGATGGGCGAAATTCCCTTTGTTAGTGCCACAAACCCAGACATTCGTTACGGGGCCCATATTCGGCACTACTAAAGAGAACCAACAACTGGCCATACTAACGGACGATATACACTTCCTTCCCAGCATATCACCCCCTATACCACCAAATTCTACTTCACCAAAGGGTAAACGAAAACTAGCCAACCGTTGGGACCAACGTGCTGGCCGCACCATGCCGTCCAGCTCATCCCAGTTCCATGGTACGATTTCGACCCTTCCAGACCAAGACGAGATTACTCCCACCCCCAACGGCCCGATCACTCCTATCCATACAGAAATTACAACCATAGAAGATGATGAAACTCCAATAACATGGTCGGATACGGATGATCCTCAACCCACTCCAGCTCTGAAACGACGTTCACAAAGAACGCAAGGAAAAACCTTATAATAAAATGCTTACATGTCTGATCTTTGGAACAAAATTGAAATTGAAACCTGATGAGCACCTCCATTTTCTTTTCACCTATTTCAGCGCTTATCGCCTTCCTGAGATTACCTTACGGACTATCCAATTTCCTGAAAACCACCCGAGCGAAGCGAGGGTTAACGGCTAGTAATCGAAGATATATAGTTGAGTTAGCCTGCATATCGCTTTTATAGTTGGATCCCAGATTAGGTGATGTATAGATATCGTGCTGCCACCACACTCTAGGCAGAAGGCAGCTACTGTGACTACAAATACCTGCACATACTGGCCTAGTTAGAGAACGATCATCACACTTGTACTTCAATCCAGGGTTTCAACTTTTCTTTGCGAGGGGTCAGGGTAAATGATATCAACCAACCAACCAACCACTGTAACTAGCGTAGTGTCACAATACCCCAAAGACATCCATGGAAAAGATAGGCACAGCAAACCAAGACAAAGAGGCAATCCTAGCCCCGTACATGATCGAAATTTCCCCATTAAAGCCCAGTCAAGGAGTCTCTTCAACTTGATACTTCCTCTTATTAGGCGATTCACGTCGAGGCCGCCAACAGTGGGTATCAATAAGGTGATATGTCAAAACCTCCATGCTCCAAAATCCAGCAAGCAAGCAGGATACCCACACTTAAAGTTGCCATTCAATTGACTCAAGTGGGCTTCAATGTGATCGTGCCACTCTGCTGGGCTTACAAAAATCTGAACCATTCTCTTCGATGGACATATTTTCTCGTTTCCTAAGCAGAACGGACAAAATCCTGCCTTGATGGGGGCATTGCGGAACATCAACGGGTCACATCGAAGAAGTGCCTCTGGATCGTCAAGATGCTCTTTGCAATGATCATCCCACACCGCAGACATAATAAGCCGTCGATCACACTCGAGGCCTTGTGACATCGGTAGTGGTGCAGCCACCTCCTATTTTTTTCCAACCCTGAGTCCGTTTATTCAGCCCGCTCATAATATTTAACGCTCTTTGAATATGAACTTCACCCTCCACAACGGCTTGATTCAAGGTGTATTTTTTCCAATCACAAGTAACAGTAGAGTTCGGAGACGGCGACTATGCATAAGAAGGCTACCTTCTCGGGCCTTGAACTCCTTCACTCTCCTTCTTCACTTTCTGTATCATCATCAATGCTCACCGGGTATCCATTGACCTGTCCGCAGCACTCCCAATTTCTTTCTACCGTACAGGTACAATTTCTGCGCGGATGACATTTGGTACGGCAAATACGCCGTAGAGAAATGTTCTGTACGTGCCAAAATTGGCTTTAATTCGCGGCTGGGAGGATTGGCAGTTTATGTTTATTGTACGTTTGCAACTAGTCAAGGCTGTGAAGAGTATTTCAGAAAGGGTGCAGAGGCAGGGATTCAAGGTACAGGCGCAATCACTGCTGCTGGATGAGGGGACGTCTCCTGCTGTTGCTCAAGCCATAAGTACACTGGGAATTTCTGGAGCATCACACATTGTAAGACTTTTTCTGAAATTGATTGAAAGGCACAATGTGAGAAGTTTGACTAGCCTTAGTCCTAGATTTATTTGTGCTGGGATAGTGGGCACTTGTGGGCTCAATTCAAGATACATCTCACGGGATATTGCTGATAAATTGCGATTTTTACCGCTTTGGCAGGCCTCGAGACCCTCGTTGAATTAGATCTCCCTCTTCACTATATTTACTACATATGTACATGGGAACCCGAACACCGTTTGAAGCGAGTCACAGAATCAAGGACTTGTCTGTTCTGTATGATGAATGTAACATGCTCTGAATTTTTCCACTTAAAGGCCTAGTATCATTATGGTTTCGTGTGTTGCTTTTCGTCACATAATGGAAAACTCAATAGAATCCGCGAATACTCACTTTCTACTCACAAGCACAGTAGACCAGCAAATCGACATACCACAACATTTCATTGCATGATAAAACTATAAGTTGCCTTTGTATTCACATAAAGGAAGGGGGAAACAGACATTTCCCTGACAAAAACCCGGACCAAAGCAAAACATAATATCCTATTACTTCAGTGTTGTGAAACAATTTGCCTAAATTTCCCTGGCCAGTTCTTTGCAAACCCACTGAAACACTACAACTTAGTTCCCGAGCTTCCTAGTTTGGAACAGGTCTAGCTGAAAGAATTGCAACTTCGTCACCGATAGCATGCGGGCGGTCCTTGAAATGGAGCTTTAGATGGGGGATGAGCGCCGTCTTCATCTGCTCATAATTAGGGTCTTGCTTGAACCAAAATCCAACCAAAACTTCAGCTGCTTTTTGACATCTCTCCATCATATCCTCCTCTGGAAAGGCGCAGAAAGCGTTGACTCGGAAGGTCTCAATTTTCCCAAACCCGTGTTCTGAGAATATTCTGGCGGCTGTATGCAGAAGATATCCCTGATGATCTATCCGGCTATTTTCAGCGCTCAAAGGAGCGCAAACATCATTGAGTAGGTTCACGAGCTGGTTGTCTGGCGCACCTTGGACGACCACAAGTCGCGCATTGGGGTTGGTAATGTCCGCGACCCTGGCCATTTCCCGGAGCGACTTTTCCAAGTCATCCACGTAATGCATTACCCACATAGCGACGACGGCATCAAATCTTCCGTCCGGGAAGGGGATATTTTCAGCCGATCCAACCCGTACCTCGACGTTATGTGCATGCTTCATTTGAAGGGAACTTCGCTCCGCGTTGGGTTCAATTGAATATGCGTTACCGCCACGCTCGGCGATAGCTATTGGAAGCTCTACAGACAAATGTCAACACAGTCAGAGGTGTTCTAGAAGCAAAGATGAATAGAACTCACTTCCATAACCGCTACCCACGTCCAGGACATCCTGGTTGTTCTCCAACAAGTTCAGTACGGCGTCGAACTCGTCTCGAACCAGCCTCTCCGCAAAAGGTGCCCAAGATCCTTCGCTCAGTGGATGTGGCCCACGATATGAATTCGGAAGAGGATAAGGTCCCATAAGAGCGTGATCCACAACCTTTCTGGCAATAATTAGGTAATGTTCCTGGGTTTCATCCTTGTATGGTTGCCGTTCAGTAAAGGAGAAAAATTTCTCTACTGAAATTTCAAAACCAGCCTTTTGAAACAGATTCCGCCATCCATCCTCGGTGTATACAGTCCCAATAACCTTCCTCCCCATGAATGGAAGTTCCACATGCCGAAAGACTTGTCCCGTGGAATCAGAAAGACTCTGATCCTTGACGAGGCTTGTGCTAGGGATGGTCCCCAGAATGAGAAGGCCACCAGGTCTTAGCCAGTCTGAATACTTGAACATCATGGAGTAGGTGTCAATGTGCGATAGCTGGAACATGGAGAAGACTGAAAATATCGCAGAAAACTTGGTTTTTGGCTCAAAATTCAACATGTCCTGTTTCTCGAACCGACCAGAGACTTGCCTGCTGGCTATATCCACCATTTTCTGCGAGACATCAATGCCATAGACATTGTGCCCCTCGTGGGCAACCTGGCTTGCAACCGGCTTTCCAGTGCCACATCCAACATCGAGAACGTGACTACCCGGTTTAAGCTCTGCCAAGGCAAGCTGTATAACCTCTTCGAGACCCGGATTGTTGACATAGGCATCCTCATACTTTTCGCCAATGCTATCGAAGAGATCCTCCGCAGAGATTGTCATTATGAAATGTCAACGAAGTTCGTCTGCTTCAAAGGGGAAGTTGAAATGAGCAATAGATTTGCGGAAATGAATGATCGTGGAATGACCCCTTTTATTAGCAGATTAACCGGTATTTATATATTTGACTGCTGTAACAAGCACATCAGCCAATACGATCGCATTGCAGGGATTATCTCACGAAGCAATTCCAGGCTAGCTTGGTTAGATGAGTTGGTCCTCAAGCGTTAAGATGACCCGATGCACGATTTTGTGGCTTTCGCTAGTGCAAAAGTATCTCTCCAAAACAAAGCTCCACCACATGTGATTGTAGCATCAAATTTGTGAAAAAGGGAAGACTATAGAAGTGATTCGCTAATAAACCCAGATTTAACATTTGAATTCCACGGCAAATACAAACTCCTCTGCCACACTGGTTGTTTCCACCCCATTCTTGAACAACGGGCTTTAATCATACTTTGGTTGACACTGGCTTGGACTTTGGCATGTTACAACACAGCGTGCGTATCAACCAGTATCAGGATATCTTCCAACGGATGCAATGATCCCTTGTCGCTCCACTCAATCGCCAAGTCACGCAATAGGTAGCTTCGGGCAGAAATGTCCATCTTGTTACACAGAGATCCGTGAATCAATCGTGAGAGCATTTGCATGATAGATCTGCAGGATGAACATGTGAGTCCTATGCGGGTTGAACCTTCTACAAAACCTAATCGAGCACGTACACTCTTCCAATGGTACTATTAACTCCTTACTTCTTTTTCATAGATAAATTAAGATAACGAGTCGTCTTTTCGAGTATCCTACTAAGAGGTGGGCAGTTCGGTCTGGGACGCTAGGCTTTCCATGGTGATAGGTCAAGCTGTTACTTTTGTGGGGCGAGTATACTACGCAATTAACCAGTCTTTGGACTTTTTTTATCATTACTAGCTTTTAACCATCGTTTCCCAAGTTAGCGCTGCTCTCAAACCTATTTCTGTAAGATTGTGTGCTGTCCTAGTCTCTTAATTAATGCCTCTTTTTGACCGTCATTTGCAATGGGCATGCGTCCACCAGAGTTAAAAAATAATCTTTATACGTAATTCGACTAGCTTCAAAGCATCACTGACCGACTTTGTATGAGAAGAGATCGTAGGGGTGGGATTTGCATACCCTCGGCCAGGATAATCTAGCTCGAAGAAATGAACCATATGAGTACGACATAAATATAATGCCGCCTCAGAAAAGCTAGTCAGATACAAGTCAGTAAGTCGTAAGCTACTTTGAATCCAATAGATGCGGATTGCAGTCTCGAAGTACTCATATAAAGAGAGGAGGATGAGGAAAAGCGCATATTTCATGGCGGGGCATTGTCTTAGTCCCACTGAAACGCCAAGTTCCATCTCTGCATCTCTTTACCATCCGTTATACATTCGGGACAAAAAAATATTGGATTTTTGGATATTTCCTCGACGTGGCCAGGAAGAAGCTGCTGCTCGATACCGTGATCTACACCGGAGCAATACTTTCCATCCTGTGACTCTATCGAAACATACCCCTTGCGGAAAATGACCACCGTCTATCTCCATTCCACTTAGGGGCGTAATCCCGGGAGCCTTTTAAAACGGACAGCTCATATCAACGTTGTTAGTAATTAGAGAGGTCTACCCCGTGTCTCAACGGAAGGTTTCATTAATTACAGCAGTCTATAGTTCTGAGGATACCTGACCACCTCACATTGACACTTGAAGCTCACGAGAAACGGTAGCTGTTCAAAGACAGTTCAGGAGAGGCACCTCTGTTAGCTTTTGCTCTAGCTCTTTGCGTAAGTTTGATAAGACATCTCCATCACGGGCAATAAAGAAGGTGGCCATTGCAAGCGTTATGCTCAGGATATAACTGGGGCCGAATATTATGTTGAATGACTCGGAGACAGACAATAGACGTGCGACTGCGTAACGGGACACGACTGGACTCAACCGACTTCGGGAGTGCCTCAAACAGCGGTATACAATCCTGGTCCCCATGATCGTCTGCTTTATGACATAGCAAATCATCAAGCCGATCTTGCAGATCCTAAAAAGCAAATCAGGCTTCAAATCTTCTCACGCATGAAAACTCGATGGTGTTACAAACCGCCTTTTTTTTAAATAACATTGCACTTTTTGGATTCATAATTTGTAGGTTCCATGGACTGAAATTTTTCTTAAGCCACGTAGCCAGCTCGAGTGCGCCTGCAGCCAAAGTCTTGCTAGCAGACAATCTTGGCCTATTACGATCGGGCACTGTAAACAGACATGCATATCCAACCGCTGGAAACAGAGAGCCCCGCCCCGAATCGCCCCGAAAACTTTATGGTCCACGAGGCTTGCATGCAGATCACTTCCTGAGCGGTGAAGGGCAGAATTAGAGACAGTGTTGCGATGAGCAGGCCCTAAAATTCGTTACTGGTTTGTTACACAGGTTGTGAGGAAACCAATCGCTTCAGAAAGACAGCCAGTAGATTCAAACATGAAAGCTAAATTGGCCATTCTCGTCAGCGTAGAGGGATGGACCTCACCGAGCTTCGTCTTGCTTATTCCAAAGACCTGTACCTCGAGCTGCTCGGCCTCCTTACACCGGCCTGCATCTATTGCCGACTGATTGGGATTGCCCAATACTCAAATACTCTCGAACCTCAAAATGACAGTTTTCACTAGTCCTTAATACACATAAAGCAAGAAGGATCTCCCTTGAGGTATATGTGCGTTGTGAGGTAAATTTAGCAAGTTACCTTATGGATAGATAATAGGCGCAATCCTATCACAAGTCGAACGATAAACACGGATAATGACCAACAATGAGTGGCTGGATATTTGGCGCTTCCTGGCCATGACATTAGTGTACAACATTTGACACTCCCTGTGAGGTCACCTCGCCGTGTCTGTATCATGCAGCTCCAAATACGAAAATTTGACCTATTATACCTTGGCTAGAAGTATAGGCCATTCTGCCAATAGAGATTAATAGCCTTTTATTGAAAAAAAAAAAAAAAACCTAGGACAAATCCCCACTATAAGCGTAGTCCCGTCCTACACATTATTCGCCATAGGCGGTTGAGACCGTGAAGCCGCATAGATTTAGAGATCCTTGTTACTCGTCTTGTTAAAATTCTGTGTCATCTTGGCAGGTCCATTCTCAAGTACAGATCGAGCACTTGAAACACAGGTCATTTTGCCCTGATTTTTGGCACAGTGCATGACATGAATCCGTTGGACAGGACAAGAGAACTAAGGCGGTGACGGACAAGAAGCATTTTCATAATCTCAAGTTGTCCCTTGCATCTCTATAAAGGGGTCGATGGATGGTTACCCCATATTTTTCTTTTATGTGTATTCGTCCTGGACACTTTTCTTTCATTTTTGATTTAACAGTTGTGGCCCGTGGGCAGACTGGTTCAATGTCACCGATCGATAGTGACGGATTATCCGTCACTTACGCCTCTGGTCGGACTGGGCACCCGGACCTAAGATTAATTCACTTCAACGATGTCTATCATATTCAGTATGCGCATCGTCTCGCCGTTGGTGCTGTCTAACGAAATCATTTAGACCCGGTCCTGTAGAGCCGATTGGCGGGATTGCTCGCTTCCAATCGGTTGTCAATTACTATCGATCCCATCCACAATTCTCCAACCAGTCCGACGTTCTGACACTCTTTTCGGGTGATGCTTTCAGCCCGAGTGCTGAAAGTTCAATTTCCAAAGGCGAACATATGGTGCCGATTCTGAACGCCATTGGTACTGCTGTAGCGTGCGTGGGTGTGAGTCTGTCAACTCGTAACTGACGATTTTGCACACTCCTAATGTTTCTAGAATCATGACCTTGATTTTGGCGCTGCCCGATTCAAGTACCTGGCTAGCCAATGTAGCTTTCCTTGGCTTCTAGCAAACATCGTCAGTCCAGCTCCGGGGGGCGATAGCCTAATCTCAGGATTTCAGAAGAGCTGTGTCTTGACAGCGTCAAACGGGCTCAAGATTGGCGTGCTAGGCCTCGGTGAGGAGGAATGGTATGCTCGCTCTCATGTGGCTGTTGTTTTATCTTTGTTTCTAATTTATGTCTCAGGATTCGCACGATCGATGATTTCGGGCCAGATTTGATCTGTGAAGCACCGTCAAGAACAGTCAAAAGGCTTGCCAAAGAGCTACGAGAACAAGGTGCAGAGCTCGTTGTTGCTCTAACGCATCAACGCGAACATAATGACTTCGAACTAGCGAACAATCTTCCCTCTAACCTTGTCGATATCATTCTTGGCGGCCACGATCACCTCTATGCGCATACATTAATTAATGGAATCCATATCCTACGGTCGGGAAGCGACTTCAAACAGTTCAGTTACATTGAAGGATTCCGAGACAGAGACACTATTTCAGGATGGCATTTCAACATTTTACGGAGAGATATTGTTAGCTCAATTCCTGAAGATCCTGATACACTACAAATAGCTGCCAGACTCACTTCTGGTCTCGACCTTGGCTTTGATAAGCCGATATTGTTTACATCTAATCCTCTTGATGGCCGTTTCTCGACCGTGCGACAGCGTGAGTCGAGCCTAGGAAATTTCATTTGCGACTTGCTGCGCTTCTACTATGACACTGATTGTGCCCTCTTGTCTGGTGGGACAATCCGCGGTGACCAAATATACCCGCCAGGGGTGGTGAAGCTGAGAGACATGCTGAGTTGTTTTCCGTTCCCAGACCCAGTGACAGTATTACGCATTCGTGGCCACGCCTTACTTGCGGCTTTGGAGAATGGTGTAAGTCAATTACCTGTACTTGAAGGTCGTTTTTGCCAGGTATCGAACGTCTGCTACGGTGTCAGGCTGGGGGGACCGCCAGGTTCGAGAATCACGTTTCTGCGAGTCGGAGGCAACCCTATTGAATCAGAGCGTACTTACACTGTCGCTACCGCTGGGTATATGTCGCGAGGGAAGGATGGGTTCTCTTCTCTACATATTGACCGCCCTGACGTGGAAGAACTTGTGGGGGAAGATAGTGGTGCACAAATTGTTAAAATCTTGCGAGCTTATTCCCTAGGTTTGAAAGTACTCGGAGCCTGGAATTGTCGATACGATAAAACTGAAGGTGGTTTGCCAGAGCCGCCTTTTCCCAATACGTCTCCAGAAAGCGACAAGGCGAATAACCTTGGAAAGACGACTGGCTTGCAGATCCATCCTAAACGAGAGGGCTCCAACCCCGATGATGACCCTCTTGTCCCAAATTCATGTATACATGCCATCACCAGTGTGTCTTTTGGATCGCCATCGTTTGTTGATCACCAGTATTGCTTATTTATTGCCCGGCGAGCGGTGCGAAGATGGATGCGAAACATAGGCTTCAGGACTCAGACCTTGAGAGCCATACAATACGACGCAGATTCACCACCAGACTGGATGCCAACAATTTCTCCTCAATTGGAAGGAAGGATCCTTGTGGAATAGTTGAACGATGTATTCCGGGCAGGCTCCTCAGTGTCGAGGTTTCAGCAGTCTTTAATACTGCGGAGGCCGTTTTGAATTAGGTCACGTGACTGGTAGCTTTAGTCTGAAACTCGGAATTAGACCTCGCCAAACGTGGGTTTGGGTTGGGTTTTCAATTTCTTTACCCGCCCACGGGTAACCCATCGCGGGTTTTGGCTTTATAAACCCGCCTGTTGAGTTATAAGTGACGCTTCAATGTTTGTATAGTTGATAGGAATTGATTGTGTGTTCTGAGTACAAACAAGCTGGTAGCCAGGTAGACATATATACATGCACGTGCTCACGTTCCCGTGACTACATCAGTGACCGTGATATTCAACACTCCCACTCGCTGATTTCCTTCGTCATAAAGGATGTCAGCGACACTTCATCACGGTTGCTAAGCCCCATTAAAACCCCCCAAAAACCCGTGGTAAAAAGGAGGGAAAGGGTGCCTGCATGTTGCGTTTTGGTTTGGTTTGAAAGCTGGTGCGTCATAAGAGTATCACTCAATGCCGAGACCCTTTCGAAACCATTCAAATCTGTTTCGGGCAAGGGGCTTCGTCAAACCATCAGCAATCTGTTCCATTGTTGGGACATATCTCAGTTCTACTGTCCCAGAGTCTTGAACTTCTCCTTGCCACTTTCGTTGGATTTCCATATGTTTGTACGCGAATGGTATTGAGGGTTCGAGGCCAGCGCAATGGCTCCCTGATTGTCGCCGCAAATGATTGTTGCGCATTTTCCTTGGCTCATGTTCAGTTCGTGAAGGAGTCTCCTCAACCATATAGCTTCCTTAACTGCTTGTGTCTAGCCAATGAATTCTGCTTCGCAGGTTAATAGGGCGACAGTGCTCTGCCGTTTCGACTGCCAGCTAATCGCTCCACTTCCGATGTTGAACAGGTATCCGGCCGTCGACCGTCTCGTTTAGCGACAGCCAGCCCAATCTAAATCTATGAAACCACGAAGCATCTAGAGCGGGCCTTTGTATATAAGGCTGAGAAATCTGGTGCCTTTGAGATACCGAAGAATACGTTGGCCGAGCTTCACGTGTTGTAGACCAGGGTTTGCCAAATGTCTGCTTGCCGCTAAGACGGCAAATGTAATATCACCCCTAGTTCCAAGCATGATATACATCAGCGATCCGATTATGCGCTGATACTTATTCTTCAGGCTTAAGGGGCAGACGTATTCGGGCCCGTTTTCTGGCAGAGGTGAAGTGTCTACAGGCGTGCTGACGGGTGCATAGTCTAATATACCAAATTGCTGGAGGACCTTATGCACGTAAGCCTCTCGGCTGAGAAAGAGGATTCTATTCTGCCGGTCCCTCCGGATAGCCATACCGAGATAGTAGCTGCATAGTCCTAGGTCTGTTATATAAAAGCGATTTTTAAGGCTTCGTTTGATCTTTTTTATCTCTGTAATACTTAGCCCGACGATTAAGAGGTCATCAACATATACAGCAATATACATACTACTCCGAACAAAGATGCTGAGATCAGCGTTGATAGGCTTAAAGCTAAGGCCCCGAAGGAAGTTAGTAAGAGTCTGATACCAGATACGAGATACTTGTGTTAGGCCGTAGAGTGCTTTGCGGAGCTTACAGACCTTAGATATACCATCCGTAGAGTAGTAGGGCTGTTCGACATAGATCTCGTGGTCGACCTCGCCGTATAAGAACGCTGTTTTGACATCTATCTGCTCGATCTCGAGATCAAGGGCTGCTACAATTGCGAATAGAGCCTTGTAGCTTATCGGTTTGACCACCGAGGCGAAAGTTTCGTCATAATCGACACCCTCCTCTTGAGTGAAACCTCTAACCACCTATCTACACTTGTAGCAGACGATCTCTCCGCGAGCTCCTCTTTTCAGTTTAAAGATCCACTTCCTGCTTAGGACTCGGCGATCGTTAGGCAAGTCAACGAGTTCCCAAGTTTTGTTTTGCTTAAGCGATTGTATTTCTTCGGTCATTCCCTTTTCCCATTCGAGCCATCGTGGATTATTCTTAGCCTAACGAAGGGACTTTGGTTCAAAGGGTTCAGTCTCTTCCGCAGCTACAGCCAAGAAAGTTAGAATCACATTCTCGTTAGGGACATTCATCAATACAAGTTCTTCTTCATTATAATCAGATATATCCTAGGAGATTTGTGTTTCTCGGAGTTTGAGTTCAGGGTAACGTTTAAGTATACCTTATAGCACGATATGTTCTGCACTACCCTCTCGAAGCTTAGAATAATTCAGCTAATCTTATAGAATTCACCCCTGTTAAGCATCGCCTTATTGCTGGTCACCGCCGAGTAGTGAGTCAATCTTCGGGACAGAATCCTCCAAAGAAGATAATAAGGACCCGAAGATATCGTCACTCAGTGTTAGTAAAAAGGTCCTTTCTCCTTGTCCAGTAGCAGTAGGCTACGAGTTATTATTACTCGGCTGAGGTATATACTCTTGCACTTTGTCGTCCGATAATCTAGGCTGTATTTGCCCTTACGGCGCCAGGGAGGCTTAGCGTCCTAAGGCTAGCACGGATACATATCGCACATTTGCCGACGGTTGGTTTACTAGTCCCACCGTCTCACTCCCCCTTAAGGCAGCAGCCGTTGCCCCAGGTAAGCGCTGCTAATCGGCTCCTATATCTTCTATAGTCTGTGTAGAGGGTGTATTGAGGACTTTATAAAATTCTGCGTTTAGTGTACTAATAATCCTGCCGTCTTCTAGTAGGATACGGTAGTTCGTATTTCCTTCGTATCCCAGTAGCAGACATCGCCTTATTCTTAGTCCTGCCAACTTCTTTCTTTGTCTAGGTGGAATAAGGTACTCGCCCTTAGATCCAATGACTCTCAGCCGCGATAGGTCAGGCTTGTCACTATACCAAGCTTAGTACAGAGTCATGTTACGTTTAGATAATAGTGATCGATTCGAGAGGAAGGCCGCCGTCCGCGCAATCTCCGGCTAGAACTTCGGCGGTAGTTTTGTATGCGCGAGCGTTAGTCCGACTCGATCGTAGATTGTCCTATAGGCTCTTTCTGCTACTCTATTCTCTTGGTGCTGATCGACACCTGTGACTTCGGTATGGATTGCCCTTGAGAAGAGGATAAACTCCATTTCTTCTCCTACCTGCTTAGGGATTCGGTCAAGACGAATTTGTCTGCATTTGCGCTCGGGGCGCTTATTGTGATCGAGAAAATACCGTAAAGACTCAACAACGAATTCTTGGCGCTGTGGTATAGGGATAATCTCAACCTATCTAGTGAAGTCGTCGACAATAGTCATCCAGTAGCAGCTACCATTAAGGCCCTCCTCAAATGGCCCTGCAACATCGATATAGAGGAGTTCTATAGCATATTTGGATCTTGTGCTCACTTCTAAACGACGATAGGGGGCTTCGGTCATTCGTCCCTGGAGGCATAGGTTACATAGTTAGCGTGGTGCAACGTCCTGAATGCCATAGGCTTGTCTTTTGAGTCGTTGAATGTTTGCATCGCTTATGTAGGCAAGCCTGTTGTGCTAAAGCGCCGATTGCGGTCTGAAGTGGTAAACCGGGAAAGCGGGTTTCGACCACAGGTCGAGTGCGTAAACTCCATAATATTAGCTTACAGTGAACAGGTTCCCCCTATCTAACTTATTCCGAATCTTTGCGCCATTGCTTAATAAGTCAATATTTGCCCCTCGATTAAGAAGTTGCAACACAGATATAAGGTTTGCATAGGCGGTCGGGACGAACAAGACGTCATCTAGAACCAGCCACTTCTTTTTGCCTCGTACATTGCACAGGATGTTTGCCACTCCTATGCCGGAAGGGGCCGTAGAGGTATCGACGCTCCTTAGTGGTGGGCCATCGTATTTGTCCATCTTAACGAATCTCGAAGCGTTGTTGCAGACGTGCTGGGCATCCACTATCCACGATCCAGGCGTCACGGATTGAGAGAGCTTTCGTGACCATCAGACTAGGAATATGATTTAAGGTCGCAAAGTTCCCTTCGACTTCCGTTCCGAACGCTTCATTAATGTCTTGTCTCGAGACTTGTGTCGCCATAAAGGTAGGTCTTTTGGGGTTCCTCGGCCCCTCAGAGTCGTCGTCTTCATTGTCTGTACTAGCACGCTTCTTAGGTAGCTTACTGGAGTTGGCGTTTGCACCGCTAGACCTTGTCCTGCGAGCCTTTTTCCGTTTTTCTGGGTTCCTCAGATCGGGATTCTTCTCGAAGCATTCAGGCTCTGTATGATAGGGCCTTCGACAGAAAACACAGAACGGGACATTATTTATCTCTATTCGGCATGTTTGTCCGTCTGAGGACGGTATGATCTTTTTGTTGTCCCCAAAGCTTCGGCTCAGCGTAAGGGCAGGAAGCGCATTTGTGTCTACAGGGTTATTACCTAGCTGTCCTTTTCGATGCTCTTCCTCGATGGCCTTGTTCTCATTGTAGTCGAATGTAGGAGCGGTTTTGGTGATATTTCCTGTCAACCCGAATAGGTCGGCGCTCTTATCACAACATGCAGCATGCAGAGTGACATCTACCTGCATGCATAAGATAACACTCAAGTATGTCTGCCCAACACAAATATATTACAATTGGGCATCCCGGATTTGTAACATCCGAGGATCCCCGTTATCGTGTAAGCTCATGGGTATTTCAACCCCCATGAGCACCCTCATTTCATGTTAATCAATCAATCATTCAATCACTCAATTCAATATCAATCTCCCCTTTTTGATTCCGTTGCCCTGATTGGCCCATTTCCAAGTACTCCGTAGCTGTCACATTGTTGATATTTCCCTCTTCATCTCTATCATTGACAATATCCATTTATCTGAAAACATAGTCGCGGAAGCTCTCATATTCCGGACCTAGAGCATACAAGAAAAAGAAGGTTCGTTCGATTTCAGACGTAACACAAGCGGGGTCAAGCAGGAGTTTTTCCGCATAGATCTTCCTAATCTCGGCCCCGAGGGCTTATACACTCCCACACTTTGCTCGGGTAAGAGACATATACCTTCGCTGAAGATTGACATATGTCCCTGAGCCCTCTGGTTTAGAGTTTTCTTTGACCGCCTTGATCAGGGGTTAGACTCGAGTCCTTTCGAAGGCGTTTATCCGCTGAGCCGCATTGTAGGTCAGCTTTGCCGCAATCATTAACGAATAGAATGTCTGGCGGTGGGACCAATACTGTGCCTGATCCTCTTCCATAGGTAGGATCGGTCCATCTTTAGCCACTAGAGATATACGAAGAAACTCCTTGACCTTTTAGTTCCACTGAGCCCAGTCGTTGGCATTATCGAGAATTGGTATAGCATTGTAGAACGAGTTCAAGCCTATTTGTTCGAATTTATTCGAATCCATCATGGTGAGGGGACTCTTCGGTACTAAAGAATTCAGCGCGCGAAGAGTCACTCGAGCGGATCGAAAGGGCAGAAGGCGTGTTGCTGAATAATTCGGGAGATCTTAGCTCGAGACCAAAAAGTTCCAGGCTGGACGCCTTGCTTAGTTGACTGGAATAAACGGATTAGGAACACTCTGACGACCTTAGACTAGGTGTATACGACGGAGGAACGTAATCGCTGTCTGGTAGCTCGTAGGGCTTGAGATAGTAGCTATACGATTCGAAGAAGTGAGGAAAGCGGATGCGATCAACCGTATATCGTGATTTTTGCTCTGCAAAGGTTATAGGTCGGTTTGGTCGGAAATTGACGGGTAGAGTTGTTATTGGTTGCGGTCAGCAGTGCAGCGCTATTTGGTGAGTTGAGATGACTCGGCCCCTGTTCCGGATTGGGGAGTGCGGGTTGAGCTTGACGTAGAGAGTTGTGCTCTGTAGTGTGGTGGCAATCAGCAATCACAGAGGCAACAGCGAGCGCCCGACGTGTTCGCTCTTCTGGAGGTAAATTTCTATACGCTCCTCCGACCGAGTGTCGGGAGAGTGATGGGAAATTCGTCTTCTGTATTTGCGTATAGCGCCAATAGCGGATGTTTCGAAGATAGCACACCAGGCTGAGCTCTTCGTCAATCCAGTTGTGCCCCTTCTGTGATCCGTGTTTTCTTCTTATAAGGTTGGACAAAAACTTTGTACTGTTTCAAGGATATTGGGGGTTTGAGAAGGAACATCTAGGGTAACGGTGTGCTAAAGAAAGCAGGTTATTGCCTGTGTATCTAGTGATGTGATGTGTGTGCGGCGGTGTAGCCGGGCGTTGTTTGTTGTGCAACATGACCGTAGGGTATCATTGGTCTGACAATCATCTGTGGCGGTGTGATGGCTGTCGCTCATTGCCTCACAGTGGTGTATCCTACGATTGGTCTGATGGATGTCGGTAGCGGTGTATGGTTGTTTGGGAGATTTGTGCGATGATTACGCACAGTTCATTTTCCTCGTGGAGATGAACGATGTGTTTCCTCTGCTGAAGTTTGAAGCAAGCTGTTCCAGTTTGGTCAATAGATGAAGCGATCACTTGACGGGAAAACTTAGTAGGAGGAATTTTCCAGTTTGATATGCGCAGTTTCGGGCTCATAACCTGTTGAGTTATAAGTGACGCTTCAATGATTGCATAGCATATGGGAGTTGATTGTGTTGTTCTTAGGTACAGAGTGGCTGATAGACAGCTAGACATATATACATGTACGTGCTCCTGTCCCCGTGACTATCTCAGTAACCGGAATATTCAACAGTTTTCGCGGGCGGGTTTGGGCGGTGGGCGGGTTTTGGCGAGGCCTATTATAGATCAATAGGGTCATGTGACCAAATCCACCTCGGGCGGTCAGGAAAAGCGGTCAACTTTATTATGGATTTTATGCATTGGCGAATGGCGTCTATACACCGCCGTAGGTCGTATGCAGAGCTAGTCCGATCAAGGGTAGCCAATAGCGATTGCGGTCCCCCTGTTTTCCATGCGTGGCATAATGAGCTTTGAGGTTATCGCGACGCGAAATGAAGGGTCACCTTGACCCCTTATATATAATGCTTCCAGGGCTTGGCTTTTATCAAAAGTAGCCCTTTCAAGTATGAGAAATAGTGTGCAAATGAGCGGGAAATTATAAGTCTGATTAAGTGCTTGTTGAGGGTTGTTCATTCCACATTCAACGCTTTGTCGGTGCGAAGGAGGGAAAGGCAACGTTTCGGCACCGTTTAATTTCCAGTATTTTGTAGTAAAAATTGACGTAAACAGGTTGGAAGCGCGACAAGCTCTCAATTCAGAGCGACCATATTCACAACATGATTAGGAACCTCATCGAAAGCGGCTGAATAGAAACGGTAAAACCCAACGGCGAGACAAGACATTGACACAGGATACACTAGTAAAATTCAGATATACAATTGCAGCATCATCTACCCATCCGTCTCCGTGCATCTCCGCTGTTGAGATGTGGGATAGAATCTAGGAGGAGCGAGAGCATATGCCAGCAAAATAGAGTAATCTTGAAGATATCTAACTAAGATAAAGCCTGAGTGGAAGCGTGCTTTACACGCTTCCCAACTGTCCACTTTGCCATATAAGGCTTAGTGCGTTTAGGGAGGATGACAAGATAGCCATCAAAGCCTCAGCGGCATTGAAGACTGCTGAAACTCAGTAATCCGCCCCGTCACCCCCTCTCGGCCTGAATGCGGCGATCAACGATGCGTTGAATAGTATGAAGATTATAGGGGACAGTGGTGAGCCTTGAGGAATCACGGTGGGCGTGGGAAAAATGCCAGAGAGGAAGCCAGGCAGTTTGATACGTGAGATTCTTCCTGTAAGGAAGGATCGAATCCACGACACGAACCAGCCTAGGCGCAGCCGTTTAATCTCGAAGAGTAATCGTTGGTGCAACACATTGTCGTACGTGTTGAATAGCAAAGGAAGCCTTGGTTATTCTTCTTGAGGGAATTCATGAGGCAATATATACAACATGAAGTCCAAGTTGATTTCCAATCAACGTGGTCTTCGTATTGATAGGGCAGGAATTATTTCCGATGTTGCGGCTTCATTCCTGAGCAGCAACAGCCTCACTTCACAACAGTCTGCCCTTGCTTGACCAAGAAGCAGCATCGTCACTTTCTAGTTAATCCCCCACGCGCGGTGCACGCGATCAAGGATAAGCTGCATAACGTGATCCACGGAGATCCCTTCCTGCGGCCAAGATGTGTCTTCGGCAGTATTCCATATTCTTCAACCGCTCAGGCTACAGGCTATCCGTGCAGCAACGATGGACTCAAGAATCTTACCGAGGGTGTTCAATAAGGCGACTGGTCAGTAGGATTCCGGCATGCGGAAGTCTCGGACCTCCCTTGCGTAGCGTGACAGTGATTGACGTCTGCAAATGGCGAGTATTGCAACCTGTTCGCTGCACGCGTGGAAGATTAAGGTGACGATGTCAACGAAGTCATCGTTAGCCACTAGTATATTCCACACGCGGTTCACCGTTCAGAAATGAATCAACGCCAGGGGGCTTGTCAGGGGGCGCTCGTTTGATCGCATCAAGGACTTCCAGCCGTGTAATTGGCAGGCATTCGATTTGATTCGGGGGTCAAGGAAGCCGCCGTTTCAATGTCCGAGAGATCGACCTCAGGTGGTAGCAGAAAGAAGACCTATCGAAGCAATTCCGCTTTCTCACGATCAGTTTCCGCTAGCTCACCATTCGGCTTCTTCAGCGATGGAATATTGCTGCTTCCCGTGGCCTGATCGCGAGTTCTGGCCCATTTTGACACTTTCCAGAGATCCTTGGGACCTCGGTCCACCGTGTCTTTGACCCACTGGTGAAAGCTTTTTCTCAGCGTCTTGGTAACCACTCTGCCTTTCTTGTTCCGCGTGGCCTTAGAGATCTGCCGGTCTTCCTTCTCCTGCGTGTGTTTATGTTCACTATACAAAAATGAGGAAGAACAGCGGCCGCACTAGGGCCTGCAGCTACGCACAGGACAGAGGAACAGAGAGAGAGAGGAAAGGCAATCTGGCATTCTTGGGGCAAAAACCTCTGGACAACAATCTATCTGGAAAGAAGCTCTCTCTTACGGCCAACCGGCCAGAAGAGAGAGAAATCTCTAGAAACAACAGAAACATTCTGATGCAACGGAATCCTACGGTCGGAAACCTGCGAGAAGCACAGGAAAACAGCAAACAAACATCTGCAAGCACCTGCACGCAAGAGAAAACACTCATCTGCAAGCAGGAATAAACGGCGGTGGAAAGAAGCATCTGCATCGGAGACATCTGCAAGAGATAGATACATCCGCAAGAGCGGGAATCCGCACATCTTCTGCAGAAACAAAACTCAGCCGCAAAGCGATCTCCATCAAAAAACATATAGACGGGTGCGTATTCGATGCGAGTAGACAGGTGCTGCATGGCGATCTCAACATAAGCAAATAATCCACCACCCACGATCCAGGTAAATCGCCATAATCCGCCTAACCTACTTGATCCTCACCACCTTGAAACGATTTGAGCATTCCTTTAGCAGCATGCTCACCAAGGGCATCGAGGGTGCCCATTCCCATCATTTCGAGCACGCTGATATCGAACTGGAAAGTCGCTTTCCACCACTGCCTCACATCAATGGCCACAAGGGAATCCATTCCCAGATCGGACAACGAGCACGAGGTCTGTAGGTCTTCTTCTGGCTTCAGCAAGAAGCTGAACACCTTCTTTCCAATTTCGACGGCGAGAAGATGAGCGGAGTCAGGCTGGCGCAGTAAAGCGGGGTCACTCTTGGCGGCGGTGATGAAGGCTTTCAGGCTGTCGGTGGATGCGGAGTCTGACATGGTGCTGGTCTCTCCACTATTGTGGAACACCGCCATGCGGACGTCCTTCTTCCAGAGAGAGCGGTGTCCCTGATTGCTTCGGAGCAAGCTGGAGCGGATCCCAAGGCAGAAGTTGCCTGAGCTAGTGGGTCGCGACTTGCTCGACGTCGGTGTTATGGCTGCTTCAATCGCCTCAAGAAGCTCGCGCTCCGAGATTGTACCAACGGAGCCACCAGCCTTGAGTTTTTGCCTAACCGACTCGTTCTCAGTGAGGTAGCCGACTTCCTCAACGGCACCGATCTCGACGGCGCAGGCCGGCAGTCCCAGACCCATGCGGTACTGGGAGAAGGCGTCCAGGAAAGCGTTGGCACCAGCATAGTTTGCTTGACCGGGTTGTCCAATGATGCCAGACATGGAACTGAAAAGAACGAAAAAGTCAAGACCCGCGTTGGCGGACACGGAAGCACAGTGGAGATTCCACGTTCCTTTGACCTTTGGATCAACAGCCGTGTTCCACTCCTCCAACGTCATCTGGGGGAAGCTCTGATCACAAAGTACCATGGACATCTGCAAGATACCCTTGAGCCGGCCTTGAGCCTGTGTGACAGCCTTGGTCACATCGGCAAGGTTGGAAACACTACCTTGAACAAAATTGGCGCGGCATCCCATACTGGAAAGCTCTTCGGCAAACTCCTGGTGTTTCTTATTTGCACCCGCGCTTCGCGAAAGGTAGATTAGGTGGCAGGCTCCGCGCTCCACCATCCACGTTGAAACAGAACGACCCAAGCCTCCAAGGCCACCGACCAGCAGGTATGCGCCCGAGCTATCGAAGCGGGTTGGGTTCTTTCGCTGCTGAATATTCCCTCCCATATTGACCTGTCCAGCAGCATTGCGCATTGACACGACGATCTTGCCCAGGTGGACGCCTTGCTGCATAAACCGGAAAGCGTCGATGATAACATCAGAGTTGAAGACCTTTATGGGTCGAATCGGATGGATATGGCGCTCCTTGAGTAAGTCGACAATGTTCTTGAGCAGCCTTCATGATATGTTAGTCATTGACCGCCATATATTCAGTAGTAACATCCGTCATACTTACCCCTTTGCAATGGTCGGCCTCATGGAGCAAATCTGATCCAAGTCAACGCAGCAGTAGTTACGGTTGGCTAAGAAGGGCTTCATGTCAAGCTTTCCAGAGCCTATCAAGTCCCGCTTGCCTATCTCAACCATTTTGCCGAATACTGCAATGCACTTCCATGTAGCGTGCAGCAACTCACCAGACAGTGAGTTCAAAGCCAAATCAACGCCTTTGCCGCCTGTCTCTCGCAAGATATTTTCCACAAAGGAGGTGTCACGAGAGTTGAAAATCTTGTTTCGAGGTAGTCCGAAAGTGTCCATGAGGTACTTGACCTTCTCCTCGTTACTGACAGTTACATATATCTCGGCACCGATCATCTGAGCAAGCTGGACGGTAGCAATGCCGACACCACCACAAGCACTGTGAATGAGAATAGACTAAAGAAGGTGTCAAAGGGTGCTTCCAAAGTGCAGGGAGTAAAGGGAAAACATACCTGTCCCTTCTGCAAATTTCCGATGTTAAAGATGGAGTATATCGATGTAGCAAAAACGCAGGGCATGGTGGCCGCGTCCTCGAAACTCAACCCACCTGGAATCTTCTCGCAAAGATTTTCCGAGACAATCACTCGCGTTGCAAATGTGCACTGTCCGATAAGCATAACGCGGTTGCCGGGCTGGAGGTCCTTGACGTTGGGACCGGTGCGACGGACAATGCCGGCAGCTTCGAGGCCGAACCCACTCTCCGAGGCTTCAACGATGCCCATGGCAGACAAAACATCCTAGGAGTTAGTGTCAGTAGTTTGTACTGTCTCTTCCAGTGGGACCTTGACCTACTCTGAAATTCAAGCCGGTAGCATATGTTTCGACTTCAACATCGTCACCATCAAGTGCTTTGATCTCCTCGCAAGCCCAGTGCAAAGCGTTCAGATGACCGGGTTTACTAGTGCGAAGAGCAACGGTGTCATCTGAATTAGATGTCAGGAGCCTCTCCTGCAGCGGGAAGGGATGAAAACGTCCAACGTGAACAGTATTGTTGACAATGGCGTATTCGAACTCGGGCTTGAGAATATCATCCTCCTGACGACGTTGGAACTTTGCAAACACGTCAATGATCTTCTCTACGGACGAACCAACGTCATCAACCTCGCAGGTAGCGAAATCAACTAGCATCTCAGAGCGAATGGTTCTGGCGATACCGTTAATCATGCCGAAACGTGGGTCCTGGCATCGGACCTGCGAGAGCGCAGTCACCCAGAGAATACCACATTCTTTCAAGCTTTCCACCAAAGACTTGAAAGAGTCAAAGCGCTGGTCATCCATGTTTTCAAAAAACGGACATTCATAGTCAAGCATAGCAATCACATCTTGACTGATTGGCAAGGGCATATCCTGTAGCCCGCAACAGTAAACGGCATATCCACGGCTCTCTAGGCCCTGAACTATAGGGCTCGCGCACTTCGACTCGGAGAGACTTAGGAGCGTGACGCATTTTTTGGGGACATTCTGAATCGCTGGTCTGGCCACAATCATCGCATACAGCTGATGTGGCTCCGGTGAATCACGAACTGCCGCATCGGGAATGCGGAACCCAGCAGCCTTCAACTCTTTCGCCCACCGTTCGATACTGACGTATGGCTCGTCCAACCGGCCGTCAGCATCACCGTACCACCAATCGGGTAGAGTTCCAAAGATGTAGTTGACCGATTTGGAAGTCGAACTCAGTTCTTGGAGCAAGAGCCAGCCGTTGGGGTCGAGCAGCTGCCGGATATTGCTTAAACTCTCATTCAGAGACCTGGTGGCGTGGATGACATTGGCCGCCAAGATGAGATCGTACTTACGGCCACTGAAACCCTGCTCGGAGGGATCCTTGCTGATATCAAGAGTAGCGTATTCAATATTTGGGTACGTGCTGAGGCGCTCCTTGGCAGCAACGAAGAAACCAGAAGAAATATCAGTGAAGGTATACTTCGAGTATAGGGTCTTGTCACTAGGCGTCAAGAATTTCAAAATTTTGGCGGTGGATCCACCTGTTCCGGCACCAATCTCGAGGACACGTAGATTTGGCTTGCTGTGAGTGAGGTGCTTGAAGAACTGCGACGTATCGCACTGATCCATGGACTCATAGAGGTTGGCCAATGTATCGTCTGAAAGGAGGAGATCCAGCGCCTCCACGTCACCAGTGAAGATCTTTTTAGCATTGTTAAAGATTTTCTGAATAGCTATGGCAGCATGGACGCCCAAAGTTTGTGACAGCTCGGAGCCAATGTGCTTCACTCGCTGCTCAATGGTCGCGTTGTCAAGAGTGTCCAGACTTTGGAAATCAACAGACTTGAGATGGCCATCAATCCACGATCGGTACTTGTGCATGTGATTAATTGGAGTATCCACATCTGCAATAACACGCCTTGTGTGAATCATGCATAGGTGAGACAACTCTGTTAAGAGGGGCATGTGGTCGCTGCGGTCAATCAGTGGTTTGATAAAAGTTTTGACATCCAGAAAATAGATATCGGGACCCCATTCTATGCGCGCAGTGGCGTCGCTGGATTTGCCGGAATCCTGGCCATCCAGGACGGAGAGTCTGATTCCAGAGCTGCGCAAGACAAGCTTGCCATCGTCGGCAACACACTGTCCACTACCGAATATGGAGCCGTTTGGGGTGTAAGATGCGGAGGCTCGGACTTGGACATCCTCATTGCAGCGGTATATGCACATTTCTTCAATACTGGTAGGGACCATCATCTTGGTTGCGGAATCTGCATAGCCCTTGGATGCCGCAACACAAAGGAGCTGCAATGAGGCATCAATAACCGTCGGGTGCAGATGATAGTCCTTGCCATCAGTCTCTTTTGCGACAAGTTCCGATGTCGCAATCTGTGTTGTAGTGTCGGACCGGATATTATCAAGACGTTGGAATGTGGACCCGAAGTTGAGACCAGACCTAGCCATGGACTCGTAGCAACGACGGGTATCAACCTTCCGTACTAGGGGAGAATGCTTCTCCGCTTGTCCAAATTTCTCGCTATGAGATCTTGCCTCGCCGGAGCAATGCTTGGTCCAAATCGTTCCGTTGTGGGACGCGATGGTAAATTCCCACCAGTCACTATCGAGGGAGTCCGTCAAGCGATGGTGACGCAGTGTAGTCATGATCTCGACTGGCTGGCCTTCATTCAAGACGAGGGCAGTGCTGACAACGATGTTACGAAGCTTGAACGCCTCATTGACTCCAGTGACCTGTCGCACAGCCTCGCCAATCATTCCAGCATAACCAGCAAAAGGGAAGACGATGTCGGTACCGACCCTATGGTCCTTAATCCATGGTGCGTTGTTCAAGTGGAAGAGATTTCGGAAAAGAACGTCAAACTCGAGACTCTCCGGGACTCGAACACCCAAAAGATCGTGGTACTTGTGCTCACGTTGTCGCCACTCCTTGCTCAGCCTAGACTCGTACCAGAACTTCGTCGAGTGGTCCCATGGGTATCTGGGCAGGTCTGGCAGGATCGAGCCCTTGGGAGTGACCTTACCCAGGTTGAGCGTGGCGTTGAGAACGTATAGTTGACCAATCGCTGCCAAGAATGATGCCTCGTCGTTCTGGTTGCGGATAAGCGCAGAGACATAAGGAGAAGAGTTAGAAAGCTTGGTCTGGATTTGCCGTAGAGGACCCGCAAGAGCTGAATGAGGGCCCACTTCGAGGAAAACCATATTCTTCGCAATATCGTGCTGGAGGATGGATGAGACGGCCGAGCGGAAGAGAACCGGGGACTCTAGGTTCTTTTGCCAGTATTTAGAGTCGAGTATCGAGTCTTTGCTGAGCAGCTTGCCCTCGACACTGCTGAAGAACAACTTGGTTGGGGTCTTGGCAGACACTTCATGTTCGATTAAGGCATGGTACTTGTCGCCTATCTCAGCCATGTGGTGAGAATGGTACGCCTTGTCGACCTGCAGCTGTCTTGCTATAACATCAGGGCGGTCCTCTTTGATCTGGTCAACGACAAGTTCAACCGCCTCGGTATCACCGGCGAGAGTGACGCTCTTAGGCGAGTTATCGCAAGCAACAATTACTCCAGGTTGCAGATATCCCTGAACATCGTCGGATCCCATGCCGATAGCCGCCATGACTCCAGACTTGGTTTGCAGCTTGGCGACCTGGCCACGGTAAAACGCAATCGTGATCGCCTCATTGGCCGTGATAGCGCCTGCAGCATACGCAGCAGCCACTTCGCCGCTGGAGTGTCCCACAACAGCAGTAGGCCGAATTCCAACTGAAGCGAAAGTGTCGACCAGAGCAACTTGAATTGCCGTGCATAGAGGCTGAGAGAGCTCAGCCGAGCTGAGTCTACTAGTCTTGATCGTCTTTAGTAGCTCGTCTTCAATATTCCATATCGGAACGTGCGTGAGCGTCCGCAGATGTGCGTCGAGAGATTGGATGGTCTTCTTGAACACGGGAAAGGCACAGCTGTGGATCATACACTGACCCATTTGTGGCCATTGAGCGCCCTGACCAGTGAATACCATAACTATGTTCGGTGCCGGACCAGATTTCATGGGCGCCGAAGTCGGGGCAGGATGAAATAGTCCTTGCACGGCGAATGCCCGATAAGGCAAGTGTTCTCTTCCGTTGGCCAAGGTGAACGCTAGGTCACTAACTCTGTCTGGGTTCTTCTCAATATAGGTGTTATATTGAGTGATCATTCTTGTAAGTGACTTGTGGTTGTTGGCTGAGTAGACAAGCAGTTGCGGCGATACGGTAGGTCGCTTGGGAACGGGAGAGATGCCGAAGCTTTGAGCAGAATCGAGGATAACGTGCGCGTTGGTACCTCCAATACCAAAGGAATTCACACTAATACGCTCCCTCCGAGACTCAGGCCAAGTCATTGGCTCTGTGGGAACAGAGAGCCCGCAGCTATCCCACGGGATTTCGGGGTTTGGCTTGTTGAATTTGATGTTTGGAGGAATGACACGATTTTCCAGGGCTAGTACTGACTTGATCAGCGAGGTGAGGCCCGAAGCTCCTTCAGAATGACCAAGATTAGGCTTGACGGATCCTATTTGGACGCCACCAGAGGGGCCGAAAACACGGCCGACTGCCCTTGCTTCAATGGGATCTCCGACCGATGTTCCTGTCCCATGACACTCGACGAAGGCGGTCTCAGAGTAGTCCGTAATACCCGCCAGCATGTAAGCGCGCCTGATCATTGCCTCTTGAGCAATGTCATTAGGAACTTGGATACCACTCGCAGTACCCTTTCCGTCGCTGTTTGAGGCCGTTGCTCTGATGACGGCCCGGACTGGGTTACCATCGCGGATGGCGTCGGCCAAGGGTTTGATAAAAATAGCGGAAATTGCCTCTCCTCGAGCATAGCCATTGGCATCAGCAGAGAAGCTCTTACAAGAGCCATCAGGCGCAAGAACGCCTTGTTCCGTCATGGCAGTGGTCATGCCTGGCCCCATTATCAAGTTGGCGCCGCCGACAATTGCACCCTCACAGTCACCCCTAGAGACTGCCAGACATGCTTCATGGAGTGCGACAAGGGCTGCAGAGCAGCCAGTACGGACAGTCATGCTTTTTGTTTCATATCAGCAGATGGCACGGCTTAGAGAGAAAAGAGAGAGAGAGAGAGAGAGAAAAAAAAAAACTATTGACTAACCTCGGCCCCGTCAGGTCCATCTCATATGAGACGCGGTTGGGCAGCATGAAGTCTCCAGATCCGCTCACACGGTACAAGCCATACTGCTGGTTCTCTTTGGCAAACATCTCAGCCCAGTCTTCGCCAAAACTGCCCATGTAACAGCCGATCTGTCGTCCTTTCCAGTCTGTTTCGCCAGCGTCTTCCATGCACTCCCTAGCTACTTCCAGCATTTGCCGTTGATGCGGGTCCATTCGCTCAACTTCTGATCTCCCCATAGTGAAGAACGACGTGTCCACGGTAGCGAGATCGATGCTTTCATCAAGAAAGTATCCATACTCAGTATTGACGCTGCCGGGTTTCGACGCCTCAGAGTAGTATGCGGAAGCATTATATCTGGATTTTGGGACTGGGCCACGGGCATCGCCCTTGGCAACCAAGAAGTCCCATAATTGCTGTGGTGAGTGCAGGCCTCCAGGGAGACGTACTGACATGCCACATATGGCGATAGGTTCCGGAGAAGCAACTATCGGCACATGAGTTCGATTGACCGGAGCTTCTTTGCCATGTCTCCCGGGATGCGAACCATTCAACAATGTGCAATTTGCGTGGTCATGGCCATTCGGGTATCCATTTGTGCCCTTATGGATGTCAGAATAGTTCACATTCGAGACATATTCGATTGAGCCTTTGGCATCCGTGGTCGACAGGGCCATTGTATTGGTTCTGCAGCGTGGACGTATATCGGAAATCAGAAGGTTTTCGCGTATAGTGTACAATTAGGACAGGAGGTCACAAACAACGGGTTATGAACTACAGAGCCTTTTCGAGCTGTGACACAAGCATTCCCACAAATTTCTAGAGATCTCAATCGCTACATTCCCTACGACAGAATTATGAGTCCCATTTTTGGTCTGGTCGTGGCCCTTGTAGGGCTGGATAACAGACATCCGGCTGACAAGGCCAGTAAGGAAAACCCGTTGCCGTTCAAGTGGCCATATTCTTTGCTTTCTTCCTTTTTTGTGCTTTTTGCTTTGGTCGATTTGAGCATAGCTGTTCCCACTAGTATTGGGGATGCCATAGTGGAACCAAATGGATTGAACTTGATGGTATTTCTGAAAGAGAACTAGAGCGCCGTTGAAGGCGTCTTCAGTGGTTTCGGTGTGTTACAACGCTGGTATGTACACATACCATACCCAATAGTGCGAAAATGCGACCTTGTGGAACCTCATGTTTCTGGTGGTAAAACACCGTCTCTCAGTTCGGAATTTCTAACCCACTAGCTGTGCGACCTCGAAGCCCTTCGCAAAGGTCGCATTGCTTGTTTGAATTCCATCACGATTGCAGAAATCGGAGACTTGCCCTCAGCAGCTAGGGATCGGCGGATCAGCGTGGAAGGTGCAAGGAAGAGGAAATGTCTGCCTTTCTGTGTAACTCTTTGGATAATGAAGCGATAATATTATGCATGCAGCTATGTCATGATCTCGTTCAAGACAGGGGTGAAGAATGGGTATCCAGGTCCCCATATAGAACCCGCGTTGTGGAGAAGGCCTAGTAAATGGACTGGAAAACAAGACGACACCGCTTATGTAAACCACTACACAAACCTATGAGCAAAGAGAGCGAGAGTGCATACGTAACATTAATTGCAATATTGAGATGCATCTGCATGAGGATGACCCTAATCTCCTGAGTGTGATACAGTCTCAGTTTACTGGAACGAAGCAACCAAAAGCGTCGAAATGGAATATCTCTCAGACAATGACCAAAGGCGCAAGTACTGCCTTCCACGAACTATGTTGTTACATACCGATGGCTATCCATAGACCTATTAGGCACGTATCAGGAGCGTGAATATTGGCGCCCCTTACAGAATCAAGATCATGGTGTCACAAGATAGGTACAAAAAAGCATTTGCTACAATCGAGGAATTAAGCAAGAAGCAGAAGATGATGTAAGGAATGTATCCAAGTCCCGACCAGTATTATAGGTTATAAGGATATTACCAGGGCACACCATCTCCTCCTCTGTTGGAGGGGCTCTGCCTGCATAAGTACCCATCACATGCCCTGTCCACCGGGGCTCAAATAAGTACTGATAGAACAATTTTATAAGAACGATAGACAGTTAGTTATCCCCGCTAGGTGGCAGAAGAACAGCATTGTTCATTTCTTTACCGACCCGACATCACTTATGACCGCAAACGATTCCACCTTGCCCATTGCATGGGGCGGTGCATTACATGGGCTTCGTCTGTATTTTGGAATTGCAGGGTAAAAAAAGCCCCAAATTTTGGTCAATCAACGATTCATGCTTGTTAATTCACAATCTTTCTCAGTCTCGGTTTGGCTCTCTTTCTAACTGGCGTTGAGGCAACCATCGTGAGCACGTCACTGGTGACCATCACCAATGACCTTCAAAATTCCGGTCAAAGCAGTTGGGTTATAACCTCCTATCTGCTTACCTATACAGGTTCTCTTATTTATTCTCGGTGGTTCTCAATGCAGCGCATTTCCGGCTAACCTGTATCGCTGTAGGATTTCTCATCATTTGGTCCAATTGCAGTAAGATCTTTGGGGTTAAAGCAACCTTACTCACTTCCTTGCTTCTCTTCGTGGCATTTTCCGGTGGCTGTGCTGGTGCGGAAAGCCTCAACCAACTGTGCGTTAACTAATTTCTCTTCTCCTCACTCAAGCAGGACTAACTCCTATAAACTGTAGGATCATCTGTCGCGCATTCCAAGGCCTTGGTGGCGCTGGTGTCTACACCTTGACGCTCTTCTCCTTCGTTCGAATTGTGCCTTACAATCAATATGACAAGGCTAGCTCTCTCGGCGGTGGAATTCTATCGCTCGGCCTTGTCCTCGGCCCTTTACTTGGAGGTGCTATTGCCAGTACTGGACGCTGGAGCTGGGTTTTCCTGTATAAGTATGGACACTTTGCCTTCCATTTGCTCAGTCTAACGGTGATGATAGTGTTCCGGCGGGTGCTTTTGCTTGGCTTCTGATTTTATACGCCATTCCGGCCCATTTCCCCCGTTCATCCCCGGTCCCAACCAACGAGTCAACATCAAAACAAATTTGGTTAAACATAATGTCTTCTTTCCGCGGGGTAGACATTCTCGGGGCATTTCTCATTTTGACTGCATGTTCATTCACCATTGCTGCTCTCCAGGAGGGAAATTTTGCGTACCCTTGGACCTCAGGCCTGGTACTCAGTTTCTTGGTGATCTCAGGTGTCTCCTGGGTTGCCTTTCTCTGGTGGGAGTGGTTCGTTTGTCGGCGTGGTCTGAAAATCAGCCAACTTTTTCCCTGGCGGCTGACACGTAACCGTGTTTTCATGGGTATTGCTCTGTGTGTATTCCTTCTCAGAAGAACCGTAAAGTCCTCTAACCCAGCTAATGCATCGACATTCCAGAGGATTCTTCACAACCGGTCTGGCCTTGACCGTCTGTGTGATCAACATTCCACAGCGATGTCAAATTGTCTATGGAAGCTCACCGATCGGCGCAGGGGTTAAATTGCTGTCATTTTCGCTAAGCTGTCCACTTGGTGTCATAACCTGCTCTGTGTTGGCAGGGCGGCTTAAACTTCCATTCTGTTACATTGCGCTAGTCGGTACAGCCTTCCAGGCTACTGGTCTTTTCCTCTTTTCAGAAATCGCTTCCAAAACAGAGCTTTGGCCGGGGCAATTCGGCTACCTGGTGTTGGCTGGGCTAGGGGTAGGTCTGGCGATGTCCGCATTCTACATGGCGGCACCACTTGTGGTAGATGAAGAGGATCAATCCACCGCTCTGGGAATTGGAATCCAACTGCGAATGCTGGGTGGTGTTCTGGGAGTCGCAGCTTCGACCACCATTCTCTACCATTTTCTTGAGAGCCGGCTGTCTTCCAACCTGCGACCTTGGGAACTGCGTGCTCTCTTGAAAACGACCGAGGCACTCGCAGGTTTCCCCCCAGAAATTCAACTTCGTGTGCGTGTGGTTTACGCAATCGCCTACAACATGCAGGTAAAGTTGTCGGCTGCATTTTCAGTGGGTCAGTTATTGGCCGTGGCGATGATTTGGAAGAGACAAAATGTGCGATATCTCAAGGGCTCACTGTCGAACTGAGGAGGTGGTATTTTACCACTAGGACAGGATGCTTCAGGGTCCACCACGGAAGCCGATAGCGGCCACCCTTCGAAAGTAGGATTTTGAATAGAATTCCGGCGGGAAAAAAGTCCATCAAGGCAAATTTCTGCCTTTTAGCCTGAAGAATTAGGCCAATCAGAGGCCACGATTCAATTAGCAGATTCAAGGGAATTTGTTGTGATCCCAGGCATTTGCTGCTCAGGAATGAGGCCGCAACATCGGAAATAATTCCTGCTCTATGTATAGGAAGAGCCAAGTTCATTGGGAATCAACTTGGACTTCATGTTGCATATATAGCCTCATGTATTCCCCCAAGAAGAACAATCAAGCTTCCTTTTGAACTACAACAATGGTTTCCACGTCTCCTTTTCCTGCGGCCTCCTGAGCCCCATTTTGAAACGAAAAACTGCTTCAAGGCACAGACAGTTAGGATAAGCTGTCTATTCAGAGCGATGCTAATTTGAGCTTCACTTTCCTACCCAGCCCATCTCTAAAGCACGTTAGAATATCAACGTACGGGAAAGAGCCAGAGCAATGACGTCATTCAGCGTTATCGGCGGTGATTAGTGGGGCCCAGTGGAGATTCGGGACTGCTAAACTAAAATGGACTAATGTGCCCTCAAGAATGGACTTAATATTGCACAACGCTACAGCGAGGTCTACTTTGTCAGCCCGTCCTACAGAGACTGCTCTGGTGGAGAGCACATCGCTGTAGCACAAGCCCACTCGAACACTACTAGTTCGGCATACAACTGGTTCGGCGAAGCTGAGCGTTGAAGTCGGAAGATGAGGCACAGGATCCGTTATAGCTAAGATACCGGCCTGTGGCTTAATTAAGTATTAGTGAACGATAACCAACGGTGGAACGAGATAACTTAGTCAATCGATTGGGGAAATTTCTAGGCCTATGATTGACGCTAGTTAACTCAAAATCCTTCAGGTCGAGGGATCGCCGGAAAGATGAGGAGAGGGGTTGATCTACCAGATGAAATATACCTCCGTTCAGAAAACTATGTACCTGTGCTGAAATTTCTCCAATGCCAAAAAGTACGTTCTAAATAATGGGTAAGCAGGAGGTAATTCGTGTACATTTACTTGGTGCTTTAGTTGATGCTGAATAAAGGATCGTTTCACGAGGATCGCTCGACGAAGAAAATGGACAAAAATATTAAAATATGAGGCATGCAAAGCAGTGGGTATAATCCATGGGACACCTAACACCAGCTTTGATTGAGGATAAGGAATGTTGTTTTAGGTGCGAGTGGATTGTCTACTGGGCCTCAATTTTTTCTCGGCGGGGATACTCCATTCTACAGTATCCGTCCAATTTTCCATTAACCTGTTCAAAACTGAGGATGCAGTCAAAGACTACTATGATCAAGAATGTTTCGCATCTATAAATACCGCGCCAGAGATCTACATCAACCCTTCTGGCCATAGGTTCTGTGAGAGATCGCACTTCAGTTTGCCTCGTGCACAGCTCCTAATCCTTAAAGGGGACCTAACCACCCAGGTAGGTCAGGTAAGTTATTTTATTTTTCCACGAAGTCCCTCGGAATGATTGCATGATGTCTAACCGCAAAGACTAGAGCATATCGAAGCGTGTGGCGCCGGGCGGACAGGGGCAGAGGTAAGCGTATTCTCTCTATTTCAAAAGAACTTCGCTAATTATTGGCTTTATTGTGTGCCTTCCTCACAGCGAAATGACACAGCATAATTATCCTTCGAAGTAAAGGGCTGCTATAGAAGCCTCCGGGTATACATATATTACCCAGATCGGGCGAACGTACATGCATAGCGATATTGTCACCTCATGGCTACCCGTGCGAACAGACACAGCATAACACCATAGAGCATGCGACGTCTCGAGTCACATAGAAAAGTGAAGGTAGAAAAAACAGAATGTACCATCGAGGATGCACAACTTCGGATAGATTTTTGATTGGCAACCTTCATAGTGAAATTTCTCCGAAAAGACAACGTGTTCTCCTATTAAGTGTACTGTACTGTGATTTGATGTACAACCGGCTGACATGAAGGATTCACCATTTCGCACTATCTTTTTGAATCCGCGAGAGGACAACGATCTCCACTAGGGCGCGGCGATGCGACGGGTGATTGCCGTTGGCAGCCACTTCACCGCTCGGCAGTTGCGCCGCACCACATCAACAAACGGACCCACTGGGGCACTCAGCTGAGCGGGACCCAAAAAAAGTTCACCGGGACCCAAAAAGTTCTGACTAATTTTGGGTCCCGCTGAGGTGCCGGATCTCACCGGGACCCAAATCTCTAGATTATATAATATTTTTTAAAGTACATTTTCTTCCGAAGACTTTTATTTACCCCTTTTCAAGGTCGTTACAAGTATCAACTCCACAAAATGTCGGCGTCTTTACTCTCACCATTGCTATTTGAGGATTCCGATTCTAATCCTACGCAATCCACTACTAGTGCTGCATCAGAGATTAATCGAATTCTTTACAATCTTCCATCTGTGAGTGATCTATTAAACATATACTTGACTTATGCTAAACTTATTTTTAATACTAGCGAGAAAGATCAAATTCTGAGACTTCGGTTTACCAGGATTGTATCAACATATACGAATCGGCTGATATTGATTCTGATGAGAATAATGAGGAAAATATTAGCTCCTTAGGTTCTCAAGCTTTCACGCAATTATGCCAAACAGGTATAGAAATCGACGGAGTCAAAGTAAGCGGTAGCTCTAGAGATACTGTGATCGCCAACGAAATTCAGGAGCACCTTATTCTTCCAGAGTATCCTGATACAGATAAAGATGGTGTTTTGCATATTATCCACGCCTCAAAAAATCCATTACAAAATTTAGAAGACACTACCGCTCACGTCAACCAAATTACTTCACAACTTATATCATCGGTATGTTTAGTATATTTCCAGCATATGTCTAACATATCTTTCGTTAACTAATTATCCTAGGTTCAATTTTCGACTAAGCACCTCAAATCGGCCAAGCAAATCTTCACGAAACTCCTCCAGAAAGACACTAAAGACAAAGAATCAAGATCATAGCATCGATCCTTTCAATATACAGGGATTCAACATTGCTACCAAGCTCATCCTGATATTACTACCCCGTCTGAAAGCTATAACCGTGTGAAACCAACGCTTTTCCGTGAACTTTAGTCTCTTGCTGCAAAGCCTGTGTATCACACTATTGCGCAGGAGATCCAGGAGCGAACTAGAGAGTAAGATTTATCCCTCCCTAGTTTTAACCTATATTAAGCTTATGCTGAACATAGGTTTTACTTCGGATTTCTTGCAACATGGGATACAGAAGGACCATGTATTTATGGACCTGGTGAGCGGACATGTCGAGGTCAAAAGCCAATAGTGTGGCTTCGAGACGGAGTAAGTCTATATTATTATCATATACTAAACATATGTTAACTGTGAGTAGTTCACCTTTATTGGGTGTCCGAACGCGCAGGTCGGATCCCAGCGTTGGCACTACTGTCAGCACGTGTCAAGAAGTGCTTCAAGGATAGACCCCGCGTTTCTAAAGCTTCTTTGCGATAAGGATGGCTTACGAGACATTGGATATGGAACTAAAGATTGTTACTTTGTGGAGCATCGTTCAGCTAGACGTCGCCACTGTGGTATATTTTACTCTGGAAATGCTATAGATATGCTAAACATATGCTAACCCTATTCTAGACTCAATTCATGCAGATGGGGTCGGTCAACTAATTCATAGTGCTTGTTCTGTGAAAATTGACCTTTATATCCCCTGCGTGTGGGATCGTTTTCCTTTTCTCCTTCTCGTTTGTCGAGGATCTCATTCACATGCGCCGCCATCGCCTACAAAGCTACCACATGATATTGGCCAAGAAATTATTGACGCAATTAATACGCAGGATATCCTAGGATTAACTGCAAGAAAATTGATGGTCTCGCCTACTTTTGCGAAGATTATACGTCAACATGGTGATTCTGCGCTTCGATATATCCACAAGAGCTTACACATTGAGGATCGGGTAACTGCTTTAATTCATAAGCAGAGACTACTATATTACCCAGAAGGGACGAACCTTGCTGGGGTATGGCGTGAATACCAATTTGATCTCACTAAACACGTGGATGATCAATGGATTCGTGAAGTCTATTTCTTTGACGAGAATCGGGAGCATTATCTGATCATATGCTGCACATACGAACAAGCTAAGCTTTTCCAAAGTGTACGACATTTAGAAATGGATCTTGCCTTCAAAATGGTCCAAGGCACAACTAAGGTTTTCACGTTCGGTGATCTCACGCTCCTCCTTGGAAAGAATGTCCGTCTCCTCCAGGAGCTCAAAAGCACTGACGGACGCAGTGGGAGAGACTTTGTCGGCCACGTGCCCGGGGATCCTCCATTTGGACGGAATCGATGCTTCGCGCTGGGCTCTCTTTTCGTCGATGAGAGCCTGCCAGTCCTGGGAGACCATGGTGTATGTAGAGTGGGTGGATGATGAATGGAAATCGTATAAAAAAGTTGTCGTTCTAGGCTTTTCTTGATAGGAAGGTGAAGTATCAGAGTGCATTTATACTTCGTTTCCCCACAGGTTACAGGTGAGGTAGCCTTTCCCCAGGTTTGACCCAGGTATGTTTGCACTAGCTAAGCGTTTACCTCGGCTCGCAAGGTATGATATAATCGGTCTAGCCTCGGTCTGATTCGATCCAGTGGTCGGATCAGAAGGGACCCTCCGATCCGAACGCAGCCAACCTGTTTGCGGTAAGTATTTGGGCCACCCGACGTGGACCATGGACCCGGAGCGCGGACACGCATTGCTCCGTGGTCATTCTGAACCAGTCTGTCAGTTCTCCAATCTTTTTCCCCTTCCCCAAAGATAAGGGACCTTGGCGCTGCCCAGACCAATTGAAATGAGGGGAAACAGTGGGGGCAATTGCCGCGGACTCGGAGGGGGCGCTTCAAGTCCATTTGATAAGCCGACTCCGCGTCTCCACGTCTCCACGCGAGCCCTTGGCAGACGGAGGAAACTATCACACCAAATGTATAGATGGATTATTTGTACGTGAGGTAGGCGGAACTCGGGGTATACTCGTATCCGTGGCCGAGGGAGACTTAGAAACTAACACTATGCTTAATATAGCAGGACAAGATCGATGTCGAATTTTCATGTAAACTACCTTCACTCCATATCTTCAATCTATCATGTCGAATCGAGATCGATAACGTCCCATACTGCTCCTTCTGCCGGAAACCTCATCACGTGGACTCCCGAGCTCGGCGTCCAAGTGCCGTAACCTGGACTACGCTTGTATTCATTTACCCAGAAAGGTCCACGTAAAGATTTGTATTGACTAGAGTGATGAAAGGAAAAAAAGAACGGAGAGGTCGAGTAAATCTAACTAGCCACAGCGGTCATGACTCAACACTGATCTCGAGTAATGATCTCGAGTAACAATCCTTTGCATCTGCTCGACACTCACCGACCACAGCTGTTCGTCTCAATTGGACCAGCTGACGAAGCCGTCAACCTTGACAGAACCACCCAAAGCCTTTGTAGCAAAGTTGAAGATACCATATCTGTATCCCATGAAGTAGTAATAGGTATTATCGAGATTGAACGCGCCACCGAGTTGAGAAAAGTTGTTCCCATCCGTGCTGTAATAGAATGTCGCTTGGTTGGAACCGACCGTACGTGAATCGAATCGAATCTGGAGGTAGACTGTGCGCGCAGAAATGGGCGCAGTTCCAACAACAGTTCCTGTGCTGGTTGTTGCATAGCTGTTACCAGCATTCTGGGTGAGCCCTTGAACGGCAGTCACAGTATAGCTATTGCCATTGCGAACAACTCCAATCCATGCGCTGCTGTCCCTGAAAAGAGCAAGACCACACTGATCGCCGTCTGCCATGTTGGTGAAGTCAAGTTGAAGTGTTCCGACCGGGAACGCTTGATTCGGTCGGCGAGTCAAAGTATTTCTCGCGTGGTACAGGTCATTGGTCACAGTGGCTGTTTGGAGGATGAGTCCAGGTTCGGCAAGTGAGAATTTGGTCGTGTCAGGAGCGTGATTCCACTCCCACACCGGATCAATGCCCCAGAATTGGTCTCCGCCAATCCATGATGTCACACTGCTCTCCGGAAGAGGCAACGGATAAGATTCACCCCAAGTACCGTTCACCGTTTGAAGCACAGGGAAGCCATCTGAACCCCAGGTCACGGGGGCGAGAATGGGTAGTCGCCCAAGAGGATAGGCCCAAGCAAAAGACATGAAGTACCAATTCCCATTAGGAGCCTCGATAAGACTGCCCTGTTGCGCTGTGCCAGTTCCAGGAACTGGAGATGCAGTTTGGTTGCTGAGTATCTTGTGTGTGTATGGGCCCCAGGGGCTGGAGGACTTCCAGATCACGGTAATTCCTTCCCCAGGGCAATCATCAAGAATGTAGTACAATCCATTAATCTTATACATACGATTGCCTTCGATCCCTGTGCACGGAGATGGATAGCTGAATACCACTTGCGTCTTGGCCACACTCAACCCGTCCGCAGCAAGTTGAGCAACAGAGACGTTGTTGCTTCCATAGGCCACATACATAGTATCGTCATCATCAATCAAGAGACCACAATCGTAAAAGCAGGGCTGGAAGCTTGATGACTGGCTCCAAGGTCCAGTGATATCTGGGGCCGTGTAGACATGAGTTGTCCAAAAGTCAATGCAGCCAATCCAATACCACTCTCCGTTGCTCTTGCGATGGCGTAAAGTGGAAGCCCAGGTCCCACGATTATAGGCGGTTTTACCGTTTTGCATGCTATAATCGGATCCAAAGTCGGAGATGCTCGGCACGGAATGACCGATCACCTGCCAATTGACAAGGTCGGTAGACTCGAGGATTGGAGCACCGGGGGAGTAATGAAAGTTGGAGCTTGACCAATAGAAGGTCTTTCCATCAGGGCCGAGGAAGATATCATTGTCAGGAAAATCTTCATAAATGATCGGATTGTTGAAGGTTTGAGCTTGGGCGAGCAGGCCAAGCCCCAGAAGGGCACAAGCCTTGCGGAACAACATGATATTGGAAGCTAGTCGACAAGTCAGGTTTGCAGAAAGGTTCTTGAGAGACTCAATACACAAGGGGAAGAACTGGTTTTAAAGGTCCGCCGTCTCAGCTATAGCTCGCTCCATTTGTCCGTAAAGCTACAATTAGCCAAAATTCGATGATGTTTATGCTTTATCTGGGGAATTCAGAATGCAATCCTTCAGAATTCAATCATCCCGCCTTAAGTTGTCCCACCCGGACTTTCGCTGAATTGGTCCTGGTGTGGGGTAATGCATGAGAGACCAGAGACCATCTCTTTGACTTTATCTATTCTTCGGGAAAATTTCGGGCCTATTTATCCAAGCACTGCCGGTCCATGTTCAACACACTACTCACTCTGTCGCTTTTCCAGCCACCCGGATTAGGGTTTTGAGGGACGATATTTTATGAGATTCAGATTCCCGGTCAAATTGATTTACGTGCAGGGTTAGGGTGGTCGGCGCCACAGGTGGCTTGACATTCCCTGCAGAGCGACTTTTGCTGAAGTTATTCACCCACTTTGTATTCTGTACCATTAAGATCTGAGTCATCTATAGATTGAGCGATCATTTTTCCCCCGCTTCCGATTTCTGCATCATTGAATATTTCCAATAGAGAGACTTGCATAATTCCATGACACACGCACCTGAATCGACGCGACTATAATTCTGTGATTATTGTCTTTGTCGGTTACCCGCGGAATATTGTGCATGATTGACTTTCAGTGAACAATCCGGGGCGATTTAAGCACGTGGATTTGAGCATGTGGATAAATAAGGCCCCTGGCTCCGCCGCATTGTCTCGTGATACGGAGACTAACCCGAATCCATGGATCACGGTATAAAATTAAACCCAATAGGGCCCCTCCTGCGCTTGGGTATGCGCCCGGCATCTCGCAGGCCCCGCAAGGTACGTAACCACAGATAACCCCCTTGATCGCTGAAGACACAGTGGAATAGTGATCAATCACGGCTCCCCTTAGTTTTAAAATGACACTTTTCCTCGCATCTCGGCGAGACCCAATTTCAGCAGCTGACACCTAAACAGAACACCAAGCTTCTCCAACAGCAGCCAGTTTTGGCTCCAGCAACCCCTTCCGTAACCGCGCGCTCTCCCCCTCAGTGGCGACATAGATCTTTCTCTTCCAATAATCGCCCGGAACGCCCTCGTTCGAAAACCCCTTTCTTGGACGATAGCGAAGCCTTATCTCCCCAGTCCGCCCCTGGAATGTCGTCCGGTGCCATAGTCTCTCCGACCGAGAAGACCGAGATCTAGAGCAACACTCGTGAGCTCTTTGTACGTTTGTGCAGATCGGCAGAGAAATGAATAGATTACTCGCCACAAGAAGCAACAACTTGCCTCACCGCTCACGTGCAAACGATGCAATAGAAATTGGGGTCAACTCGAGTTGATTTCACCGGCAACCCTCTTTTTCAGACGAGGGTGAAGAAACTTCAGCTGGAAAGCGGAGCATGTTTCGACCGATCTCGATCGATTTCGGTTCTCACCGCGGTTGAAATATCTCTGACTAAATAGATGATGTCCTAACGTAATTCACCATCGAGCTGCGCACCCTAATACGCATATTAAATGCAAAAAATTACTACTTCATATCTCAACAACCATAAATTATTTTCACTTAAAATCTAGGAACTAGGCTTTTCTTTGCATGTGAAATAATATGTATATTTTTTAAGCAGTTTAGATGAATATTTCGATGCTCTACCAGCGTAATTTTGATATGGGGGGCATAAATATATATATCTTTACTAATACTTCCAGTAACCTTCTGATACTCCACTAATTGGCTAGAAATACCATCTATAATATATAATACAGATATTATATCACAGATAGATATGGTTGTTGAGATATGAAGTAGTAATTTACTGCATTTAATATGTGTATTGGGTTGCGTAGCTCGGGCGTGCGTAGCTCGGTGGTGAATTACGTTAGTTAACTACGGAGTACACCTCCGAAACTTGAGGCGGATTGGGCAGTGGGGAGCGTAATTAAAGTCCGTTCCTGCAATCTTGACTGGCTGGTCGATGTCTCACAAGCCTCAGTATGGCTCCTGTAGGGCTCCTGTGGGGGGATTTTACCCATCTGTCTATGTGCATTCCACTTACATTGACCGCTGCGTATAATTTGCTATATTCGGGCGTAAGGAACCTCGCATGAACTATCTGTCAGATCTCGACATTTCCCATGGGACCCGCTATAGGAAAAGATTTTCCATATGGAGATGATCATCCCAGGGAACATTTTGGTCAGCAGAAATCTAGAAACTCGTGACTTGCATAAGTTATGTAGATTTCCCCTGTATTTTTAAGTATTACATTTACTTGTTTCTCTTCTAATTATGTTCAACTCGTTTCTCTTCATCTTAGTTATAATATGTATAATAGGGGTCATTGACTTTATAGCGCTTTCGTGCATCTTAGTTATCCTGTCCGCCTCCCGATTCGAAGTACGATAGCGCTACGTACGCGTTTACTAATTTTTAATTCAGCCCGCCGTTGAGTACCACTATCTGGAAAGGGATCAATCAATCAATCAATCAATCAAATTTCAATTAACCTGTTGCGGTCTAACTAGTTGCGTATAACTTAACTGTGTACACAGTACCTAGCCGGTGATACCAACAGACTTGATTGATGAACACGGCTATAACCTTCTTTTAGACCCTGGGATAACACAGTCCCTCAGATTTCAGATTCCCTAGCTCCGTACAAAATTGTCATAATCGATCTGCTGGGCGACGGGAGTATATCTCCATCTACTGACATACCCTTCCATGGACTGGTTCCCACCATTGGTGGTCGCGTAAACACCAAGTAGAGTACCAGTGAAAACATCAGGGCCGCTGATGAGTGCAGCCGTGAAGGTCGCCAGGAGCTTGGACTGGTGAGGTCGAGCGGCAGCTGCTGCTGAGAGTTGATAATGAGTACTATTCTCGGCCCGGATAGACAGACGAATGGGTTCTGAAAGCCACGACGAGGGAACAGGCGTCACCACAGGAGAAGGAAGGATGGAACCGGTGGCATCTGAGTCGGTGGCTCGGCAGCGGAACGTCAAGCCTCCTTTAGAATATGACGATTCTTTCATGAAGACAATTCCCAGGTCGATATGGTGATCCTGATGTAAGAATGCAGTGACACCGATTTCGTCTCCCTGAGACTTATAGAAACCAGGATGAACATCCACGGAGAACTCAAACAGTGTGTTCGTCTGGCGGCGGGCTAGAAGAGTCAAGCCATCCGGAGCTTTGAAGGACGCATCTCCAGTCAGATTGGCTCTGCTAGCAGTCAACCTCAGAGTATTAGGATGACCCGGTGGAGATATCGTAAACGACTCCGGCTTGGCTGGCGCCCGCCAGAAGACCCAGTGCTTAGGGAACGAGGAACCCGGCGTAAAGTCCACGACATCCGGCTCTCCCTTGAAGGTTGGCCCGGAAGAGACCTTGGAAGTTTTCGGCGGCAGAGGACCACTCATCTCACCCATGACTTGATCAGCCAGTGGCCAATCCCCCGTTGGCCAACTCACTGGGTAAAGCACCGTCTCTCGACCCATGGGATAGATACTCTCATTATACAGCGCGGGTCCGGCTCGAGTCGCCAGCGCGACGCCCCACCAATTGCCCGCTGCATCCTGGAAAAGGTCCGAATGTCCCACTGTCTGGAAGTATCGATCCGTGTATCTGGCCGAGACCAGGGGGTTATGCGGCGAACTCCCCCAGGGGCCTTTGATACTCTCCGATCGGGCAATGGTGGAAGAATGGTGTAGTTCCGTACCTCCTTCAGCAATGAGGAGATAATAGTAACCATCTTTCTTGTATAGATGAGGGCCCTCTTGATTGTTATAACCAGTGCCATTCCACAGATCAAAGGGCTCGCTCGCGTTCCCGGTAGTCAAGTCAATGTAGGATGCTTTGATGGGCGACCCGGAGATCGCCATGATCACGCTGCCATCATCATCCCAGAAGAGATCTGGATCAATGGCGCCGAGAGGATTCTGAATCTGGAATGCGTTCGTCCAGGCATTATCATCGTATGGGTTTGTGGTCGTGAACAGCACAATCTCCACACCCTTATTGTCCGTGTCCAACCACGCAGTGATCAGGTAGAAAGTACCATTACGATAGCGGAGCGTAGAAGCAAAGATTCCTAGCATCTGTGCATTGGTGGAGGTCTGAATCTGGGGAAGCTGTGCTGGCCGGTTGAGGGCATTGCTGATGAGATCCCAGTGGACCAGGTCTGTGCTTGCAAACACGGGGCAGCCTGGAAAGGCAAGGAAAGAAGAGGTGGTGCAGAAGAAGGTGTTATTCCATTCTGGTACAAGCGTGCAGCTAGGATCAGAATGCCAGCCGGGAAGAATAGGGTTGTTGTAGGTCGTGTTGTGGACATGGGCGTGGGTGGATGCCAATTGAAGCCCCAAGCTTGCTAGAAGAAGGAGCAACTTCATTTTGCATGGGACTCAGTAAATTGACGCATGAAGAGCGCGGACAGATATCCGATATAAAGTCATCATCACTCGCGGGGTAAGAGAAGACGATACGTGAATACGATGTGGAAGCCATCATCTGGCTCGGTGAATTTGTCAATAGCCTAATTTCCGAGTCTCGTAAATTGCATAATGCAGATCATAGTTGTTTCGAGAAGCAGAGATGTTCTTGCCTGGAGTAGTATATTGATTTGATTGGCGTTGGGCCTTTACAGTGACGCTAAAATTGCTACTTCGCTACGGATGCTGCGGCAGGATGCGTGGATATCTTGTCATCCGCTCCGCCATTGCAGATGTGGACCAGTGATCCGTAAAGTTTCCCACATTGCACCCCGGAAATTTTTGCGGAGTAACGTTCCAAGGAATCCAAAGAATCCAAACTAACTCAGAAATTATCATTACCTTATCTGGCAGGCGGTGGGTCCCCAATAAGGAAGCGGTGAAGAGAGTGAGTCCGTAGCCGGGGAGCCCCGACGTTTGCGGTGCGCCACTGTACGAATAATAATACGAGCCCAGGCACCGACGACATGGTTACAATTGGATCGAGGTTCTGAATCAATCTTCTCCGCGCTGTCCAATCAGCTTCGTTGATGTCCGCCGCCAAGTGCGGATTTGAACAAGTCTAATTGGTTGAAACTTGACGTTTTCCACCCCTTGTAGGCTGATTTTATCCAAGCTTCCATTCCCCCCTACCCCGCCTTACTCCAGTCTCCAGATATGCTAGCGTCGATGAGAGTGCAAGAACTGGAATGTTAGTACATGCACTAGGGCTGTTACGAATATTCGTAACTGCGAATAATATTCGCGCGAATATTTGCTGCGAATAATTAATCGCAAAATTTAAGCTTGCGAATAAAATTTGCGACTATTATTCGCAGCGAATTTGGAATGCGAATAATTTATTCGCCAAAATCTTCGAATATTCGTTATTCGCAATTTACTTCGCGTATCTGGTATTGAATGAGATATATAGTGGATATATAGGGGTCAGATTTGCCGCGTAATTTCGCGCGTTATTATAGCGAAACCGCCAAGCCCTCAATACATCAACCATGGAATGGGGGTCAGATTCTTGTATTGGCCTGGTAAAGGGTTCGTTTTTTACATTCCAACCCCCCTCCTCCTTCTGCTGGCAGAAAATCAAAAATCAATTGACTATGAAGTAATTGACTATAGAGTAATTGACTACGGGGTCGCTAACGAGCTTTTGAGAGAAGCTGAGAGAGCTGGTAGAGCGAAAGCTTGCCTCTGCATCGTACAAGCTCTAGCTCCTCAACAGCTGCATCCAGAGATAGGCCCTTACCATGTCTAGCGTAGATCTCGTCGATGATAGCCTTTCGGCGGCAAAACATGACCCTTTCGCGAGAGGAAGGCCGCCAGGTCGCACCATACGATCTCTCTAATGACTGGACTGATGGATTTGCACCTAGCCCACATGTCCACTCTCTCCAGACCTCCGGCACAGTCTGGATCGTACGAGAGAGCGAGTAGAGAGATTGACAGGGGGATAATAAAGAGGACGGAGTATCGATCTGCTGCTTATGTAGAAGAGATGACACTTCAGATAGACATACTGCTAGCTGAGAAGAAGGTGTAGGCGAGTCTGGTGTCCGCGCTATAGAGGCATCCATAGCTCGTACGGCGAAGCTAACGTGACCAGAAAGGAAATCATGAAGCTGACGAGTAATCTTCCTAAGCTGCTCATGAGCCTGATAACCATGAAGATCAACCGCCTGATAGATATCCTTCTGGAGGATACTAAGACGGTCGGCAATAATAGGAAGCGTCTGTCGGAGCTGAATCTCCTAAGGGGTCTCCGTACAAAGAAGGGACTGCCGTATTTGCTCTGCAAATACAGTATAGTCTTCTCGGGCAAAAATAGGGTTATCCCACATTGAATACCCAGGGAATTGCGCCTGTAGGAGAACCGAGTCCTGGAGGAGGATGATCCTTAGTTGATTTAGTAGCTGCAAAAAGCCCTAGGCCGCCATATCGTCTCGGTCTTCCAGTTTACCAGTAGTTCCGCTAGGTGGCTTATTTGTAGGATCGTTGGACTAGAACCAGGCAAGCCACTGATCGATCCATAGCCAGAGAGCTCGTACAAGGGAATCTGGAGGTTGAATTTTTGCCCGTGGAAGATAGTAGTCCCCAATTACATTGGGCTAGAAACCAGCCATTGAACGAAGGAATTTCCGCGGCAGATACGTCAGATAGCAGTTAGTCAAGGCATCCTGATTCCATTAACCAGCGCGGCGGATCTGGTTCTCTTCCACGCCTTCTAGCTCAGCCTGTTTTGACCCCTAGGCCCGGCCAGCGTGTGTCTTCTTGTCGGTGGAGAGATTGATTGCCTCGTAGACCTCGTTAGCCCATTTTAGCTAGATCTCGTACGAGATAGGCTTCTCTCGATCCGAGCCCTTAAAGAAGTGGAAATTATACCACTGTGGTCGGCTCCGAAACTACAGTGGTGACTCTCCTACTATCTGCCAGCGATAAAAGAGATAAAAAGCCGCCTGGCTCATCGTACAAAGGAGTGGATCCTAATAGCGCATTACTCCCATATACTGCAAGCGACCAAACTGATTCGTCTTTCCGTTATTCATAATCATAATCATTGGCGAACAGGGGGTCGGGCCTTCATTAGGCAAGGAGATAGTGAATAGGTCAGGAAACTAGAGCCGCCGGCGAGATTCTCCACGAAGGAGCATATTGTGACTAAAAAGGAAATCCACGGCGGTACGAAGATAGGACTCCTAGGCCTAGGGCTTTCGATGCTTAAGGTCTTTTAACCTCCATCCTTACCAACGATATCGTACGAAGTCCTTGATCTTGTCCTTAGAATATCCATCCTATAGGCTGCCAGCGGCTCGGTCAAGATACTGCTCGCGCTTTCTCTCGCTTTCCTTATAGAGTCGGCCGGTCATTAAGGCCGAAACAGCATATCCGCGGGAATTAGGAAAGCTATTCGTCCCAATACTTTTTTAGAACTTCCAGAGGTCCACAATAGCATTAATATATTACGTGATAGAATTAGTCCCTAGGGTTTGTTCAACCTTTGAACCATCAGGCCGAGTGCGATCTTTCTTATATTAACAGGACCGGAGGGACCGGTTTAGGACCTCAGTATCGAGAAAGTAGACAAGCTTCTTCTCTGTGACTAATTCGCCATCTAGGAAGCCCTGCTTTTTGCAGAAGCTCTGTAGTACCCATTCCATTAGCTTCTCGTATAAGCTAGAGACAAAAGGGTGTTCCTTTACCTACCATTCCTTATGCTTGTTAACATAAGCCTTTGATGTATTCTTAGGCCGCTGGCTTCCCATGTAGTGTAGCGCCTTAATGCTATAGAGGTTCAACCGGTCCTAGAGCTCAATCTGCGCGAGCTCCTGGGTCTGTGTTGATAGAGGAGAGGAGCAGGGAGTCGAAGGTGATAATAGAGCCATTTTGTATCAGGTTCGAAATAGTATCGAAATAGTATTCTCTCTCTCTTGATGATAAGATGCGTATAGGTAGGAATAATAACGAAGATAGAAACGCGACGCGGAATTCATACAGTAACCAGCTCCCTTTCTACCACCCTTTCTACCGCCTATCCCTATATCCCTTGATTCATCGAAGAGAGGCCCTACAGGAAGGTAAGGGTACTGTCATAGGCCTGTACGGGCACGTACAAAGCTATCCCTGGCTTCAGGATTACTGCCAAGATTTCGCAGGCCCGATCTGCGGTCAGATATCTCGCGCGGGATAGGGGTCAAATACGTAGGCGGGTGCGGTCAGATATGTCAGATATACTAGGGGTCACGTAGGATTTCGCGAAATTTCGTGGGCGTGGATACATATATATATATCTCTCTTTCCCTCAGAACCCCTCTCTATCCTATTATGTTATAAATTGCATAGCAAAAGACTTATACAATAAAAGACACTAGAAGCTTAGCTTATTCTTCATATAATAGTTCAATCCATCGGCTACTACCTATATACATCATCTAACAGCATTAAGATCCTCATCGTCTCTCCCTTCATAGAGAACCGTCGTACTCCAAGCACGTCTCTTCCTGCGTTGAATAATCTCTCAACCGAGACTTCAGAGGCTGGGATTGCTAAGTAATCCCTAGCAGCAGCAGCCATCCGAGGATATTCTTTTCTATAGGCTCTCCACCAATCGCATAACCAGTTCTGATCTTCCATATCACTTGCATCAATCCGAGCACTATCGAAATACCGATCAATGTCAGAAAACCGGGGTTTGTCTTAAGGCTGTAGTCTTCGCAACATCCGGCTGCCCACTTTTTGCTTCTTATAACTTGGTTCTAGCGGCTGTGATATATCAACTGGTTCTGTAGTTCCGGGATATTTGCAGTGAAGGTCATCGTGGAGAGCTTGCAGAATATTCCTCCCAGTGTCTTCATCATCCAATTCGTATAGGAGGAGATCTCCTTTCACACAGGGATCCAAGATCAGTGCAGTATAGTATATATCAGAGACATCCATAAAGGTGTAGTACTTCATATACTTCTTAATACTCTCCCTAACAGCGCTTACGATATCCTCATCAAGATCTGCAAAATCTTCCTTACGCTCAGCCACATTATGCAGTAAATCGTGGAGCTCGTAGTATACTAGTACTACGAGACTAATCTAAGGCCTTTTCTCTGAGACAAACAAGGTAAACTCATTAAATTTCGAGAGAACATTGTAGAGTTGAGAGAGCCGTGTCCAGTCTTTTGTTGAGAAGGGAGGAAAGCCAGTCTCATAGTGAATAAACTTCTCAAGCTGTTGCCTTGACTATAGAGTATTAGTGTATGATTAAGTATACATAGAGCTCGTATCTTACCTTTAAAGCATCATCCAACATTCGAAACGTTGAATTCCATCGCGTATCCACATCATATTCGATGAACTTATCCGATAAGTTCATTCGCTTGCAATTGTTCTTCCATGCTTACCTGCGTTGCGGACTTCGGTGAATCCAGAGGGACAAAATACGAAGCTTTACAAGTGGTTCAATAGCCGGAAACGACTGGTGTTCTCCATTATCCAGGTTATCACAGATAGCAGCGGCCTCTTCTGTATTACCAGACTTAAGGGCAAGTAGAATGACCTTCACGATGAGGTTGATAATATGAGCTAAGCACCGTATATAACTTCCCAAACCACCGAATAAAGGATCGGTCCCACACGTCTTCTGTAGGTTTTGGAATAGTTGTAACGCTATCCGTTCATTATTACTAGCGTTATCGCCAGTAATTGAAAGCAGTTTGTGCTCAAGGTTCAGCTCAATAAGCAAAGCTTCAATCGCTGCAGCTAAATTCTCTCCGCTATGTAGACCATAGAGCTCTGTGAACTCGAGCACTTTCTCTCGATAGACAAAGTCTTCTATAAGCCAATAGCCCACGATACCGAGAATTGGGATATAGTTTTTGCTGGTCCATACATCAAGGGATAGAGCGATTGTTTGGCATATAGCTGCAAGCTCTTCCTTTAACGTAGTACGTCGTAGGTCGAAATCTTCCAAAAGACGCTGTCGAAGGGTATAACGAGAGGTAAATAGAAGTGCGGCCCCTAGTATATCCTTGAATATTTGCTAGAACGCTGATAATTCGAGGACTGTAAAGGGTTGCTTGCTACTAGTAACCCAGCGAAGGAGATTCTTTTCAAGGAGCTCTTGAATAGTGAGTTTCCCCTTATTACCCCAGAGACTAACAATAGTCGACTTTAGTGTACCAGTAGGTAGATCAGTAATCCCAGGAGGTAGAATTCCATGCTTTTCTTTCAAATAGAGCCGAATATTGGTGGTAGAGGTCTGTCGTTTTGAGTCTGTTGTAGACCAGTTGCACTGTTTTCGAGTGTTTTTGTTGATAACAGTACAACAGATTTCTCGATCAACGAGCCTCTTCCTTCCACTCCTCTTCTCGGTCCATTCGTTGGGAAATTCTCTGGTATAAAGATATCCCCACATCCAGTCATTTTGCCGTGAATTTAGGATAGAGCTTTGCGAACTACTAGCTGTGGTAGGTAGCTGAGAGGCGGATTCCGAAGGTAAAAGGTCATCGAAAGCTTCAAGAAAGGAATCGGTATTGGCACTAAATGCTGATTGACTGCGGGAAGGTAGTGGGGATGATGGGACTGGTCCTTCTGGACCTTGTGCTGCTGGACTCCAGGCCAGGCTAGACGTCCAGTCTCCAGCCGGTACTTCGTCTTGATAGCCATCATTTAAAGCGAGGTAATTTGGTCGGTTGCCACGGGTCTGCATTGCCGATTGACGAAATAGGTGAGAGGAGGTGAGGGGAGTAGTAGAGAGGATATTCTGGCATTCCAAGGAGAAGGGTAGGGGGGAGTCATTAACTATACTATTAGAAGCTTTTTACTCCTATCACGCAAGAATCCTTGCATTATACCTAATTCGGTCAATTTCTGGTGCAAGTGCACGTGATATATTGCGAATAACGAATAATTATTCGCATATTTTTAATTTGCGAATAAATTTGCGAATATTATTCGTAGTATTTATAAATTGCGAATACGAATAACGAATATTAGCAATTCCTGCGAATATTCGTATTCGCAACAGCCCTAACATGCACCCTGTTGTGAGCTACCGGCGGGAAGTAGAGCGGATTTCAAGTTCTCCACTCTCCATCATGTTTCAGTCCCTGCCATTACCCGCGCTCCCCTCAAGAGGCCCTAAATCCGTCCTCCCCCTCCATCTAAACTTCTTCACAACCACAACTCCTCAACATGGGTTCCAGTCCTCACGGCCTAAACCAAGGCTCACATCAGCACTGTACAAATAACGCTTAGCACGCAAACGACCCACAACCAGCCACCTATCCGCAGCGCAGTGTGCCCCCAAGGAACAGATCCAGGAGCATCGCCAGCCTCTGTCTCGTCCCCGAAATCCGCCCCATGCCCCGACATTGAACAGGGCATTAGGGGCTCTGTACCACAGCGTAATACCCTCGTTGGAGAACGTATGGACGGGATTGCCAAAGGCACTGGCAAGACCGAAATCTGCCAATTTGGGCTGGCCCTTTACTATTAATGAGCAGGTTCTGGGGCTTGAGATCTTGGTGCATGACCATGTTAGAGTGGCAGAATTTAATGCCGCGCTGCAACTAAGGCATGAATAACTTGATCGTAGCGGGATTAAGAGGACACTGGTCGCCATGCGTATCCACGTATCTCTTGAGATCCCCTTGTCCATGTGCTCGAAGACTAGCATAAGCTTACTTTCGACGTGGGTGACATCGTGCAAGGAGACTATGTTCTCGTGCTTCAACTTTTTCATCAGAGAGATCTCGCGGATGGCGGTGCTGGCGGTGCCATCTTCAGAATTGAGACGGATCCGCTTGAGAGCTACGAGCTCGCCGGTTTTGCGGTTCCGTCCTTTGAGGACCTACTCCTGTTAGCTCACCGGTCATAAACAGAATTTTAAGGAGGGACGGGATGACCAATTTCATTAACCAACACTCGTCGTGTGAGCGTATACAGGATGGTATCAATAAAACCACAAGAGGTCATCAGGGTTGCTGCGTTACAATAAAAAGTCGTAGAGACTTTCGCACCGTTCCAAACGGCCAAGCGTCCGGCGGGAAGTGGCAGCGAGAAGGCGATGTAGGCGATAGGATATAAGACCATGAACCGTGCGGCGCGATTGATATATGCGGAGCTCGCGGATTGAGAAGCGGGAGGCACCTGCTTCATGCGGCGTCGCAGAAGACAGAAAATGGAGCTGTATATCAGTACGGTACCGAACTGCGCGAGGAGAATCCAAAAGTAGAGGAGGCCGAGACGCTAGAAAGAATTTTGTCAGCTGAGTTTGAATGTAAGGTCAACTAAGGCCAAATTATGATTTTGGCATACAGATGGCTCACATAGTTTGTATAATCTTGGTTTATCCAGCACTACTATTAATTTATTAGTAGCGAGGATGGAAAGGACGAAATGGAAGGATCAAGAATGACAAGTAGCTTACCCAAGCACCAGTGTTCACAAAGTAAGTTTTCGGATGAGCGATAGGTCCAATGATTGCTAGGAGAATGACGAAACCCCAGACCCCCACAAGGGAGCAGCAAAAGCGGACATATTCTACCTTGCGTTTTCTAACGACCGTATACCACGTGTGAAGAGCAATAGCTAATACCCAAATCCCACTGGAAACATCGCCAACCTGGACCAGCCATCCTTTAATAAAGCAAGCTGCTGTTGGGGCCAGTATGTAATTTTGCGCAATCCAATGGAAAGTAATGAGGAAGGCGACTGGCTGCTGGAGATCGGCGAGGACGAGGTTGAAGATCAAGAGGAGGTACTGATTGTAGCCAGGATAAGTACGATAGTATTTTCGCCAGAAAAACATGTGGTAGGTGATGCAGCAGATCAAAGCGAGGGCGCTTGAAAAGGAGACTAAGACCATAATCGCAACAGGTAGAAGCGTGGCTCTCGGGTTACCTGGAAGAGGGTCGGCACTATATGGCGATGGAAAAAATCCATTGGGATCTTGAGTTGCTTGCGGAACCAAAGGAGACATTGCGTTGATTCAAGCGATAACGAAAATAAAGTTCAAGGCTGACTGAGATGAGAATCAAAAGTCTCTGGCCCAAAACATCTTTACCATACAACTTCACGACAACATCGCCGCCTTCGGTGGCAGCCCGGACAAACTCACGATCTGGGGAGAGTCCGCTGGTTCTCGATCCCTGGGAATGCAGCTCGTCGCATATGATGGAAAGAACGATGGCCTGTTCTGCAGTGCTATCCTGGAGAGTGGTAGCCCTGTCGCCAAGTTCACTAATGCTAACGGCTGGCAACCATACTTTGACGCTCTCGTTAAGAAGACGGGATGCGCTAATGCTCCTAATCGATTGGACTGTCTCAGGGGGCTTCCCTGGGAGACTCTCAGTGCCATCTTTAACGGCACGAACCCGTTGAATGTCACAGCGCCCACTCTCAGCGCTGTCATCGACGGCGACTTCATGACCGCCCAAGGATCTGCTCTGCTGAAGCAGGGCAAGTTTGCCAAGGTTGCGCTCTTGACTGGCAACAATTTCGATGAGGGTACCGCATACACAAAGCAGGGCATTAGCACCGACGCTCAGTTTGAGGCGTGGCTCATCAGCCAGGGCCTTGACAGCGACCAGATTGAGTCTATTTCTGAGCTTTACCCCAATGATCCTCTCCTGGGTATTCCCGCCTCTTATATTGGCACGCCTCCCGCGGTGCCCTATGGCCTTGAGTTCAAGCGAGTGGCGGCCTTCGCTGGAGACTACCAACAGCACGATGGCCGAAGACTTCTCGTCGAGTCCTATGCCGGTGCTGGACTGTCTGTGTACTCTTACCTGTGGAATGTCTTCGTCAACGGTATTCCCGCTATCTATGGAGCCACGCATTTCCAGGAGGTTGCATTCGTTTTCGAATCTTCCTCGCAATTTGACTTTGACCCCACACGGAACACCGAATGTCATCTAACTTAGAACGGGATGATGGACATCAAGGAGATGCCTCCCAAGAATTTTCGAAAGCGCATCCTTTGCGGTTCGCTTTACTCTCCTTTCGGTCGGATGAAAATAACAATTCAGGCTAAGTGACAGCAGAAAATACAAGTTCCCACGCGCTGATGGGGCATGGAAGGGATTTGTCCTCCACAAGGCATTAGGTTCGTTGCTTCTGCCGCTTTCGGGCTGGGCTCCACGGGTTGGACTGGCACATACAATTGAGCGCTTGCTAACAACCGGGTAATGACCTTCAAGTCCCTGGCCAAGGGATTTCTCCACGCAGATCCGTAATATTAACAGGGGATACTGTAGATGGGAAAGTGCCGTGGATATTCAACCCTTGGCCTATATAGAAAAGAGTATGTATATTGCCTATGAGGATACTATTTTCCCTTGTACAAGTGAGGAAAAGCGTCTTATCTGCGAAAGCGAAAGAGTCGGCGAGCATTCGAAAAGGAGGAGGTTGATGATGCTGCAGTTGCAGCATGCGGGTGGTCATTGTGCTAAATCCGTTCGGCATCATCACCAATTGCGGGAATTTCCCGGCAGTCAGAGACAACGAGCATTGGCCCGCTTCCTGCAGATTCTGGTGGAACTTTGACCCCTCTTCAGTAACCCAGTCTTTTCTGACCAGAATCCTCCTCGCGTACTGCCGCAGGTGATTGCATCAACCAATAGGCAGACCAGCTACCTCGATTGGGATATACCGACCGTCCTAAAGCCCGAAATGGTCAACGGGATAAAGTCAAGAACGCCTCCCGCATAGGGGTGATTTAAGGCGGTATACCCTTCACGGGTAATTATTGAAGCTAAATGTCTCTTTACCCGAAATATGCTCATCTTCAGTAATATGAAGTCACTCGAAAGAAAAGCATAAGTACAGCTCTGTATGTTCAAGAATGGCTGTCCGAGATTTTCACCAAGGACTCCAAGGCGCCTCCAAAGACGTTCTACTCATTGTACTCAGATAATTCATCAGAGGTCATCAGAGATGTTGCTCTCAAAAGAAAACCTCAAGCCTGCGTCCGAATTTGCTCTGGCTCTCGTGGTAGCAGACTCCCTAGTCGCCGCCGCGCCATGCGACATTTATGCCTCTGGCGGGACGCCCTGTGTCGCAGCGCACAGCACCACACGTTCACTCTACGGCTCGTACGGCGGCCCGCTTTACCAGGTCATTCGCGAGGCAGACTGGCAATCGCTCAACATTTTCCCGGTATCTATCGGTGGTGTGGCCAATGCTGCTGCTCAGGATTCCTTCTGTGCAGGGACGACGTGCCTTATCGACATTATCTACGACCAGTCTGGTCACGGCAATCATCTCACTCAGGCTCCTCCTGGTGGCTTCAGCGGACCGGCAGCTAATGGTTACGATAACCTAGCTATCGCGAATAGCGCACCTGTCCACCTCCAGGGCCAGAAGGTGTATGGTGTCTACATTGAGCCTGGCATGGGTTATCGCAACAACGCCGCTCAGGGCACAGCGACTGGTGACGCAGGAGAGGGTATTTACGCCATTTTCGATGGAACCCATTACAACGATCAATGCTGCTTCGATTACGGCAACGCCGAGACAAATAGTCGCGATACTGGTTCCGGCCATATGGAGGCGGTCTATTTCGGGAACTGTCCTTTCTGGGGAACTGGCTCTGGGAGTGGTCCTTGGATTATGGCCGACCTTGAGAACGGCCTGTTCTCTGGAGACAACCTTTGGAATAACCCTGGTGACCAATCTATTTCACACCGATTCGTTACGGCGATCGTTAAGGGAGAATCGAACCAGTGGGCAATCCGTGGCGGTGATGCTACATCCGGTTCGCTGTCAACCTTCTTTAGCGGTCCCCGCCCATCCGGCTATAACCCGATGGACAAAGAGGGGGCTATCATTCTCGGAATAGGCGGCGATAACTCCAACGGGGCTCAGGGAACGTTCTACGAAGGTTGCATGACTTCTGGATATCCATCAGACTCGACTGAGAATGCGGTACAGGCTGATATTGTCGCCGCTAGATACTCCACTTAGTCTAAACCCCTTGATGGACTACTATCTCAGATTGCGACTTTATCTCATGCCATGGAGTATCTATAGGTAGCGCAGAATTTGAAATGTTCAGTACTTGCACACACTTTATTGTTTCCAAGGGGAAAACGTCACCACATAGGTTGTTCATTCGGTAAATATTCCATTTCAATTATGGAACAACTTGACTATGTGTCAGCTAGAAGTGTAGACTGATGGTGTCCTATAAAGGCCAAGGTAGTACGTAAGGGACAGCCCAATGCTACAGATTCCATACCAAAATTGGAAATTGAGACTAAATGATTTATAGTTTGAGTAAACTCGGACGCCGTGCCGAGGAAAGGCACCGGCGAGATCCGAATCAATTGCTCTTGACTGCTGGACATCTCCATTCTCTTAGGCGTTTATGACTATTATTGGCTATTTTAATGATAGCGACTGGGTATACTGGGAGTTAAAACTTGGCTTTAAGCCTCTTTGTGGTACGCATGCTGGCTCAAACCTAAGTTATGTGTTTTGAAAATGCTTAAGGGGTATAGTATTCAAAATCGCGTCTTTAGATTAACATCCGATAATGCGTCTGTCGGGATTTATCCTTCCATGAGGGATATCATCCCTTGCTTGGTGAACGCATTCTTGCGCCAAGCTGCGGCTCCAGTATTGTGACCGCCGAGGGACGGCGTGTGGGATCCAGGGGCGTTCTTCAACACCAACATCTATCATACACGAATCAATCAACTTTTGCTTAGGAGCATAAACTGTACACAGTACCTAGCTGGTGATACCAACAGCGTCAAACAACAAAACGCTAATTAGTCAATTTTCTTCAACAGGCGTACCGAGTGATACTAATATTCGGTTACCCTGTCTTGCTCATGTTATTCAACTTAGCCCGAGCGAGCTTCTAGATCGCCTAAAAGCTACACAATCATGTCGCAGAACAAAATGGGATCGGCAATCATCAGCAGCAAAGGTGAATATTCAACACAATTAACAAGGTCCACTTTCTGGCCATCTATATCCGGGCAAGCCCTTAGCACCGTGAGACATTTACCTCGTGTCCCCACAGGGATCTGAGCGGATGAAGAAGCAAATCAAGGAACAGATTACTATAATAAGTACAAAAGACCCTCTCCCTGTGCAAATTAACAGTGGAATCGGACTGACTCCAAATAGTTGGTTTAGAAGGACTCTCATCAAATTAGTTTAATCTGGTACAATACGGCTCGCAGAAAAATAGGTGACCAGGAAATACTGTCTGTCGACTGGGATAAAGTAATAGTCAATCTCCAAGTTAAGGGAACACGTGTAAATGCACGCATCTGTCCATACCTAGCCTAGGTAATTTGAGTTAAGCAAAAGAGAAAGCACCCCTGTTAATCAATTAGCTGATGCGAACGGAATTAAGGATGATTATCTCATTTGCGCTATCTGTCAATTTGAACGGCTGTCTTTGACCAATGTGGACTATGAACCCAGGCAATTGATCTGAAAAAAATGAATCCAAACCTTTTACAATGGACCGTCTTGACTATCCACACAAAGTGTTCCATTTTAAGCATGATTGGTCCACATAAATGTTCCGGACTGTACGAATTTACCCAGGTTGGTCACGAAAGGACCAGGCTGCTCGAATTAGTCAGCCAACGAACTGTCGAACTTGGTTTCCAGGTCGCAAGTTGAGTGGTCATTTGGGATGTTGAATCAGGCAAATGTGACTTGTCCATGTTCAAGTACCAAGTTGCATTTATAGAACTACGAATCAAATTAGGATGATGAGATCCCTATCGCTTGTAATATATTAAGATAGCTACCGGTATAAAGCGCTTCGTACTATAGAGCCAACAAAATTTTGTATTTGAATGTTTCTGGCCAGCTACTACTGAAGTAAGTAACACTCTTGTAATTTTTGGGGTAATGATAAGTACTATATAAAGCTGACGAACTGATTAGTCAATCAGTCCTCCTCCAACCTAAAGTTAGGTCCTGCCATGCTTACAAGAGCCGGGATTGAAACGGCGAAAAAGCATTACATAGAAGAATCGACGAAACACATTGCTCGAGCGATTTTACCACCCTAACACAGACTTAATGGCCGAAGCCAGAACCTGGCCTTGAGCTGCCTGTGTAGCAGCGTTGGGATGATAATCGCAACCCATTGCGGAGCCTTGAGTAGGCCAGTCCACAAAATGAGCATTTGACCCAATCTGCGAGACTGCATTCTTCAGAGCATTAACTTGCGTGGTATGCGAATTGTCCCCTGAAGGATAGCTATCCTCGAGCATCGGAGAGGAGAGCAAGAAGAATTGTGTATTCGGATAGTGTCCCTGGATGGATTTGACAAAGCTGACCATGGTGTTGGTGTATGTGGGAATGTCAAGTTTGGGGCGGGCGTCGTAAGGATTTCCGGACGAGTCATAGAGAAGGTAGCCCCAGTCATTAGTGCCGAGGTTGATGACAACAGCGTCAGGAGTCCAATCCGACGGGAAAGTGTAGCTGTTATCGGCATCATTGGCACCATAGCGGGTGTAGAGCGTCGGCATGACGGGAATGCTGTCGGGATTGGCCGTAACGTAGTTTCGAACCAAGCCCCTGCCGCTGTATGCGACGGCGCTGTAATCTGCGTTGAGAGAAGTAGCTGCCAAGGCACCATATGTCTTAGGATTGTCCTCAACCGCAGCAGAGTTGCTACAAGGAGCAGTGCCGTCTAGACCGTAGCCGACTGAAATTGAGTCGCCGATAACCTCGATCTTACGTACAGTGGCCGCACTCGGGATTAGAGTGCCGTCGGTGGTGATGTCGCCAATCCAGATACTTCCAGTGGCGACTTCGGAACGCTTTCGCAGCTGGACGGTGTGATTGCCCCAAGAGAGGCCAGAAGGGGTTGAAATGGATGAGCCGGCGACATTGGAGATAACTACCGGGTCGTTGTTGTCGATGAAGAGGTCAACACTGTTGCTCCCAGTGATCTGGGTCACAGCGATAGAGGCAGAAGATCCCTCAAAAGTAAACGCTACTCCGGTGCTCGGCCAGCTCAACTCCTTAGTTGCAGGATTGACTCGACCGAGATAGTGAATATTACTAGCCGGCCGGCACTGCCAGTACCATTGATTGACAGACACGCAGGCGTATCCAGAAGTACAAGTGGTGTCTCCTGTGTAGCCGTCACCACCACACTGCGTCCATGCCGGAACCTCCGCGGTTGCAACAGCCGCGATAGTGAGGATGGTGAGATAAGATTTCATGGTAGAAAGAGTGCAGCCAAGCCTCGTAACACGCCACAGCAGAAAATAGATTGCGTTCAGAAGTTAAAACAGTTGCACTTGAAGACAACCAAAGTTATTCACGACAAACCTGTCCCTCTGGACAAGACTCACTCTTAAAGTCTGCGTTCCAGTGGTAAACTGGCCGGACGAACGGAAATTTCGTCACTCCCAAGAGGGGCGCCGAAAATCTATTAATCTTGGGGATGGAAACTTTCTACCGTATGAATGAAACAAGCCATAACTCAAATGACTGCTTCGGTCTCATGCTTAGGAATGGCATGAGGACGACCAATGAACACAAGTAGTTGCATGAGCAAGTACCGCTCCGCACGAATTTTCGAACTGTTCGAAATTCGCGAATTTCGACGAATCGAATCGAATTCGAACCTTGGTTTTCGAACTTCGAATCTGTACGCGATTCGATTCGTCAAAATTCGCGAATTTCGAACAGGTTCGCGAACTAATTTCTAGCTTTCTTAGCAGAAGCACGCCTTGGAGAGGAGTTTTTGAGGTGTCCGGCCCCGACAAAAAGACTTTAGCAAATGCATAATATCAACCGCATGTATTCCAAAAGAAACCATAACTGCGTAACTATTCAGACTTCCAACGTGCAGCATCTTTTAGCCTTATTAAGGTCCCAAGAGTCTTGCCTTTCATAGAGAAACGTCGAATTCCCAGTACATCTCTCCCGCCATTGAATAATCTCTCTATATCTACCTCCGCTGCTAGTATAGCAAGGTGATCTTGTGCTGCCTTAGCCATACAAGTAAATTCAAGCCTGTTAGCCTTCCACTAGTCCCGTATAAATTCAGTCTGGCTCTGGCTTGTTTCGAAACTAGTGCTGATTGTAGGAGTATCGAAATACTAGTCGATATCTGACTCAGCGACGTTACACTGCGTTGGCTGAAAGGCCTCCAAAAATCGATATTCGAAGCTCTTGTAATTAGTGCTTGGAGCAGTCGATGCAGGCTGTTCCGGGGTGTGATATGCTTTCTTCAGGAACGCCCTGATTCGGTCGATAATCTTGTCTCTATCTAGTAGCGTTTTGAGCCACTTGGTCTTGATTCGAGGATCCAGAATGCTTGCGATATAGTATATGTCGTTGTCTTTAACACAGTCGTGGTACCTCTCTAGGAGTAAGATTCCGTCGGAAACAGAAATAGTTATTGCTGCCGAGGTTTTCTGCTACTCGCCTCGTCGTTCCTTAATAGCGAGGAGTATAGAACGGAGCTCTTCAAACATACGCGCCGCTATATAAATTGAAGGACTGTCTCGAGAGACGTACTCAGTATATTCGTTGAAGGGAGTCAGGATTTTTTTGATATCTAAGAGTTGTCTCTAGTCGTTATATATAAGACGCAAGGCTTCAATATCTAGCTCGTCGTTGACTGTATCTTCAAGCTGCCGGCGACACTCTTCGGCTCTCTCAATCATAACAAAGGTAGAGTTCCATCGAGTGTCAACATCGTAATTAATAGCTTTTGTACAGCCAGGCCGATTATCCCACTTCTGTATTCGCTAGGGAGATCGCGCAATCCAAAGGACAAGTAGTCGAAGCTTTGCAATAGGCGAAGTAGGAGCATTGATAGTCTTCTAGCTTCCCTTAGCAACATTATCAAGAAGACCACAGGCTTCCTTATACGAACTCGCGCGTAGAGACCTCAGTATAGATTTCATGACCAAATTCAAGATATAAGCAAAGCAGCGGATTTAGGAGTTCTAGGTAAACTTCATCATCCCTTCTCGGATAATAGTCTCAGCCAGGTACTTATCATACCGCTGAGACAGCTTTTGGTAGAGGCACCGGTGTAGGGTGTTATTATTAGATACGTTGTCGGCTGTAATTGTCATCACTTTATCAGATATATAAAACCTGTCGAGAACCGTCGCGACGATATCAGTAAGCTTCTCTCTAGAGTAGTTGCCTTCGATTTCAACGAACTCAATACAGGCTCGATATTGCTAAAAATCAGGGGACATCCAGTAGGCATTAATTGCTAGCATTAGTAACGAGTTCTGACTTATCCAACCATCAAGAGATAGCGCGATTGACGAAGCTAAAGACATCAAAATTCGAAGCTCACTATCAAGAGCATCAAGCCGAAGACCTAATCGGCGGGACACTGTATCCGCACTCGGTAAGGAGTCCTGAAAGCCTACAGACCTTAACATAGCCTTAAATAAAGGGTGTTCGATATATATAAACGGCTAGCAGGTCGATATAATCCAATTTAGGAGTGCCTCTTCGAAGGGGAGCTTCTTTTCCTTAGAAATCCATAAGCTTAGTAGTCCTTAGCCTTCTGAATAACCGTCCTGAAAGAGCTTGTGTGCTTACTGCAGATACTGTTTCAACGCTGTAGTTAAAGATCGTAGTTTAGATGCAAATCGAAAGAATCGACAGGTAGATAGCGATACAATGCACAGGTATTTAAGTTCGAGCCGCTCCTTATTTCCTAATCTCTAAGTGCTAGGTTCAGGTATTGTACTGTAGTATTTCTATACCTAGCTCCGCTCCTTCGACTTAGTCTTATCATTCTGCTTAATTTTAACCCTCTCAACCTCGCATTCGACCTAAGATATTGATTGCGAAGGGTATATCTCTGTATCAAGGTTCGATAAACTCCTGGAAACATTGCTAGGAGCCGTAGGAGAAGTTGAAATCGGAGGAGTCGGTGACTTAGGGGCGCGTTAGGCCGCTCTCTTCCTTCGAGGGGGTAGGAGTGATATATCCTCTGCGAGGAGGCTATATTTATTAAGCGCCGCATAATCGCGTTTATTCTTCCTAGTATTAGGACAGCCGAATGTTATAGGAAGTAGAGAAGTTATCTTTATATAATATTAGTATATCAAGATTATATCTTGATTGATCGCTTACTTTAGAGCACCTAGAAGTGATAGTTTTCAGTAGCGTTTGACCACGATTCGGATGTTGTTCTGGATAAAAGCATATACGCGTCTCCACGCGTCCTAGTAGAATCTCCGCTAGCCCGATTAGACTGTCCATTTGCTCTACATTGAATAAAATATACAACTATAGATATCTTCCCTCTATATTAATAGGTTACGTGTATCTCAATGCGATCTATGGGATAATTTAATTTGAAGCAAAACGGACAAGAAATAAGGTTATAGTCTTATTGACTAAATTAGAACTAAAAATTATATATTATTTGTATAGAGGTTATTGCTAAACACTTGCGTCTATTGATACTGCCCTATAACTCTCTTCATTCGAGGTCAAATTGTTTAATTTTTATGTAATAGACAAACCCTAGCTTATCTATTTCTGTATCTGTTGATTATTTAACTAGTTAACTCAATAACAGCTATTTATTACACTTTATGTAGCGTCGATTGATAGTATAGCGTAGAACTGCAGACACTGCTAGTCCTCATTTACCGCCTTCCCAATGAGGCTTTGGTCCCAAAAGTTCGCGAACTTCGAATCGAATTCGAATCGGCCGTGAATTCGAATTCGTACGAATCGATCTTGTTGAGATAAGTGTGTTGTCTGATTCTTGTTAATTGACGTATTTACAGAAGAGGGGTAGCCTATCCTTATATATCCGATCGTAATCCCCGCTATAAGCTTTAGCCGCTGTGATATTCAACACTCCTACTCGATAGCAACCGTCACTAAGGGAGCCAATGACTATTCATCACGGTTGCGGCGGGCCCCATTAAAACCTTAAAAACCCCCTTTGAAGGGAAAAGAAGGAAAGGGTACCCTTATATCTTAGTCTCTGCTTAAGGCTAGTAAGGTGTGGTCATCACTCAATACCAAGTCCTCTCCGAAACTATTCAAATCGTTATCGTGCAAGAGGCTTAGTGAACCTATCGGCAATTTGCTCGGTAGTTAGAATATACTGCAGTTCTACTGTTCTAGTGTCTTACACCTCTCCTTGCTACTTGCGTTGGATTTCTATATGTTTTGTGCGAGAGTAGTACTGCGGGTTCGAGGACAGGGCGATAGCTCCTTGATTGTTGCCACAAATAATCGTTGCGGCTTTCCCTTAGCTCATATTCAATTCATTAAGAAGTCTTCTCAACCAGACTACTTCTTTGGTCGCTTATGTCTGCCCTAGAAATTCAGCTTTATAGGTTAAGAGGGCAACAACGCTCTGGCGCTTCGATTACCAACTGATTGCTCCACTCCCGATATTAAAAAGATATCCAGCCGTTGATCGTCTTGTGTTATAACATCCACCCCAGTCTGTATCCGTAAAGCCCTTTAGCATCTGAAGATAGCCCCTATATATAAGTCTGAGGCTTTTTGTGCTTTTGAGGTACCGCAGGATACGTCGAGCGAGCTTTATATGTTGGGGTCCAGGATTAGCTAGGTATCTGCTCGCCATAGAGACCGTATACGCGATGTCCCCCCTAGTCCTAAGCATAATATACATCAGAGATCCGACAATACGCTGGTATTTGGTCCGCTGATCTGGAGGGCATTTATATCCTAGACTATTCTCTAGAAGTGGCGAGGTTTCTATCGGTGTGCTAACGGGAGCGCAGTTGCTGATTCCGAACTAACGAGAGACCTTGTCGATATACGCTTCTTGGCTTAGGTACAGGACCCTGTTTTGACGGTCTCGCTAGATAGATATCCCGAGATAGTAGCTGCAAGGTCCTAAGTCTGTCATTTAAAAGCGGTTTCTAAGGCTCTGCTTGATCTTCTTTATCTCCGTAATACTCGGCCCCACAAGCAGGAGGTCATCAACGTATACCGCGATGTATATATTACTCCGGACGAAGATACCCAGATCTGCGTTGATTGGCTCAAAGCCAAGATTGCGTAGGAAGTTTGTAAGAGTCTAGTACCAAATACGAGGAGCTTGCTTTAAGCTATAGAGTGCCTTTCGAAGTTTGCAGACCCTTGATATGCCGTCGGTCATATAGTGAGGCTGTTCGACGTAGATCTCGTGATCTATGTCCCTGTACAGGAATGCCGTTTTGATATCTATTTGCTCGATCTCTAG